AGAGGAGTAAGGACGTGGGAGGTAAATCCAAGTTGAAATTAGTTTCTCCCTCTGTAAAATGTGTTTAATAATGTTACCTAGCTCAGGGCCTCCCTGGTGGCACAGGGGTTAAGTCTCAGCCTACCAAGCTATCCGTAGCCACTGCAACATGAGTTCAGTCCCCAGGCAGGGAGCTACCACATGGCGCAGCAGACCTCTCCTGTCTCACTCACTGTTCCCCTCAGCAGTGTATTTCAGTAGATCTGCCTGTTCTGCTCCCCACTCTGTCTCTGATGAATCTTCTCACACCACCCCCACACCTCTGGCTTATACCCCAGTTCTTGTATGCATAAATAAATAAATCTTTAAAAAAAGTTATCTAACTCATAGGATTATTGTGAAGATTAAGTGAGACAATAATACAAGAAAAGTGCCTCTTCAATTCTCACGTGGGCGAACGGGCTGACAGAGACAACCATCTAGGTCAGCGTCACCCACACCCACCCAGGAGAGTTAACAGGGAGTCGGCCATGAAGCACTGGAGGCTGGGACATTGGGAGGGCTGTGGGCTGCCTGCTCTGCCCCGGCGGTCTCCGGTTCCCCCCTCCAAGGGTCATGCCTCTAGAGTATTCAAGGGAACCTAAGACTGCGGTCCTTTATAGACAGATTCTGGGGCAATGGGGGTGGGAGAGGCTATGGATCTGGCTCTCTGAAATTCACAGCAGCACACCCCCAAATTACATGATTTTAAAGTTGTATATTTGAATTACGAAACAAATGTGCCATAAAAACAGAAAATACAACAGTGCATACAGGAAAAGGCAGAAATTCTTTTCCAGAGTCCCCCGCCCCCAGCCCATTCCTCAAAAGTCAGCCCTGAGACCCCTGGAGACCTTTCCTGGGGGTTCCTCTCACCCAGCTTCCCTCCAGGCTTCTCACCTGATTTCTGAGGCTCCCAAACCTTGGTTCTTTGCACCTGCACACCCTCTAGTGGGTGCTTTGCATATAGAAGGTGAGGCAGTATGGGGAAATAGCATGGCCTCAGTTCCTCATAGATCAGGATGTAAATTCTTGTTCTTACCTTGTCTTACTAGACCTTGACTGGCTAGCCCACGCAGGGCTAAGAGGGAACCAGGAACAATGTCACTGCTAAAAAGAGAACTGACCACCAAATTGTGTCATTGGTGATCCTAATGCGTCAAAGGCACAATGACAACAATAAGAAACATTTATGGAAGCTCTTATTAAGGTCCAGGCATTGCTTTAAATGCTTGATATATGTTAGCTTGTTGAAATTGTTAGTTAATATTGCTAGTTTCTCACAACAGCATCCCTCAGAAGTACTATTATTAAGTAGCAGCTCCCCTCTGGAGTCAGATTAACCTGTGTTTGCCAACCTGATTCTGCCACTTTGCAGCCGTGTGATCTTAGGCTTACATAAACTCTCTGACTCAGTTTCCTCTCTTGTCAAATGAGGATGATGACAGGATCTCCCACAGTGGGTGACTGTAAGGATTAAATGAACTTGTCTGTTAAGTGGTTGGCACAAAGAAATGTGATTGGCTCGGGAAATGTGATGAAATTCTGGCCCTGGGTCTCAGCGAGTGACTGACAGGGGAGGAATTTGAACCCAGGTCTGCATGCCCAATAGAGCCCATCAGGTCCCCACCAAGTGTTGGGGCTTCAGAAGCCCTTTCTTTCACTGAAGTAAAGATGACAAGTGTGCCCTCTGAAGATCCATTTCTTGGGGGCCATGGGAAGTAAAGAATGTGCTGGAATCTTATTGGGGGTGAGGTCAGCTTTGTGCCAGGCTTTCCTGGGGAAAAGCCTCAAAGTGCCCCACCTTGATCATTGCTTGGCGGGGAAATTTTCTGCTCGTTGGGGGATTCTGTGGATCCTAATTAGGGCTGTGATTCTAAGATTCAAATACTACCAATGTGGCAAATAATATAATTGCCAGGGGCCTCCCTGGTGGCACAGGGGTTAAAGTCTCAGTGCTATCAAGCCACTGTGGCATGAGTTTAATTCCTGGCCAATGAGCTGACACACATGGTGCAGCAGACCTCTCCTGTCTTACCTGCTACTCCTCTCAGCATTGTATTTCAGTAGATCCACCTGTTCTGCTCCCCACTCTGTCTCTGGCGAATCCTCTCACCGCCACATATCTGGTGTACACACCAGTTCTTGTATGCATATATAAATAAATCATTATTTTTATTTTTTTAAAGATTTATTAATTTATGCATATAAGAGCTGGGGTCTAGGCCAGAGGATTGGGGGGTGAGAGGACTCACCAGAGACAGAGTGGGGAGCAGAACAGGCAGATCTACAGAAATACACTGCTGAGGGGAGCAGCGGGCATTACAGGGGAGGTCTGCTGCGCCATGTGGGATGCTTCCTGGTCGGGGATCGAACTTGTGCTGCAGTGGCTCCCGATAGCTTCATAGTGTTGCTACTCAACCCCCTGCACCACCAGGGAGGCCCAATAAAATATATCTTTAAAAAAATATATATGTATATAATGGCCCGGGGACCAATGAAGGCACAGAAAACAGGCAGCTGCCTCCTAAGAGCAATCAGAGAGAGGCTGTAAGGGGCCTCCCCGGTGGCGCAGCGGTTGAGCGCTGGGTTGCGAAGCTGCCCGCGGCCTCTGCGGCGCCGGTTCGATCCCCGGCTGCTCCCCGGCCACCAGCGGAGAATCCCACATGGCGCGCAGACCTCTCCTGCCGCCCGCTGCTCCCCTCAGCAGTGGAGAATCCCACATGGCGCGCAGACCTCTCCTGCCGCCCGCTGCTCCCCTCAGCAGTGTACTTCGGTCCTTCTGCCTGCTCTGCTCCCCACTCTGGCTCTGGTGAATTCTCTCACCCTCCCGCGCTTCTGACTGTACCCAGTGCATGTATAAACAAAACAAACAAACAAAATAAATAAATAAATAAACATGCCTCTATAAAAAAAAAAAAAAAGAGAGAGGCTGTAAGACCTGACTCTGGAAAGGGTGATGGCCATTGGTCATCAAAGATGGAAGGAAGGTAGGAAGTGAAGGAAAGGACATTCTAGTTAGAGGGCCAATGTGAGCCAAGGCAGATAAGCTAGAGGCAGCTTCTGAGAAGGGAATGAATTTGAGGCAATAAGTGGCAAAAGATGAGGCTGCAGAGGTGGGCAGAATTTGGAGCTCTGCATGTAATCTGTCAAAGAGGCTGAAATTTCTTTGGTTGAAAAACCAATGAAGAGTTGTGAAGGGAGGGAGTGACTCTGGTAATGTTATGTCATCTGCAAAATGGGATGACTCCTTCAGTGTCCTCTGTTAGTTCCTACTTATCTCATCCCTCCACCAGTAAATACGTATTTCCAGAGGGCAGCCAGAGTGAACTTCCTCTGCTGGAACAGAGGAAAGTAGGTTCACTCCCTGCTTCCTTCCACGGTCACGTCTCTTTGGGGTCTCTTCCCTGCAACCTATCTAGAATTGTACTCCCTCCCGTTATTCCTCTTCCCTCCTTTAATTTTCTCAATAATGATTCCCACCAAATGACCTACAACGGTTTTTTCTTGGTTAGTGCTCATCTCTGCCGACTACTATGTCAGCCCAGGGAAAGCAGAGTTTTTATCTTTTGGTAACTGATGTATTTTTATGGTCTAGAAAAGTGTCTGAAATATATTAGACCCTAAAAAATATATTATTGAGCAAATGAATATAATAAAGATTCTGGCAGAACTTCCAGCCCAGGTGCAATGACCATTCCAATGCAGGCATAATCAACAAGTTTGCTTACTTACAGCTCCTTCCTTTCAAGATTCATGATCAGGGCCTCAGCACTCTTATCTACAACGTCGAGCAGCCCGCCAAGCTGGTCTCTCTCTCCAAAGCCATCCACAGTACCAGGCATCCCTGCATCTTTCCCCCCTTGTCTTGTCCCCCTTGTCTGGGACTTTGCAAATGGTTGTGCCTGCCGAAAAGCGATGTTATCAATCGCTTGTCCATAACAGATATGGACACAGTTGTGTATAAAACGAACCCTTGGTATTTAACCAGGTGCTCAAGACCTTAAGGGGCTACCCAGGTCTGGGACCTCATGCATGGGTAATAAAGCTTCTCCTGACCTCACCATTCCTGAAGTACCGCTTGTTCTTCCCCTGCCTGGGTAAAAGTCTAGAACTTATTTCTCCAACAGCAGTAGCAGGGTGTGGAATGGGCTGGGAGCACATCAGTTAGGCTCTCTAAACCCCTGAGGTTGCACTGGCTCGATCATGGTCATGTGTACAATAGAGATGGTTGTGGTGTGGAATCCATAGGAGAGTCATTCCTTTGCTGTCCTGTTCGCTGCGGGTAAGTTACAAGAAAAGACAAAACTCCACCGTAGGGTAAGGTAAAAGGATCAGGGTTTTCTGCCCTCCCGCCAATTGGATAGATGAGGGAATGCTGCAGTCCTGAATGCATGCCTGATGGCCGGCACCTGGAGCAGGGTGTGGGCATATGTAGATGGGATTCACCTGGGCTAAGACTGGGCTTTTAAGGGCGGCGTCACGGGGACGCCAGCAGAAGCCAAGAGAAGAGAAGCCGAACAAATGGAAGAGCAGAGAGCCGAGACCACCAGAGAATGCCTGAGAGCCCAGATACAGTGAAGACTTGCTGGGGGCTGGGAGGCCTGCCAGCCTGCCATGTGCCTGGTAAATCTAAATAAAAAACCTGCAAAGCCACTGAGGGTTCCAGGACTCTTCCTTGACCCGTTCTGCTGGATCAGAAAACCTGCCCTGTGTCATTCCTGCCCACTACATCCACCTAGAGGGAAGCATGGCCTCACGGCTCCAAAGCAAGGGGGTAAATTTGCGCAGCCACAAAAGAGGGTGGCGGCTCTGCGCAGCCGCAAAGGAGCGGGGCGGTTCTGCGCAGCCGCAAAGAGGCGAGGCGGTTCTGCGCAGCCGCAGAAAGATCGGCGGGGCGAGGCCCACCCTCACCTGGCGCCCCTTCGCGCTCGGCCCGGCTGCCGGGCGGGCGGGTCTGGGTCCCGCGCGCCTCGCCGCGGCGGCTGAGGCCGGCTCTGCTGCGCCCGTCTCGGGTCGCCAGCCGTCCCCCTGAGCCGCCGCCGTCATGCTGCTGCCCGTGTTCACCCTGAAACTGCGCCACAAAATCAACCCCCGTATGGTGGCCGTAGGGCGCTACGATGGGATTCATCCATGCCTGGCAGCTGCCACCCAAGCGGGCAAGGTAACCGCTCCCACCCGCCCCGAGCCCGCCCCGGGGTCCTCTCGGCTCTGCAGGCCGTGCCCCTTCTACCCCGCCCCTCTGTGCCGGCCCCGCCCCAAGCTCGGGTTGCCAGGCAACCGGTTGGCTGTCACTCAGCCAGCAGCGCTCCACCCTGCGCGGAGAGACGAAAAATGGATTTTCTGAGAAGTTAGTCCTATTTGGCGCCAGGCGCTTGGGCAGTGTTGGGGTTTCCATACGGAAAGGGAGCTTAGGGGGAAAAAGTCCTCTTGTGAGGGTTGGGCCTGATCAGGGATAGTAGTATTAGCGGGCCCCAGATTCGAGCCCAGAGTTTCTACCTGGTACTCTGGAAATCCTTCCACTACCTCACATTTGTCTGTCAGGCCAGTTTTACAGGGGAGCAGTTGGCGAATACAGCGACTCCTAAATGACTCACCCGCACTTTTGATTTTTATCCATGTACATACATGTCTTTTCCCATAATTTATTCGTTAAGTACCTACTAGGTGCTTATTATGTGCCAGGCACGTTGCAAGGTGTGGGAGTCACAGAGGTGGAAAAGACTAGGTCATTCAACATTCGCCGGACTTTTACTGAATACCTTGGTTGTACTGAATGTTGAGAATTCAGAGTTAAAGCTGTATTCCCTACTTTCAGTTGGTTGTAGCCCAAGTGGATAAGGGACAAGGCAAATCAAGACGCTGTGCCGATGGAGGCATGTCCGAATACATGAAATCCAGTGACACCAAGCGTAGTTACTTCTAACGCTGGCAAAGCCTTATTAATGATTTCAGCATCGCTGCAGTGCCAAGGGGCAGCTGCATGACACGGCTGTGGTGGATCCTGGCTCCATTACCTACACATTTCATGACCTGAGGCAAGGCACTTAATAACAGTATCAATCACATGGGATTGTTACAAGTATTAAATAAGATAATACATGTAAAATGACATAATTGTTAGCTTTTAATAATTGCTTTTTATTACTCCCATTTTACTGGTTAGAGTAGTGGTTCAAAGTCATGGTAGCGGCTTGTCAACTAGAAAGTGGTGCAAATGTGATTTGAGTGCATGTCTCTGATTCAGTGTGGTATAAGCTAACATATAAGGATGTATAGTTTTCAAGACACTTCTGCAAATTTATTTCATATGATAGGCATTGTGATGTATAGGTAAAAAGCATGATTCATTTTCATTAAAGAATAAAGTGCTTAGCACAAAAGAATTTCATACTGGTTCAGCTATAGATGCACAGCAGCAAAATAAATGGATGAAAGGTCCCATTGATATTAGCTCAGCATCTAATTTTTACTGGGGACTTACCTATGTGTTGGGCACTGTTCTTAGCTATGCAGTTGCAAGGGTATGGCAGACAAGTCTCAACCCCCTTGGAGTTTACATTTGAGAGGGAGAGATGAAACACATACACTGTCCTCACAGGAGGAAAAAATCCAATAAAGGGATGGGGATAAAGGGAGATTACTATTTTAGATACATAGGCCTCTGTTAAGATACCATTTGTTGTGAAGTTGGAAGGAAATGATGACACAAGCCCTGCAGATATGTGGTAAATGTCTTCCAGCAGAGGAATCAGAAGGAAATATGCTGATTGTATTCCAGGAACACAAGGAGGCTGCTGGGGCTGGAATGAAATGAGCCAGTGAGGTAGCAGAAACCAGGTCATACAGAGGCTTGTAAGCCATGGTAAAGACCTTGGTTTTGGTTAAGTGGGTGATGGGATTTGATTTGTTTTAGATAAAGCATAATTTTGACTGGTACTTGGAGGATGTGCTGCAGTCAGGCTCAGGGAGGCAGTAGGAGTGGAAGCAGGGGAAGCCCTTTCACTAATGTGACCTAGAATGAGGCAGGACTCTGGAATGTAGGTCTGCTTCTGAAGATGACAAAAAAAAAAAAAAGTCTTGTGTAAGTTGGACCCTTTGTGTTCAGAACTTTAAACAAGTCTGTGAGTTCTGACTTGACCTTTTATCTTGAGGCTTAAAGATTTTTTTGATAATATTTTATGATCCAGGTAACACAGATATGTCCTCCTTGAAAAACAAACTTTCCAGGTAAGGCTTAAAGCCCTCCTTGATCATTCCGGACCCTCATCTTTGATTTTATTATTAGGACTCTGTTGTGAACACGGACCTTACTATCTGGGGTCTGGTCTCTGAACATGAACAAAAATACTTTAAACAGGGGTTTCTTGCTAGATGAACATTAGTGTTTACCTCTGGGGATGTTTTCCTCTTAGCCTGAATCTGAGGGGGCCTGTTGAATTTATATTGTCAGCAGCACGCCCTCAGTTAGGAAGTTGTGTGAACTTTAGTCAGTCCTTTGGTTGAAGGCGCCAGAAGTGGTCCATTTGTTTTGTGACTGAGCTTGGCCTGAAGACACAGGTAGGTCTCCTGGGAGCTTCCCTGTGTGTAGAGAACCACAGGTGGGGAATTAGGGAGAAGGCAGACTCCTGGGATTTTTGTTGCTCTTGACAATAAACTTCAAACTCTTTCATTCCAATGACAAACAATTCATGAGTTATTTCCTGTTCTTTCTCAGTATATCTAATTACTAGACTGCTCTGTGGGAATTCTTCTGTTCAGAACTGTTATAAAAGGAAGCATGAGCTCAGGGTCTGGAGGCAGACCCCGGGCATCATGTCTGAGCCCTATCACTCACCAGTCTCAAGATCTGAACCTTCTGCCATATCAGTGTGACCTTCAGTAACATTTATAAAAGCTTGTTGTAAAGTGTTACACAAATGAGAATATGAACAGTAACCACACACCTTTTCTATGTTTCTAGTCAATTCTTTTGAAACTTATTTTTTATTGAATAGACTTCCTTGTTGAGGTAACAATTAAAAGTTAGTCCTGTTTGGATTTATTCCAAAGGGATGAAGTACTCATTTAAAATGATTGAATTTTAGATTTAGAAGGGGCTTAAAGGGATTCCAGTCCAGTGCATTCCCTGCGTTGTTGGTTTTTTTTTTTTTTGTTGGTTTTTTTTTTAAGTATTTTTTTTTTAATAGAGGCATGTTTTATTTATTTATTTATTTGTGTTTTTTGTTTACACATGCACTGGGTACAGTCAGAAGCGCGGGAGGGTGAGAGAATTCACCAGAGCCAGAGCGGGGAGCAGAGCAGGCAGAAGGACCGAAGTACACTGCTGAGGGGAGCAGCAGGCGGCAGGAAAGGTCTGCGCACCATGTGGGACCCTCCTCCAGTGGCTGGGGAGCAGCTGGGGATGGAACCGGCGCCGCAGAGGCTGTGGGCAGCTTCGCAACCCAGCGCTCAACCACTGCGCCACCGGGGAGGCCCGGGTTTTTGTTTTTTGTTTTTTGTTTTTATATTCCCCCTAAAAAACTTTTTTTAAGGCAAGAAAAATTTTCCTAATGAAATTTTATACCACAGATACACTGTTTTTGTATTGTGACCTTTGGAGGAACATTAACTACTCTAAGATCACTCCATATTGCTTTTTTGAGAGTGCATGTTTTAGTCTAAACCTTGTTTTCACATATGAAGCCCAAGGAAATTGGATGGTTTGTGCAGACACTGAGGTGATTGTTATAGTTGAAAATGCCAAATTAATGAACTTTGAGCTAATTATTTGATTCTATCTTTATTAGTTTAGACTATGACAGTGTTCAAGAAGTTTGATTTGTATAACTTAATTGAAACAGATTTCCTCACTAGCAGGCTTCAAAATTAACAGTTTTAACTTTTAAAAGTAACAGTTTTAAGGGTTAACAAGTGAATTTATTAGGGGCTTGGGTGAAAGATACTAACGGACATGTTTATTATTTTATTTCCAGTGATCTTGTAGCTGGTCGAAGCTTCCTAAAGGTTAACCAGCAATAAGCCATTTTTATAAGACTGCTTTGACCACTAGCTGGTCAACTAGTATATGAGCTGCTCTGATAGCAAATACTGGATCTTGTCCATTACCTTGTATTTTACAAGACAAAAGCCACTGAATTTCCACCCATCATAGTGATTGAAGGCTAGCACAGAACTGTGGATAAATGTTTTAAGTTTCCTTAAGGTGATTAAGTGACTTCTTAATGTTTACATCTGTTGTAACCTGGGTCTTTAAAAAAAATAGGTTAATTTTACATTTTTGGTATTTTAAGGAAATGTAATAAACTGCTTTTGCTTTAGGTTTTTATTCACAATCCTCATAAACGGAGCCAGCATTTCAGTGTGTCCAGAGTCTTGCAGAGCCCCCTGGAGTCCGATGTTTCACTTCTCAACATTAACCAGGCAGTCAGCTGCCTGACTGCAGGAGTGCTGAACCCTGAACTTGGCTATGACACTCTGTTAGTGGGGACACAGACTAACCTTTTGGCTTATGATGTCTACAATAATTCAGATTTGTTCTACAGAGAGGTAAGTATCCCCCTTTGTAAATATACAATTGTCATTACTCATTAATGCCCATTTGGATTTTTTATGCTTGAAAGAGAGCAGACATTTATTTTGGTTTGTTTATTAAGTGACTTATAGTTAAGTAATCAGCAAGGCTTGCCATTTACATCTGCTTTATCTACTTGACACTTATTTATTTGGTTGGTAACTACTTGGTGACACTCCAGCTTGTCTCTCATGAGATGTAGCTATAATACCGCCATCTGTCAAGATCTCCTAATGAGAATTCAGCCAAGAGCCAGAAAACCAGCAAACAAGTCTCCAGTGGCTTTGCATTAAAGTTTAGTGCAGTAGTTTATAGGAGAAGTACTTAATGTGACTTGTTATCTGTCAACTATAGGCAGCTTTAATACCCAAGTAAATTCATAATTTTATAGAAAAGATAGGGAAGCAAATAGAAAAAAAAAATCAATGATATTTCTTCATGTAGAAATAACATTTTTTTTGCTTTCAGAAGAGAAAAGAACATTGTATTTTAGACGACTATTTTGAAAATTGAGGTAACATTAATTTATAGCATTATATAGGTATTAGGTGATACCTGACTCAGTTGAATTGGTTTATCCAGGTTTTTTTTACTAAGTGTATATATAATTGATTTTTTTTCTTTTTACAAAATGGTATCATACTGTATAAGTGTAGCCTTTTACTTTTTTCCTGTAATAGCTACATTAAGATATAATTTCTATACCATACAATTCAGTGGTTTTAGTTTATCCAGAGAGTTGTACAGCCATCACTACAATCAATTTTAGAAAATTTTCATTATCCCAATAGAAGCCCAAGCCCATCAGTAGACACCTCCCATTTTCCCTCAACTTCTCATCCTTAGACAACCACTCATCTACTTTCTGTCTCTATAGCTTTGCCTATTCCGGGTTTTTCATATAAATGACATCATATAATATGTGGCCTTTTGTCACTGACTTCTTTCCCTTAACGTAATATTGCCAGGCTTGATCCTTGTGGTGGCATGTACTTCATTCTTTTTGGGACTGAATAATATTTTGTTGTATGTATATACCATGTTTTATTATCCAGTTGTTAGTTAATGGACATTTGGGTTGTTTCCATTCCATGGCCTTTTTATTCAATATTATTTTGTGAACATCTTTATATGAGGTATCTCTATATCTATGTTTTATTCTTATTGATTGCATAGTATTTCATTGTGTTAATATATCAAAATTTGTTTAATTCCATATAGCTGCATATTTATGTTATTTCCATAGTTCATACTTTGATATGCTCAGATTTTTGCCAGTTTCTCTATTTCCTAAGATAAGTTCCTAGAAAAGCAATTATCTTTTTTTTTTTGGTATTTTTTATTTGGGTAAAATGTACAGTGAAATGCACAGACCTTAAACTATACGACATTTCCATCACTTAGAAAATGTTTTTGTGTCCTGTGCCAGGAAATTTCTGTTCTCCATAGACAATCACTGTTGCTCTGATAGCTATAGATTAGCTTTCCCTATTCTTGAATTTCACACAAATGGAATCATACAGAATATATTCTTTCTTGTCTGGCTTCTTTCACTCCATGTATTTGTGAAAATCATCCATGTTGTTGCTCATGACTTTAGTTCTTGTTCATTGCTGAGTGGTATTCCATTGTGAGACTATATCATAATTGCTTATCTGTTCTTTCATGATAGACTTGTGGGAGGGACACTGGAGCTGTTAATAGTTTTTGACCTCTATGAATAAAATTGCTATAAACATTTTTATATGAGTCTTTTGTGGCCTTTTTTTTAAAGATTTATTTATTTATGCATACAGGAACTGGGGTGTAGGCCAGAGGTGTGGGGGATGAGAGAATTCACCAGAGACAGAGTGGGGAGCAGAACAGGCAGATCTACCGAAATCCACTGCTGAGGGGAGCAGCGGGTGAGACAGGCGAGGTCTGCTATGCCATGTGGGTTAGCTCCTTGGCCAGGGATTAAACTCATGTTGCAGTGGCTGGCAATAGCTTAATAGTGCTGTGTCTTTAACCCCTGCACCACAAGGGAGGCCTAGTGGACATATGTTTTAATATATCTTGAGTAAATACATATGAGTGGTTGTATCATCTTACCCTTCCATCAGAAGAGTATGAGAGTTCCAGTTGTCCCATATTCTTTGTAATTTTTGGTGCTATGTCTTTTAATTTTAGCCATTTTATTTATTTACTTATCTTAAAGATTTAATGTTTTAATGTTAAGTAGTATCTCATTGTGGTTTCATTTTGCATTTCCTCATGAACAGTGATGTAGAACAGGGCCTCCCGGTGGCGCAGTGGTTGACCACTGGGTTGCAAAGCTGCCCGCAGCCTCTGCAGCACCGGTTCGATCCCCGGCCACCGGGTGAGCGTCCCACATGGCACGAAGACCTCTCCTGCAACCCGCTGCTCCCCTCAGCAGTGTACTTTGTCAGTCTGCCTGCTCTGCTCTCCACTCTGACTCTGGTGAATTCTCTCATCCTCCCACGCGTCTGACTGTACCCAGTGCTTGTATAAATAAATAAATAAATCTTTAAAAAAAAAAGTGATGTAGAACAGCTTTTCTGTGCTTGTTGTCTATTTATGCCTTTTACGAAGTACCTAAGTCTTTTTTCACCCGTATTTTATTGATTTGTAGACATTCCTTGTACAATTCCTTTATCAGCAAAGTTTCAACTTCAGTGAAGTTCAAATCATCAATCTTTTTCCTGAGCATTTATTGTTTTTTCTGTCCTTCTCAGAAATCTGTCTGTTTCAAGGTCACAAATGTACTCTCCCTATGGTTTCGAACAGGGCTGATACTGAGTTTTGGGATTACTTATACTTTTTTTTTTTTGCTTTGAAGTGAGGTATAGGCCAGAGGTGTGGGGGCTGAGAGGATTCACCAGACAGAGTGGGGAGCAGAAGAACAGGCAGATCTACTGAAAAACACTGCTAAGGGGAGCAGTGGGTGAGACAGGAGAGGTCTGTTGTGCCAGATGTAGGCTAGCTCCCTAACTGGGGATTGAACTCAGGCTGTAAAGGGGATAGTGCTGAGACTTAACCCTAGGCCACCAGGAAGGCCCACTAGGGATTTATTCATTTTATGAAATTGGGTCACACATTTGTAAAGGATGGGTTTCGAAATTTAAAAGGTAGACTGGTCGACTGGAGGCCCAGTGAAGAGCTGATGTTGAAACTCAAATTCAGAGGCAGTCTGGTGTCAGAATCTTTCCTTCCTCTGGGGAGGGCCTTCTTTTTCCTATTTAGATCTCTACTTGTTAGATGAGGCCCACCCATATTATGGAGAGTAATTTGCTTTATACAAAGTCTACTGATTTAGGGGCTGCCCTGGTGGTGCAGGGGTTAAAGACAAAGCACTATCAAGGCCAGCCACTTCAGCCAGGGAGCAACCCACATGACACAGCAGACCTCTCATGTCTCGCCTGCCACTCCCCTCAGCAGTGTATTTCGGTTGATCCACCTGTTCTGCTCCCCACTCTTTCTGGTGAATACTCTCACCCCCCCCACCTCTCTGGTCTACACCCCAGTTCTTATATACATAAAATAAATAAATCTTAAAAAACAAAAACAGAAACAAAGTAAATTGATTTAAAAGTCAATCTTATCTAAAAAAATACTTTCACAGAAACATCTAGAATAATGTTTGGCCAAATATCTGGGTCTGATGGTCCAGCCAAGTTAACACATAAAATTAATGATCATAAGGATTCAACTTTGTAATTGCTGAGTTAAACCTGTTTAGATGAGTTTTTTAAATAGATATTGCTAAATTCCTCTTTAGAAAGACCACCATTTTTCTATCTATTTCTCAGAATATGAAAGTACCTGTTTTATCAGACCCTAACCAGCAATGGATAGTATTGTTTTTTTTCATCTTTGCTAATCTGAAAAATGATATATTGTGAGAAGGAACATTTTTTGTGTTTGTTGGCTATTTGCATTTTTTCTTTTGTGAATTTCCTGTTAATTTTTTGGGGGGAGCTTGAGGCACTTACTGTTCTTATTTATTTGCTCTTTACTAACTTTCTATCTTACTATAAATTACAGTTATCCTCCCTAGTACGTTGTTCACCTTTTAACTTTGTTTTTGATAGATTATTTAGCAGTTTAGTTTCTTTTTTCAGCAGTTTAGTTTCTTATGAAGGCTTTTATTTCCTTTGTAGCCACGCTTTTTCTTTATGGTTTTCTTACTTAGAGATGGTATAAGTAAAGACTGTTTTCCCATACAGTATTAGTGCTTATAAAGATGTTCTTGAAGGGCCTTCCCGGTGGTGCAACAGGTTGAGCGCAGCGCTGTGAAGCTGTCCATGTTCTCTGCAGTGCGGATTCGATCCTGGCCTACCGGGGAGAATCCCACATGGCGAAGCAGACCTCTCCAGTCTCGCCCGCTGCTCCCCTCAGGAGTGTATTTCGTCAGTTTGCCTGTTCTGTTCCCCAATCTGTCTCTGGTGAATCCTCTCACCCTCCAGCGCCTCTAGCCTGTACCCCAGCTCTTGTATAAATAAATAAATCTTTTTTAAAAAAAGATGTTCTTGAATCTTCCAAAAATAAATTATGCATATGTATGTCACTGAAATCTGGAATGTTTATTAATTCTGCATGGTGGTTTTATTACTCTTTGTACTTTTTAGTAACTTTACAGTTAGAATGTTAGTAAAAGAACTGGGTAATAAATAAATATTAAAAAGATTTCCATTTAAAATAAGTTACAAAAGTGGGTATTTTAAAGGCATATGTCTTGATTCTCTGGAAAATTTTGCCTATAGAACCTGGTGGTTTTTGAGAGCCTCAGATTTTATAGCAGTTTTTTTTGCAGTAGATTGGTGTGAGTGATCAAGGGCCCGGGTTTATGTGGCTCTGCCCTCATCCGAGCAGAAGTTCACATAAGCCACAGTTAATGTCCTGAGTGGACAGCCGTGGCCAGCCTCTCAGGAGACCATGTGGCTTTTCGTAAAGGGTGACAGAGGAATTTAAGTACCAAAGAAAAATAAGGATCTGTGTTACCTCCAGGCTTTCTGTAAATCCTTGTATCTGAGGTTTTATGTCTCTTTATTTCTTTTCCTTATTAGGTAGCAGATGGGGCAAATGCAATTGTGCTAGGGACATTGGGAGATATTTCCTCACCTCTTGCAATTATTGGTGGAAATTGTGCTCTACAGGGTTTTGATCATAAAGGAAACGATCTCTTTTGGACGGTAAGAACAAACACTCTGACACTTAAACATTTTTAATTTAAGATTATTGACTCTAATGAATATAAAAATAAAATAGGACATTTATAATTCTGTATATTTCAAAAAGGATATGAGTACTTTGAATAGCCTGTTGGTAGTTTGTATAATCCTCTCATGTGGTTAATATATTTGCATTAAGTGAAGAAAGATGGCATTATTAATGATTTTTGGTTTTATTTTCAGGTTACTGGAGATAATGTTCAGTCCTTGGCCTTGTGTGACTTTGATGGTGATGGGAAGAAAGAGGTCTGTGGGGGAGGATGTGATTCTCTTGTGTGTTCAGCTGAAAAAATTTTCCCATGATGTTTGAGAGCTAACACTTTGTTAGCATCTCATGGTTAATTTTTTTTTAAAGATTTATTTATTTATGCATACAAGAGCTGGGGTACAGGCCAGAGGTGCAGGGGGTGAGAGGATTCACCAGAGACAGAGTGGGGAGCAAGACAGGCAGACTAACTGAAATACACTGCTGAGGGGAGCAGCGGGTAAGACAGGAGAGGTCTGCTGCACCATGTGGGTAGCTTCCTTGCTGGGGATTGAACTCATGCTGCAGTGGCTACAGACAGCTTCATAGTGCTGTGCTTAACCCCTTGCGCCACCAGGGAGGCCCTCATGGTTAATTTTGGTGCTCTGTTGCCTAAATAATGAACTAACTGGCCTCATTCATCTTTCCCCTCTTTTTTGAACAAAAAAAAAAAAAATCCCTTCTGTTTGTCTAATATAAAGATCTAGGCCTTGATATTTCAGAGGCATGGGGTGGGGACAGAGGCCAGAACAGCTAATGGAACTACAGTCATATTCAAAATCGTATGGTTGCTTCAATTCTTTGAACCATATTAATAAGTATTTTTCAATTTTCTTTCAGAATCTAGAAGTTTTAGGGATTGCCTCTTAGCCTTTGAAATTATTATAACAATTTTTTCTAGAAATTAGCTTCTTGAGTAGCCATTGAAGTGCTGCGTGGGATACTAACTTACCCCCTGTTCTCCATGAATACTGAGTTCTTGCCTTTGGATTGGGCTTCCATCTGCAGGAAAAAGGGCACTAAACCAGGAACCTGTTTCAGGTGCTTAATGAAAGAACGAGACCTGGCTGGCTGTGTAGCACACAGGGCAGGGTGAAGTCTGTAACTGCCGTTTGTTCGTCACTGGATGAACCTGTGACCCCCCCATGACAGGGTCCCTCCCTGAGCATCGAGTTACTGGGAGATTGGAGCTCTTGGGTGGCAGTAGCAACATACCAAGTATTATGCAATTTTTATGTTTTATTTGTGGAAATTCTGTTGTGTGCACTGGTTGAACTAAATATGCATGATATCTCCCTCCCACCCCCATTTAGCTTCTTGTTGGCTCTGAGGATTTTGATATCCGAGTTTTTAAAGAAGATGAGATTGTGGCAGAAATGACAGAAATAGAGGTAAGAAGCGCACCACATACTTCTGCTTACTGTGGCAAGAGAGGTCAGCATGTCAGAAGTGCAGCATCAAGTGAGAGTGCTGGACATCTGCTCACAACTCAGGGAGTCAGGAGGCACTGACAGTGGGGAATAGATAGAGCTGTACATCACAGAGGAAGGAAGCCTTTCAACATCCTGTATCGCTTCCTTTTGGCCGGAACCACTCTCTTCTAGGAGACAGCCAAAATGACCCACCCAAAATGAAGGAGGAAGAGAGTCATCCTAGTCCACGAAAGAGAGAAACCATGAACTGATCAAGACCAGGGTTAGGGAATCTGGAACCAATTGATAAAAATGTGGACTTAATGAAATCTTTATTTCAGGGCCATTTTCCTGTCCTCTCAGTTTTATTTTGCTCTGAACTCAAATGTCTTTTCCTAGCTCAGCAAAATCATAATTATCATCTGGCAGCTGAACAGTACTAAGTATTGCCAAAAGAATGTCTTGAGCTAAATCATTCTGAAATCCTACATACCACTTTGTATTCAGAGTTAATGAAGTGGGTGGTTGTGTCAAAAATGTGTAGGTGTAAAGGAAATTACATAAGTATTCTCTGCTTTATATTTTCCTTAATATCTCCCGTATTAGGGTCAGAATTAGAAAGTAAATCTGCAAGATGATAGATCTCATCATACTTTGATTGTAACTTTAAAGGATAGTTTCGTTCGGTATCTCACATTTTTTTAACTTTTTAAAATTTGTTTTTGTGTAGAAGAACTGGGTTGTAGGCCAGAGGTATTGGGGGTGGGGGGTTGTGAGAGGATTCACCAGAGACAGAGTGGGGAGTAGAACAGGCACATCTACTGAAATATACTGCTAAGAGGGACAGGGGGCAAGACAGGGGAGGTCTGCTGTGCTATATGTGTGTTAGCTCCCTGGCTGGGTATCGAACTCAGGCTGTAGAGGTGATAGTGCTGAGACTTAACCCCTAGGCTACCATGGAGGCCACAGTATCTAAAATTTTATCCTTTTAAGGAGGTCAGCTCCTTGAACAGTCCTAGAAATATTTCTGGTAACACACATTTGAATATTGTTATGTACACATACTTAAGTCCTTAGGTTTTCATTTTTGAAAACCTTTCCCTAGCATTTTTGAAAACCTTTCCCTGGCAAAGATAATTTAATTGTGGATTTTGCAAATCTTTAAAATTTAGACTGTAGGATATTACAAGTTAAGGAAACTGGAATAACCATTAAGTATCTTGAGTTAATGTGTATAACATCTATTATACATAATCTAGATCATGTATGCCAGTTTATTTCCTCCTTAATTCCTGAATCTTACCAATCTTACCATGGGTTGTTTTTTTTTTTTAAAGATTTATTTATTTGTGCATACAAGAACTGGGGTACAGGCCAGAGGTGTGGGACGGGGTGAGAGGATTCACCAGAGACAGAGAGGGGAACAGATCAGGCAGATTGACTGAAATACACTGCTGAGGGGAGCAGTGGGCGAGACAGAAGAGGTCTGCTGTGCTGTGTGGGTAGTTCCCTGGCCAGGGATTGAACTCGTGCTGCAGAAGCTATGGATAGCCTTACAGTGCTGTGCTCAACCCCTTGTGCCACCAGGGAGGCCCACTCTGGTTGTTTTTTTAAATTAATAATATGCTTAAATAATTCTGAGGGTCCATGTCATCTTGACATGGATCACAGTGAAGGGGAAAACATTCCCAGTTAATGAATTGGAAGTGCATTGATACCTAGTTTTAACAGATTTGTAGCAAGACATAAAATTTTATAAAGCCATGCTTCACATTAAAATGAACCTTAATGGACAGGTGTATTTTTGTTTATTATTTTTTGCAGAAAATCACCTCTCTTTGCCCCATGTATGGCAGTCGATTTGGCTATGCCCTTTCCAATGGCACAGTTGGAGTTTATGACAAAACATCCCGCTATTGGAGAATTAAAGTTAGTATGACTTAACCTCTCAATATTCAATAATTTGATCGTTATTGAGAGGCTTCTATATTAATTGTTGAAATTCCTTTTCAGTCCAAAAATTATGCGGTGAGCATTCATGCTTTTGACCTTAATTCTGATGGAGTATGTGAACTGATAACTGGTTGGTCCAATGGGAAGGTAAGTCTAAATAGCAGCGTTCTGAGTATTAACTGTCTGAGATGTATCAGCTATGTGATTCAGAACAGTAACTTGAGAATACAAGCATGTATTGCTGGACTGTGTTTTCAACCTTAACTTCATCCTCTTTCCACATTTTTTTTCTGTAGTGGTCAGTACTATTGAGTAAGTGTCCTTTGGTCGTATAAGCCCTATTTGGGGGGAAATCTCTAGGAAGGTTTTCTCTAAATCTCATCTTTGAAGGAATGAGGATCCATTCAACTAGGATGATCCTAATAAAAAAGGGAACTTTAATAAGCTAATAATGAACTGTTTCTATAGTAGTTTTAATAAGTCTTTGAGAGTTTCTGAAAAATAATGGGAACAATTATGTTATATTGTTTTTCTAGCTGTGACTTCAAAGTAAACCTTTTTGCTTTCTTTCCCTTTTTAACTTCCAATCAGAATTTCTGCAGTCTTGGCAAGTCAGGATTGTCTTGCTAGAAACTAAAAGGTTGCCAGATCTCCATGGATACCATGTTCCTACTTTTCTGATCTGTCAGTGCTGCATTGCTGGCGAGATCAGTTAATTCCTGTCTTTTCTTTGATTTTCCTTGGCTTTTGCCTGGTACCATATAACCTTCCTTTTGTGCTGTATAAAGAACAGGGTCTAAGCAGCTATTATGTTGGTTCCTGTTTCTCCACCTGATAGAGTCTTTGGTGTGGATATTAAAAACTGTAAGATGAGACTGTGTAGTTACTTGTTAAGAAACTTCAAAGTCTGTAAAATGGACCATATTCTGTGGGAATATAAATTATATTTGATTCAAGAATTAGAAAATACTGGTCTTCAGCTAGCCTTTTGTTGCTAATATATGTGTTCTTGTTTGGAACAAAATCATTTTTGTTGTTTGGAGATAACATTTGGTTTCTGATCAGTCAGTTGTTTACCTCTCTTTTTTTTAAATTTTTTTTTAAAGATTTATTTATTTATTTATACAAGCACTGGGTACAGTCAGAAGCACGGGAGGGTGAGAGAATTCACCAGAGCCAGAGCGGGGAGCAGAAGAGGCAGACCGATGAAATATACTGCTGAGGGGAGCAGCGGGTGCGCCAGGAGAAGTCTGCGTGCCATGTGGGACCCTCGCCTGTGGCCGGGGATCAAACCGGCACTGCAGAGGCTGCGGGCAGCTTCGCAGCCCAGCACTCAACCTCTGCACCAGGAAGGCCCTGTTTGCCTCTCTTGAGGAGACTGAAAGAGAACAGGAGAAAGTAAAATATCTGGATGGTTTTGATTGGAAGAGGAGGGTATCTAAAGTGGGTATTATAGAATGTTACGGTGGAAGATTGGGCTAGCTTAAAATTTTTCAAACTTTAGATATAAATATACTTTATACATTTCTATGTAATAAAAATAACCTTTTAAACAGAGCTGACATTTCTTTCATCGTTTATGGGTCAGACCTGTTCCCAGTGCTTTACATGTGTTAACTCTTGTAGGACTCTATAACTCTGTGAGGTGCATGTGCTGTTATTTTCATTTTCTTCTTGTTCCCTGGATGAGAAGCCCAAGCTCAGGATGGTTAAGAAACTTGCCTGAGATCCCATAGGTAGTAAGTAGCAGAGCTGAAATCTGTTTGGGCTTTTGTACTAGGCTGTGTGTACTGTATGTACTGCCTCTCAGCCAATGCATTTCCTCAAATGAAATGTTATATGAAGATCATGATGTAAAATGGCTCCTATCTATTTATTTTAAAGGAAGAAAGCAAGCTGGTTGAGGCCCCTTAATGTCCCCTGACCCCAATGGTCTTAGGTACCTTCTGAGAAGTCAGAGGCCTCCAGAGGGTGCTCTCGAAAACTGCTAGACAAACTGACATTTGCAACTAATTTCAACTCTAAAAAACTAGCCTAGGCAGTGTTTCAATTTCTTATTTTTTGATTTTTTTTTTTTTTTTTGCAGGTCGATGCTCGAAGTGACCGAACAGGGGAAGTCATCTTTAAAGACAACTTTTCTTCTGCAGTTGCTGGTGTGGTAGAGGGAGATTACCGGATGGATGGCCGCATGCAGTTAATCTGCTGCTCTGTGGATGGGGAAAGTAAATGGGGATGAGGAAAGTAAACAGGGTCGAGCTAAATCCTTGAAAAGTCAGACTTTTAATTTGATTGGGTGGGAATACAAGTTATCCCACTATGAAGCATTAGTATTGATATTCTCTTATTCTAATAATTTCACCCAAGTTGGGGAGATGAAAACATAGGTTTTTGGTTTTTAAGGACATGTAATTGATGACTTGCTACTAGACCTAGTCATGTTGTGACGTTCCTTGTTCTGATGAGTGTTTCTTTTGGTGCAGTCCGGGGCTACCTGCCAGGCACAGCTGAAATGAGAGGGAATCTCATGGACACCAGCATAGAGCAGGACCTGATCCGAGAGCTGAGCCAGAAAAAACAAAATCTGTTGCTGGAACTCCGAAACTATGAGGAAAACGCCAAGGTAGGTCCTAAAGTGAAGGAAATGGGATCTGAAAAGTTTAGAATGACCGGAAGGATTGGCAAATGAGTGTTGATGTCTACCAGAGCCTGGGCTCCCCCCGACTCGCTGGCAGATGTGCCACTGCTTTAGCTTCTTTGCCAGGGCCAGGATTAAGGGGGCATGTATTTGGTCTAGAAATTCTCCATGTATATAACCTAAACTATAGAAATATTTGCAAGGGTATTCAAAGACATTTACTACAGCACTATTTGTAGGAATAAACAGTTGGAGGCCGCTTAAATGTTGATCTGTAGTAGGGAGTATGTCCTAGGGAATTGTAATAAGCAGCTTAAAAGAATAAAGTGCCTATATACTTGGTCTGATAGGGAAGGATATCTGTGGTATTAAGTGAAAAAGCAAGAACAAATACCTTTTTCTTTTTTCTTTTTTTTTCCTTTGCGTAGAAGAACTGGGGTGTAAGCCAGAGGTGCGTGGGGTGAGAGGACTCACCAGAGACAGAGGAGCAATACAGGTGGATCCACTGAAGTCCACTAAGGGCAGCAGCAGGAGAGATAGGAGAGGTCTGCTGCATAATCAAATTCAGGCGGTAGAGATGATAGCGCTGAGACTTAACCCCTAGGCCACCAGGAAGGCCTTGTGGCCATATTATTTAAAATTGGTGTTAGTTCACTGTTTTGGTGACTGAGTTGGAAGTGAATGGGGTGTTTTGCAGGCTGACTTGAGCAGCCCACTGAATGAGGCTGATGGGCATCGGGGCATCATCCCAGCCAATACCAAGCTCCACACTGCCCTCTCGGTGAATCTGGGGAGTGAGATTCAAGCTGCTCATGCAGAATTGTGTATTTCCACATCTAATGGTAAGAAATTATTTATTGCTGGCTTTGTAGGCACCTGTGCCATCTTGGAGTGATTCTTGAGATGCTGTTTTCTCTCTTCTTTGCAGACACTATCATCCGAGCAGTATTGATTTTTGCAGAGGGAATTTTTCTGGGTGAAAGCCATGTGGTACACCCCAGCATTCACAACCTCTCCAGTTCAATCCGCATCCCAATCTCACCTCCCAAGGATGTCCCTGTGGACCTGCACTTGAAGGTCTTCGTGGTTACAGAAGCAGGTGACCCTTTTCAAGTTTCAGTTCATTTCCAGATTGCAATTAGAGGGTAGAGGATGTGTAGACATCCCAGTATGTGATGGCTTTCTGGGGCAGACAAGCCATTTAATGGTCCTACCCTTTCAGGCAAGCTTTTCTATCACCTTTTATTTAAGGGGGAAAAAGGGCATTTAAATTTTAGTTGGTATTTTCTGGTTTTAGTCAGATGATCTTATAATCTTAAGAGTTCCAAAAATGGGGCCTCCCCGGTGGCGCAGCGGTTGAGCGCTGGGTTGCGAAGCTGCCAGCAGCCTCTGCAGCGCCGGTTCGATCCCGGCTGCTCCCCAGCCACGGAGGAGGGTCCCACATGGCGCGCAGACTTCTCAGCAGTGTACTGGCTCTGGTGAATTCTCTCAGCTTCTGACTGTACCCAGTGCTGTTACAAACAATGAATAAATAATAAATAAATAAAACATGCCTCTATTAAAAAAAAAAAAAAAAAAGAGTTCCAAAAATGTGGCTACATGATGATTTATAAACTTCTAATTTTAGCCACTTAGATTACAAGATTTTGACTGTACCTCTTTTTTTTTTTTTTTTTTTTTTTGGCTGTACCTCTTTAGTAAAGTTATACAGAACCTCACAAGTGAGGAGATGCCACTAGATTTGTAGAAGATGCAGCCTTTTCACGTTCCTTTTAGGGTGTTTTAGTCCCTTTAGTGTCACTGTAGACTCCTGTTATTTCTAAGTCCCAAGACCTGTGAGTAGTGCTTGAACAAACCTCACATTTTTCTAGGGTTTCTTTTTTAGTGAAACCCTTCGATATCAACATGATGACCCAGTAGTGGTTTTACATTTATTTTGTGGACCTTACATTTTTTGAAATAATGTTCTGTACCAAACAATTCTCTTCCACGGATTGGCCACAGCACCCAGTTTCATGTATTTGAGTTGACAAGACAGCTCCCCCGATTCTCCACGTATGCCCTGACCAGCCCAGATGCTGCCAGCGAACCACTCGGTTATGTGAACTTTGTTATTGCAGAACGTGCTCAGAGGGTGAGTGTCTGGCTTTTTTCTTGCGGTACTTTTGCATTTTAGAATCCTTCAGCTGTTATTTTCTAGGTAGGGAGATGTTACATGAATGTGTCACTTGGTGCAGTGATTATGACATGAAAGTTATGTGGTTTGGAGTTGGCTTATGACCTGTAACAAAAATATTGCTGAAATGGCTTCTCTCATTTTGAAAAACTATACCTGTTATTTACCTGAGCAATTCCTTAATTACAGGTAAATTTTTACCAGTTTTTCATTCCCCTTTTTCTTTTGTTAGGGTCTTAGTATGTTCTTGACGCAGAGTGTCAAGAGCAGCCCATATCAAAATGGAAAGAGACGGGCTTGCAGCTAGGAACACTCTTGGATTCAAGTGTTACCTTAATTAATTAAATTCCTGGCAATCTGGGGAAACTCCCTTGTCTGTTAGTGGGGGTAGTTTTGTAATGAAGTGGACCTCTGATGATCACATAATTAGTGTGACAGCACCTACTATAGCTTAAAGGACTAAGAACCAGCGGACTTTTAACCTTGGCTGGACTTGAGAATTCTCCGTGAGGGTTTTCAATGGTGTAGAATTCAGGATCCTTTTCAGGTTATAGAATCAGAAACTCTAGAGGTAGACTCTTCCAGAAGGCCTCACAGGTGGTTCTTACGTGACACCTGTGTAGCAAACCTCTGTAAAGTATTATTATAATTAATACAAAAACTTATTGTGTAGGTATAGTCTGTGCTGAGTGTGCATACAGGCTTCGTTTAAATTTTTTTAAAGAATGGAATTTTTTTTAAAGATTTATTTATGCATATGAGAACTGGGGTACAGGCCAGAGGTGCAGGGGGTGAGAGGATTTACCAGAGACAGAGAGGGGAACAGAACAGGCAGACTGAAATACACTGCTGAGGGGAGCAGCAGGTGAGTCAGGAGAGGTCTGCGCCATGTGGGTAGCTCCATGGCCAGCCAGGGATCAAACTTGTGCTGCAAAGGCTGCTGATAGCTTCACAGTGCTCTGCTCAACCCCTGCGCTACCAGGGAGGCCCTGGAATGGAATACTTTTAAGTAGATTACATTATCCAGGAGATAGCACCAGATAGCTATCATGTAAACAGGATTAGCATTATGCCCAAGTCATTTCTATATTGTGTGTGAGATTATGTGTAAGTAGAAAATGAAAATTGTAGAACCAGATGTAACTACAAAGGTTACTTAAGAACATGTATAAGGTGGGAAGAGGGAACGTACTTTAAAAATGGAAATTCATTGCATCCTATTCATTTTTAAGGTTGTTATGTGGCTCAGCCAGAACTTTCTGTTACCAGAAGACATTAACATTCAGAATGCTCCATTTCAAGTGTGTTTCACATCCTTACGGAATGGTGGCCAGCTGTATATAAAAATAAGACTTAACGGAGAGGTAATGTTTATTGTGATGGACATAGATTTTGTATGCAGTATTTACCTTTTAGTGCAAAGTGAGGCACCAATTTCAAGGTCATAAAATCACATTTCAATTTAGTCTGTTGTGTTATCTTTGTAGGCACTGAGGTATAATCTATCTAGAACAGTGGTTTTCTGTCTTCCTCCTTCTTACCCTGTACCTCTTCTAATTTGGAAAGGGTTGGGACTATAGAGGAAAACACTTTCACTGTTCGAGTGATTTTGTTATTTATTTTGGAAGGCTAGAGTATCCATCTTTTAGCCTGCTGCTAGAAATAATGAATTTGATTTGTAATTTCCTTGAGGGCTATCCTTATCTTAGTCATCACCACATATAAATGTAAGCTCCATAAATATGTTGAATATGGGGAAATTTAGTCCCATTTCAGCTAAATTTGTATGAGACAATATCTGAGATTGCTAAACTTGTCTCTTTTTTTTCTCTGGATAGATCACCATAAATACTGATGATATTGATCTGGCTGGCGATATCATCCAGTCAATGGCGTCATATTTTGCTATTGAAGACCTTCAGGTAGAAGCTAATTTCCCCATCTACTTTGAGGAATTACGAAAGGTGCTGGTTAAGGTGAGGACGCCAAGTAGAGGCATTTGTGAGAACATGATCATCCAATAGTCTTTGAAACATCTTTGAAACATTTCTCTTAGAATATTAACAATACCACAAATACATGTAGACGATAGTCATGTTTTAAAGTAGTTATGCAAATTCATAAAGTCAAAATTGAACAAGTATTGGAGAATCTACTCATTAAAGAATTTCTTCTATAAAAGTGAGTGGTTGGCTCTTGACTGTCTGCTTTCTTGCTTAGTTTAGGGGGACACTTTACATTTTAATAGCATTTTCCTTTGCAAGTCCTCCATCTTGTCTCTAGTATTTATTTGCCTCCCTGGTTTCGTGCTTTAAACAACCCAAAATCAAAAGAAAAAAAGAAAAACAAGGATTGTGACCTGTTCCAGTTATGACGGCATTGCCACCCAGGTCCCTGGAGTGTTAATATGTGTGTTGCTAGGACTGGGAGTGCTAAGACAGGGGACGGATCCAAGTGGAAGGTTGTCTTCAGTGTGGGAGGCAACGCAGACTGTCTCAGTGAGGAGCCAAAGCATGAGAGAGAGAGAAGATGGCATCCTCAGACAGGGGAAAAAGAAGGCCAGTGTGTTGTAGACAGTGTCTTCCTAATCTGATTAGTTTTAAAGAAGTTTGTGAGGCCTTTTTGATTCCTCAGTGTTTGTGGTCTCTAGGTGGATGAATATCATTCAGTGCACCAAAAGCTCAGTGCTGACATGGCTGACAATTCTAATCTGATCCGAAGTTTGCTGGTCCGTGCTGAGGATGCTCGTCTGATGAGGGACATGTGAGTATTTATCATGACCAGGACAGATGTAGGGTTAAAAATGTCAGCACTATGGAATAGCAGCTCTTCGATGCTACTGGTAGGTGCGTGAATTGGTACATTGACTGTGGAAAATAACTTGGTGTTGTCAGTAAAGTTGAGAATGTGTACTCCTTATAACCCAGCAATTCCACTCTTGGTTTATAACTTAAAGAAACTCATGTACATATAAACCAGGACATTTTTTTTTAAATCTTTTTTTGGTGAAGAATTGGGGTGTAGGCCAGAGGTATAGGGAGTGAGAGGATTCACCAGCGACAGAGTGGGAAGCAGAACAGGTGGATTGACTGAAATACACTGCTTAGGGAACAGCAGGCAAGACAGGAAAGGTCTGCTGAGCCATGTGGGTCAGCTCCCTGGCCAGGATTCGAACTCAGGCCATAGAGGTGAAAGAGATGAGATTTAACCCTTAGGCCACCATGGAGGCCTTAAACCAAGCTTTTTGGTGTAAGTATGCTTGTAAAGGCATTGTTCATAAGAATACCAAATGGGGGCCTCCCCGGTGGCACAGCGGTTGAGTACTGGGCTGCAAAGCTGCCTGCAGCCTCTGCAGCGCCGGTTTGATCCCCGGCCACCAGCGAGGGTCCCACATGGCACGCAGACCTCTCCTCTCGCGCCCGCTGCTCCTCTCAGCAGTGTACTTCATCAGTCTTCCTGTTCTGCTCCCCGCTCTGGCTCTGGTGAATTTTCTCACCCTCCTGTGCTTCTGACTGTACCCAGTGCTTGTATAAATAAATAAATAAATCTTTAAAAAAAAAAAAATATATACCAAATAGGAACAATTCAAACTAACCTCACCAGAGTGATTGCCCTGTTATGATGTGTCCACACGGTGGAATGCTGCAGCACCACAAGAATGCAGGTATCACGGTGACATGTAACGTGGACAGATCTCAGAAATGTAATGAAGATTGGAAGATGTAAGACTCAAAAGACTATGTAAAAAATGCTTCCATTTATATAATTTGGAAATGGACAAGATTAAACCATATCATTGGGAAGCATACACAGGTGATAAAAAAATATAAAGAAATGCAGGGAACAGACTATCATATGAGAGAGTGTTTTCTCCCAGGGGAGGAGGGACTTCTGAGAAAGAACATACTGGGAAAGTGCTGGGATGCTGGCACTCTCCTGCCTCTGACCTGGTCAGCACATAACTTCCTCTATCACTGGTGAAAAATTTTACTGAATCAGTCTCAGTTTATTCTGTCCCCCTCCAGGAATTATTATATCATTTTGCGTTCCCTTCAGTACTCTAAGAGAGTCCCTGTTTGCCTTTAAACTTGCCTTGATTATTTACTGATTTGATGGATGAGAAATGGTCTCGTTTTAATTTAATTAAATTTTTTTAAAAATTTATTTATTTATACAAGCACTGGGTACAGTCAGAAGCGCAGGAGGGTGAGAGAATTCACTAGAGCCAGAGTGGGGAGCAGAGCAGGGAGACTGATGAAGTACACTGCTGAGGGGAGCAGCGAGCAGCAGGAGAGGTCTGCGCGCCATGTGGGACCCTCACCGGTGGCCTGGGGTTGAACCAGTGCTGCAGAGGCTGTGGGCAGCTTCACAGCCCAGTGCTCAACTGCTGCGCCACCAGTGGAGGCCCTTTAATTTTATTTTATATGAGAAGTGTTAAACATTTTTTATATTGTTTTAAGGGCCATCAGATTTCTTTTGTTGTGAATTGTTTGTTTCTTTTGTCTACTATATACTGGTATATTATTCCATTTTTTTAATATGAGTTGTAAATATTTTTGTTCAGTAAATACTTGTGGTTTTTAAAAATTTTATTATTTTGTCAGGTACATGCTTATTAAAATTCTTATATAATCAAATTTATTAGCCTTTTCCTTAATGCCTCTATATTTTGAGTTCTAATTAGAAAAGTCACTTTTTGTGCCAGGTATAGAATGATTCACCTATGTATTCTTTTGGTAGATTTATGTTTTCCTCTTTTACGTTTGAGTCGGTGTTCCAGTTACCCTGGTATTTGGTATAATAAATTCAGTTATATTTTTTCTATATAACAGTTTTTTGGTTTGAGATGCTGACTTTTGTCATATATTTTCATATGCAGTTGTGTCTTTTCAGAATTTTCCATGCCAATCTTTTGGTTTATCTTGTGTCTTCATTAGACAGTACCATTTTGTTAATATCTGGTGTGGCTAGGTGCCTCTACCCTCACCCTCTGTTGCTCTTTTGTTTTTTATAGTTTTCCTGGCTACTTGTACTTGTTTGTTCATTCCAGTGAACATTAACAGTTTATTATTATATTTAGTTATATTAACCAGAAAATAAAGGTAGGAATTTTTATGGAGGTCACATTAAGGTTATTTACTTAGGAAGACCTGACATCATTACAGTGATGTTCAGTCTTGCTAGATAAACACATGATGTCTTTATATATGTTTAAATTATGTTTTATATCTTTCAGGAGTATTTGATGATGGTTTTTCATGGTGATATTAGACATTTTTTGTTAAATTTAAGCCTAGGTATTTTCTTTTTGCAATTGTAAATAGTATTTTTCTTCTACAGTGTACCTCTTGTTTTTTTGTTTGTATCTAAGCACTATTAATTTTTGTATGTTGATTTTACAGTCTACCACTTTTTAAATCAGAGTTATTGCTGGCGTTAGGTACTTGGCTATGCTAAACTGGAGAGAAGTGGCCGCCAAGCTCTAAATTCTTTTTTCCTTGAATTATTTATATTTCATTCAGAGACCCTCATATGTATATATTTGTTTTTATCTTTTAAAGTCATGTTAGTTGATACATAATTTATAATTTAATTCAGGAAATTTACCCTTTTCATATTTGTTATTGTTACTTTTGCTTGTACATTTTGAGAAACTTATGTAATTGTGTTACTGCTGCCAAAGTCACGATAGACTCTTTCCATCATCCTTGTGCTTCTGCAAAGGTACCTCTCTTAATCCCCAGTCCCTGATTTCTCTCCCTATAGATTTACCTTTTCTAAGGTGTCATATAAAGGACCTCCCTGGTGGCTTAGGGGTTAAATGGCTCATCACAGTGGCCTGAGTTTGCTTTCCAGCTAAGGAGCTGACCCACGTGGTGTATCAGACCTCTCCTGTCTTGCCCACTGCTCCCCTAAGCAGTGTATTTTCAGTAGATCTACTTGTTCTGCTCCCTACTCTGTATCTGATGAATCCTCTCACCCCCTGCATCTCTGGCCTACACCCCAGTTCTTCTATGCAAAAATAAAAACTTTACTAAGATATTTATCTCTTTTAATAGAGGCATGTTTTTTTTTTTTTTATTTATTTATTCATTTGTTTGTTTTTTTGTTTTTTTTTATACATGCACTGGGTACAGTCAGAAGCGTGGGAGAGTGAGAGAATTCACCAGAGCCAGAGCGGGGAGCAGAGCAGGCAGAAGGACCGAAGTACACTGCTGAGGGGAGCAGCGGGCGGCAGGAGAGGTCTGCGCGCCATGTGGGACCCTCCTCCGGTGGCTGCAGCCGGGGATCGAACCGGCGCTGCAGAGGCTGCTGGCAGCTTCGCAACCCAGCGCTCAACCGCTGTGCCACCGGGGAGGCCCGATATTTATCTCTTTTAAAAAAAAAAAAAAAGATGTCATATAGGGCCTCCCTGGTGGCACAAGGGGTTAAGACGCAACCTGTGAAGCTATCCGCAGCCACTGCAGCATGAGTTCAATCCCCGGCCAGGGATCTGACCCACATGGTGCAGCAGATCTCTTCTGACTCACCTGCTGCTCCCCTCAGCAGTGTGTTTCAGTCCATCTGCCTGTTCTGTTCCCACTCTGTCTCTAGTGAATCCTCTTACCCCACACCTCTGGCCTGTACTCCAGTTCTTATATGTATAAATAAATAAATCTTTAAAAAAAAAAAGTCATATAAAGGAATAAATCATAGCGTATAGACTCTTGAGTCTGACTTTTATTTGCCCTGATGGCTTTGAAGTTCATCCATGTTGTGACAGTAAGTGTTTTGCTTACCCAGTCACCAGTTCACATTTGGGTTGTTTCCAGACTTGGTGGTTGTGAATAAAACTGCTAGAAACATTTGCATACAGGTTTTTTTGCTCACATGTTTTCATTCATTTGGGGTAAATATTTTGCATAGTGGGATTGCTGTGTTGTAAAGTAGGTATATGTAACTTTATAAGAAACTCCCCAAATCCTTTTCCAAAGTAGCTGTCCCACTTTGCATTCCCATCAGTTGTGCAGGTGACCTCCAGTTGTTCCATGTCCTTCCACCATTTGGTATTACTATTTATTTTATTTTATTCCTTTTCATCATTGTACAGTAATGTCTTACCATGGTTTCAATTTTATGCATTTGGTTTAAAACCTAGATAAAATATGAAGCTGAATTGTTTAGTTATGTCAAGGAGGTTTATTTTTTATTAAAAATAGGTCAGTTTTGTTTAGTGATTATTACTCTGAAATTTGGGTTCTAGCCTGTCACCTTGCTCACTATCCTCCCAGCACAGTGGGCATATAAACATGGTAATTCTTGGTTCCTAATTTCAAACAAATGCTGGATTAATAACCAAAGGATTTGTCTTCCATTTATTTGGAAGAAATAGAATATTTGATAGAAAATTTTTAATATTCTCAAGGCAAATTTTAGAAGTTAAATTGTTGTAATGACTACATACTAAATATCTTCTGATTTCCTTTCATGGCTAAGAAATTTACAAATGTTTCCATTTAAGCCTGCCATATTGATGTACAATGATGTTAAATTTCTCTTGATTTATGCAGGAAAACAATGAAGAGTCGCTATATGGAACTCTATGATCTTAATAAAGACTTGCTAAATGAATATAAAATTCGCTGTAATAATCACACAGAACTGTTGGGAAACCTCAAAGCAGTAAACCAGGCAATTCAGAGAGCAGGACGTCTGCGTGGTAAGTCTCTTTTCCTAGCATTGTAATTAGACTGTAATTTTGAGGTGAGAACCATTGAAGACGGTGGTGGATTCAAGAACTCATATTAGTAAACCAATGGCACCTTAATAAATGAAAAAAAGCAAAAAAGAATTCACAGTGGGACTAAAGTAGCATACTTTAACACTCATGTTGGTGCTGGCCACTTGAGTTTCAGTTTATCATTTGGCTTTAGTCTCCATACTTTTTTTTTTTAAAGTTTTGTTTTTTTTTTTTAAAGATTTGTTTATTTATTTATTTATACAAGCACTGGGTACAGTCAGAAGTGCGGGAGGGTGAGAGAATTCACCAGAGCCAGAGCAGGGAGCAGAGCAGGGAGCAGAGCAGGCAGAAGGACCGAAGTACACTGCTGAGGGGAGCAGCGGGCGGCAGGAGAGGTCTGCGCCATGTGGGACCTTCCTCCGGTGGCCGGGGAGCAGCCGGGGATCGAACCATCACTGCAGAGGCTACGGGCAGCTTCGCAACCCAGCGCTCAACCGCTGCGCCACCGGGGAGGCCCTAGTCTCCATACTTTAAAGGGAAAAAAAACTTTCACCTCTTTTTTTAGACTTTGTATCTTCCAAAGATAAGCTTCATAATCACATATCCAAGAGGCAAGACTTAAATACCCCTATTAGAAAAAAAGAGATACTGAGAATTAATGAGTTGTGTCCAACTTAAAATTTCAAAAAAGAGCATTCTTTTTTTTTTAATTTAAATTTTATTTTTAGGGCCTCCCGGAGGCGCAGTGGTTGAGCACTGGGTTGCGAAGCTGCCCGCAGCCTCTGCAGCACCGGTTCGATCCCCGGCTGCTCCCCGGCCACCAGAGGAGGGTCCCACATGGCGTGCAGACCTCTCCTGCAGCCCGCTGCTCCCCTCAGCAGTGTATTCTTCATCAGTCTGCCTGCTCTGCTCCCCGCTCTGACTCTGGTGAATTCTCTCACACTCCCGCATTTCTGGCTGTACCCAGTGCTTGTATAAATAAATAAATCTTTAAAATAAAATAAAATAAAATAAATTTTATTTTTATATTCCCCATACAATTACAACCCCATTATTTTGACCCCAATCCTGCCTTTCCCTGCCCCCCACCCCCCATAGAGTGTCTCTGGTTCATAGTTCTTTGTTGATTTTGATATTTTCTTTCTTATAGTTATTCTTTTTCCTGGTCCCTTATTTGAGTTTTCTAGATTCCTGCTATGAGTGAGACCATCCGGTATTTTTCTTTTTCTTTCTGGCTTATTTCACTGAGCATGATCCCTTCCAGCTCCATCCATGTTGCTGCAAATTGCATGTGTTTATCTTTTTTGAATGCTGAGTAATATTCCATGGTATATATGTACCACATCTTCTTGATCCAGTCATCTATTTTTGGGCATTTGGGCTGTTTCCAAAACTTAGCTATTATAAACAGTGCTGCTATAAACATAGGGGTGCAGGTGCTCTTTGGAATTGATGTTTCTGTGTCCTTTGGGCAAATACCTAGGAGTGGAATTGCTGGATCATATGGAAGCTCTATGTTTAGTAGGTCAAGAAATCTCCACACAGCTCTCCGTAGTGGTTGGACCAGTTTGCACTCCCACCAGTGCAAGAGCATTCCTTTTTCTCCCACCTCGCCAACATTGTTGTTGCTAGTTTTTTAATATGTGCCATTCTCACTGGTGTAAGATGGTATCTTATGGTAGTTTTGATTTGCATTTCCCTGATTACAAGTGATGTTGAACATTTTTTCATATGCCTTTTGGCCATTTGCATTTACTCTTCAGAGAAGTTTCTTTTTAGCTCTTCTGCCCATTTTTTGACTGGATTATTTTCTTTGTTTTTGTTGAGTCATCAGCTCTTTGCAGATTTTGTGATCAGTCCTTTATCATTAGTGTTGTGTGCAAAATTGTTCTCCCAGTTGGTGGGGTTTCTCTTGTTTTTCTTATTGTCTCTTTTGCTGTGCAGAAGCTCTTTAATTGAATGTAGTCCCAGCTGTTTATCTTTGCCTTCACTATCACTGCTTTGGGTGATGTGTCTGTAAAGATGTCTTTGATGTGCATATCATGTAGTGTTTCACCTATATTTCCTTCTATGTATTTTATGGTTTCAGGTCTTATGTCTAGTTCTTTAATCTATTTTGAGTTGGTTTTTGTGCATGGTGTTAGGTAGTAGTCAAGCTTCATTCTTTTGCCTGTAGCGACCCAGTTTTCCCAGCACCATTCATTGAACAAACTTTTTTTGCTCCAATGCATAGTCTTTGCTCCTTTGTCATAGTTGGCCATAAATCTGTGGGTTTATTTCTGGATTTTCTATTCATTTCCATTGGTCTGTGTGTCTGTTTTTGTGCCAATACCATGCAGTTTTGATGATTATGGCTTTGTAGTATAGTTTGAAGTCTGGGAGTGTGATGCCTCCATTCCCTTTTCAAAAAAGAACATTCTAACATAAAGGAAGAAGGAATATAGCTAGAGAGGTATGCCAGAAATCTGCTGTTGTAAGTCAATGCTTTGACCTCCTCTTAGAAATAATCTTTGTTAAGGGGGAATGAGCTTTGATTCTTTTCTATAAAACTGACTTTTGGTTTTTAGGTTTGAGATAATTTTTAGGTTTGGTTTTGATGCATTCCCTTATGAAGGTATCTCTTTTAGGGACTGGGTGAAAGAAATTAGTTTAATTTGCATACCATATAACTCTTTACCCTATTTTGCTTTAAAACTGACCTCTGATTTTTAAACTTCACTATATATTTTTTAACTTTATTTTTAGTAATCTTTTGGAGTGTATTGATTTCTTGTGTCCTTTCATACAGTTGGGAAGCCAAAGAACCAAGTGATCACTGCGTGTCGGGATGCAATTCGAAGCAACAACATCAACACGCTGTTCAGAATCATGCGAGTGGGGACAGCATCCTCATAGCAGATGAAGAAGAGATATTGAGATTCCTCGAAAACAGTTTTTCTTAAAAATTTGGGCTGGTTTGTTTTGGATCATATCCTGGTATACCTGGTGATCTGAGGGTGAAAACAGCCTTTGTGAGCTGTACAAATGAATGACAAAGCATTGCATCTGAAAGATATTCTCGTGTTATTTTTAAATCATTGTTGAGTAGTAATAGGCTTGTATGGAAGCTGGTGAATGGTTTTTGAAGCCTTAGGATGTCAGGGTCCAATTTTTCTGTATGTATGTGAAGTCAGTGTATATAGATACATCTTTTTTCTTGAAATTATAATTTGTAATTTTAAAATAAATGATCTACCTTTTCACTAAAATGTAAAGGTATATATACTTTGTTGCTAAGTGATTTTAACATCACCATATCAGAATTGAATAAATCGTTTCTATTATGTGGAGAAAAACAAAAATAAGGATTATTTGTGTGCTCACTGAGAGGTAGGTGTAAACAAAACATTTGTTAAGGAAGAGTTAATTGATGGTGATTTATTAATTGGACTAGTGTAAGCTGCCAAACAAGTAGATCTCAAAATTCACAATGTACTTCTTTTTCATGTAAGTATTTCTCTATAATTATTCAGGGACCCTGGTTCCTTGACTCATGTAGCTCTGTCATCCTCTAGGCCAACTTTTCTCAGCCTGAGTTCTCTAGAAAAATAACTTCAGGAAATTGATTTGAGTAATTATATCACATTCATTGTGTACAGTGGATACTTTAGGGCATTAAAGTTTAATTCTCTTACTTGGAACCCTATTTGAGAAGGGTTATCTTAGGGCCTTGTGGTTATTTATATCCAAGTCAGTAGAAAAGAAAACGCTTTTGAAAGATGTGGTTTGGACAAAGTACTCTATCATTTCTGCCACATTCCCTTAGCTAACATGGCTACACCTTACTGCTTCCAGATGAGGAAATGTTATCCAGCATGTGGCTGTGAGGAAGACAAAGCTGCTGTTTATTCCAACAGCTCATAACTCCTTCCCTAAGAATTAAAAATTGCCTTAAGGTAGTGTTCAGGGTTGCTACAGGGATTACATTAGTCAGTCTTTAAATCTTTTGCATAGAAGAACTGGGGTGCAGGCCAGAGATGTGGGGGTGGGGGTGAGAGGATTCACCAGAGACAGAGTGGGGAGCAGAACAGGCAGATTTACTCTGATGCACTGCTGAGGGGAGCAGTGGGAGAGACAGGAGAGGTCTGCTGCTGCATGTGGGTCAGCTCCCTGGCCAGGGATCAAACTGAGACTGTAGAGGTGATAGTGCTGAGACTTAATCCCTAGGCTACCAGGGAGGCCCTCAGTCTTTATATCTTAATGATACTCATAAGAAGTTAGGGAGAGTAGCCTTTCCCCTGTGGTGGTCCAATTTTACTCATTTCTTCCTTCTGGTCTTTTAGGATTACCTCTTCTATATTTGAAGTATGACCTTTATGGAGTCCTAATTTTAATGAAACTGTATACCCTGTCATACATTTGTTTTACATTTTCAACTTATAGACTAAAAAAACACCCACATCTGCTGTATTTTTTTTTTTTGTAATCCCCAAAATAGTAATATATACCTGCTTCAGAGATGAGGAAACCAAAGTGTAGAAGTTCATTGCTAGCCACAGTTACAGAATTACTGGCAAAACTTGAGTCTTGCCATTGAGTCTTGTTTATCTTAACCATAGACTAACCTGTACCTCTTGTTAGTTGGTGCTGGTTTAAAGTTGTATGATACCCCTTACTGTTAGGGACCTTAATAGAAAATCTCACCAAAGGTCATCTTTGTTCTTCAATCAAATTTACTTTTTAGAGTATAAAACAATATAAAGACATTCATGAGGAGGCTTGACAGGGTCAACAGTCAGCAAGATATCTTTAAATAAATAGTCTTTAAATAGTTATAGGGCCTCCCTGGTGGCGCAGCGGTTGAGCGCTGGGTTGCAAAGCTGCCCGCAGCCTCTGCAGTGCCAGTTCGATCCCCAGCCACCAGCGAGGGTCCCACATGGCGCGCAGACCTCTCCTGCTGCCCACTGCTCCCCTCAGCAGTGTACTTTGTCACTCTGCCTGTTCTACTCTCCGCTCTGGCTCTGGTGAATTCTCTCACCCTCCCGTGCCTCTGACTGTACCCAGTGCTTGTATAAATAAATAATAAATAAATAAATAAATCATAAAAATAATAAATAGTTATATAGGTTATTTTCACATTAATTTCTTCCTCCTAACGCTAATATCTCTGAGCTCAGAGGCAGAATGTTGATAAAGTGTTTCCCTCCACTTGGTAAGTCAGGGTGTAGAGGTTTAAAATCAAGTAGTCATACACTTTCAGCTATCCAAACTAGTTCCAGGTAAGTGAAGCCCGGGTAAGATGAAAATGTTACATCTGTTACATCCAATCATTTTTTTCCCTCTTAGAAGTTATCATGTTCAATTTAGGGATGAGAAATATTGTTTACTTTTATTCAGTTACTTCTCTATTTTGCTGCCATAATTCTCTCTCCTGGTAGAATCTGGGTGACTTAAACCATAGAAATTATAGTTTCAGCGCTATTCTGTGATTGAATGTTGTTGTAGTTTTTTTTTAATAGAAATTATTTTTTATTTATTTTAACATTTATCATTTTTTTAAATTTTTTAGACAATATTTGCTTCCCCTCACCCCCTCAGATTGAGTCCGTCCCCATAGAATTTCCTTCCCCAAGGCACCCGTGTACCATCACCACAGTCCCCTGAGCTCCTCCCTCCCTCCCTCTCATCCCTCTCTCTCCTCCTTCCCTGCAGTATGTCTTTGGTTTATAATTGTATGTTTTTACTTTGTTGTGTTTTGTACTGTTATTATTATTTTTTTACACTGATGTCTTATTTGGTTCCCCTATATTCCTGTTATAAGTGAAACCATCCAATATTTTTCTTTTTCCTTCTGGCTTATTTCACTGAGCATAATTCCTTCCAGTTCCATCCACATTGCTGCAAATGGCATGAGTTTCTCTTTTTTGATTGCTGGATAATATTCCATTGTGTATATATACCACATCTTCTTGATCCAGTCATCTATTTTTGGGCATTTGGACATGAAGATCAAAATCATTCCAACTATCTTCTCCGATCATAAAGGCATCAAGCTAGAAATAAATCATGAAAAGAAAACAAGGAACCCTCCCACTTCATGGAAATTGAAATCCACATGACTGGAAGACCACTGGACTAATGAGGAGATCAAAGAAGAAATTAAAAATTACTTTGAGCTGAATGACAAGGACACCGCTTTCCAGAATGTATGGGATTCAGCAAAAGCAGTAATAAGAGGAAAATATATAGCAATACAGGCTCACATCAACAAACAAGAAAGAACTCAAAGAAACAACCTAATCTCACATCTCAAAGAGCTAGAAAAAGAAAAACAAAAACCCTAAAGCCAGTAGAAGAAAGGAAATAATAAAAATCAAAGCAGAAATAAATGAATTGGAAATTAAAAAAACAATCCACAAGGGATCAGTGAAACCAAAAGTTGATTCTTTGAAAAGAAACAAAATAGACAAACCTCTAGCCAGGCTCACATAGAAAAAACGTGAGAAAACACATATAAATAGGATTACAAATGAAAGAGGAGAAATAACAACAGACTCAGTAGAAATCAAAAGAATAATCAGAGATTACTATGAACACTTATATGCAAACAAATTCAGCAACCTAGAAGAGATGGACAGATTCCTAGAACGATATAATCATCCAAAGCTGGACAAAGAAGAAATAGAACTAAACAGACCAATTACAAGCAGCGATATTGAAGCAGTAATCAAAGCACTCCCCAAAAACAAAAGCCCAGGTCCAGACGGCTTCACAAATGTTGTAGTTTTTTAAGTGATCATTCTGCCTTCATTTAAAAGCTGATCTTCAGGGCCTCCCTGGTGGCGCAGCTGGGCTGCAAAGCTACCTGCAGCCTCTGCGCCGCTGGTTCAATCCCTGGCTGCGGCCGGCGAGGGTTCCACATGGCACGCAGACCTCTCCTGCCGCACCCACTGCTCCCCTCAGCAGTGTATTTGGTCAGTCTGCCTGCTTTGCTCTCCCCTCTGACTCTGGTAAATTCTCTCACCCTCCTGTGCTTCTGACTGTACCCAGTGCTTGCATAAATAAATAAATCTTTAAAAAAAAAAAAAAAAGCTGATCTTTGGATTTTTGGCACCTAAGAAAGTCTGTTTTTTTTTTTTTTTTTTTAAAATCTCCCAATCCCAAACTTAGGTACTCTGTAGTTTGGACAGTATGGTTTTTATCATTTCCCACTATGTCTGCCTTTCCAGATATGTCAAGGCTCAGCTCAAATGCTCTCTCCTCAGGAGACTTTCCTATGTCTATCCCTTTTTTTTTACTTTTCAGTTTTTTTTTATGTGGGTGAACTATGGGAGTTAAGTCATAGGGACTAAAACAGAAAATAAAGCTACTATCTATGGGATACAGAAGGATGGTCTTACAGGCTACAGTGAGGCTGGAGGTTTGGCAGTGAGTGAATTCACCAGAGGCGGTGGAGAATAGAAAAGGTGGATGTATTGAAATACCCTGCTAAGAGAAGCAGCAGGCAAGTCAGGAGAAGCCTGCTGTTCCATGTCTATCCATTAACCCTTATTATATTTTGTGAAGAGCCCTGCTGTCCCATGTCTATCCTTAACTCTTACTATATTTTATTTCGATATAAATCTTTAATCCTCTTGCGGCCTCCCTGGTGGCGTAGGGGTTAAGTCTCTGTGCTATCACACTATTGCCACTGTGGCCTGAGGATCCCCGGCCAGGGAGCTGACCCACATAGGGCACAGCAGACCTCTCCTGTCTCACCCACTGCTCCCCTTGGCAGTGCATTTCAGTGGATCTGCCTGTTTGCTCCCCACTCTGTCTCTGGTGGATTCTCTCACTCCCTACACCTCTGGCCTATACCCCAGTTCTTGTATGCATAAATAAATAAAAACAAAATCTTAAAAAAAATCTTAATCCCATTTTAAATGAGACAGAGGCTGTGTCTTAATCAGCTGTGTCCTCCCCATGGTGCTGAGCCAATGCATCTGCTGCTCGTCATGGGATCCTCTATTCTCAGGAATCCTGCAGGAACTTCAGAAATCAAAGAACAAAGAGCTTTAAACTATTACATAATCCAAGAAGTGCTTTTCAAGATGATTTTCAACATTGTTTCAAGCTTTATGATTAGCATTACATCTGCCAATGCATGGAACTAAATTATCTCCAGTTTCACTTGAAGCTAAAGCACAATCAGACATCTGTTGCAGCCTGATTTGTGTTTTGCCTCTTTCCCCTCTGGCCTTTGCCCACACTGTGTGCTCTAGCTCCTTAGCCACCTTTTTCTTTGTATTCCTAATATGATGCCACACGGACAGGTCCCCAGTAATTTTTAGAACTGTCCCTGTGGACTGATTTTATATCAACTGGAAGGAATTATCTGTTTTTGTAGGGATATCCAATTCATGAAGGATGGAAAGCTGCTTTCTGGGGTCACTGTGTCTATCCAGGACCGTTTTAACGGGCTTTACATTTTCCTATTCAGTGTTCATAGTGATAAGTATAGAGTGGTGTGGAAGAAATGCTGCAGCCACAAACTTCTTGTTGAAGAAATTCCTGGTCCAGGAGAAGTGTTGACTTTTTGATATCCTGTGGGAAGGAAATCACCCATTCAATGCTGTTTGGGAGGCAAGCAAAGCCAGGTTGAAAGCCTTTTTCTCTTCTTGGCTCATTTTAAAATTAGATACTGAAGTTAATTACTCATAGGGTTTGTCCTTAAATATTACATTTTTCCTCCTAGCAGAAAAATAAAAGCTCTCAAAGTAACTTTATGAAAATGTTCTTAATTGCTATCATGGGTGAATTATAGAAGGAATTTTTTTTTTTATGAATGCAAGAACTGGGGTGTAGGCCAGAGGTGGGGGGGGGGTTGGTGAGAGGATTCACCAGACACAGAGTGGGGAGCAGAACAGGCAGATTCACTGGAATACATTGCTGAGGGGAGCAGCAAGGAAACAGAAGAGGTCTGCTGGGCCATGTAGGTCACCTCCCTGGCCAGGGATTGAACTCATGCTGCAGTGGGTGCCAGTAGGGTCATAGTGCTGAGACTTAACCCCTTGGGCCACCAGGGAGGTCTCATAGGAGGGATTTGTAATGGGGATTTGACCATACAGTTGTGGAAAGTGGTGAAGTTGTCTTTGTAGCACTGCCCTCCCCTGCTAGATGCTGGAACTTGAAGCCCCAAGGGACGGACAGCAGGTATAGTTGGGGAGACCAAGAACAAGCTGGCATTCAAAAGCATGAGCTGGAGCCCAGGAGAATGTGCTAAAATTCATGTCAGTTCACACCGCTGATCTTGATGGTGGGCATTGTGTGGAAACTGAGCTCCTTCGGGAAGCTGAAGGAAGATCCATGTGCAGAGCTGCAGGCTCAGATGCTGACTTACACCAAGGAGCAAGCCAGGAGGTAAGTCACAATGTGTGGGAGTTGAAAAGTGGTGCTGATTCATCTGGGCCCTCCAAATCTTGCAAAGAATTTGTGGTTCTTTCTCACTGGAAGTATGGGGATAGGAATTCTTGGAAATGTAGTTTAGGGAATTCTAGGAAATGTAGTTCAGTCTAGTCTGGAGTAAACATTAAAAAGTACAATGGCTGTGACGAGATGGTAGGATTTCAGGTAACCATACTTTATAGTTTTACTTTTTTTTTTTTAAGATTTATTTATTTATGCATACAAGAACTGGGGTACAGGCCAGAGGTATGTGTGTGTGTGTTAGGACTTACCAGAGATAGAGTAGGGAACAGAACAGGCAGACTAACTGAAATACACTGCTGAGGGGAGCAGCAGGCATGACAGGAGAGGTCTGCTGCGTCATGTGGGTCAACTCCCTGGCCAGGGATCAAACTCGTGCTGCAGTAGCTATGGACTGCTTCACAGTGCTGTGCTTAAAGCCTTGCGCCTCCAGGGAGACCTACATGTTGTTTTAATTCTTTGCAAAAAACATGTATGATTTATATAATCTGAAAAATATAAAACTTCTTTTGCGGGGGAAAAAATCTTCCTTTAATAAAGGGAGTTAGAAGAATTGAAGGTAAACTATTAAGAATTGAGAGACGAGGCCATCTATACAGGTGAATGTCACTGATTTTACCTGAAAGAAGTATAAAAAAAAAGCCCATGTTTCTATGTCTTTTACTTAATGGTTTTTGACAATGGCTGTAGTCTCTGAAAATCCAATGACATTGTTCTCAGGAAGAGCAATTTCTCAATCACTGTGCATCTCCCAGTGCAGAGCAGTGACTGTGACTGGAAGTTACAATATCCTTTGCAGTCTACCGAGTGCTGCTGCAGATGATGTAATTGGCAGAAACATCAGATTCTGGCTCTCAAGGATTCTCTCTGCTTGCAACCAAAATCCTTTTCTGGAGTGTACAGAAGAGCATGTGTGTCAAGATTATAAACACAGAAATTGAGAAACTAACGACTCTTCTTAGTGTGCTAAGATTTAGATTCGGCACTCCAGAACTGGAACAGTTGGATGGCCTCTTAATTGTCACCTGGAACCAAATCTCAGACTATCTTCTAAGCTTGGCACGTGGGACATTTTCACCTACCCAGCATTCCCCTGAGGTTTCCTGAGGTTATGCCACTGACAGGGTGTTAACTAGAACCTCACCCTTTCTCCTCTCCACTCATGAAAAAGTCAGAAAGTAAGTGAGTGAAAGTAACACTGTAGGGAGGACTTTTCAGTTAATAGGAACTTAACAGAAAAGGCAAACTGAAATTTCAAATCATTAGTAATAATTTGTTATCCCACTTGAGTATCACTACACTAAGTAAAAAAATTGTGGTCGCCAAATTAGTATCCATGTAAAATATGGGTGTGTGGGCCTCCCTGGTGGCCCAGGGGTTAAGTCTCAGTGCTATCACTTCTACGGCCCCTGAGTTCGATCCTGGGCCAGGGAGCTAATTCACATATGGCACAGCAGACCTCTTCTGTCTTGCCCGCTGCTCCCCTTAGCAGTGTATTTCAGTATATCTGCCTATTCTGCTCCCTACTCTGTCTTGGTGAATCCTTTCAACAACCTCCCCCCACCACACCCCAATCCCCTGCACTTCTGGCCTATACCTCAGTTTTTCTATGCAAAATTAAATAAAACATAATTTTTTTAAAATGTGATGTGGGAAGATATTAGAACCAGTTGTAGATATATCTTTTTATCTCATCCTTTAAAGATTAGTGTTTGATAGATAAAGCAAACATCCATATAATAGACATACACACTTAAACCTTTTTTAGTGACAGCATTGTCAAGTCAGAATAAGTCTGAAACCATTACCTTAAAAGAAAGTGAAACATTTTCTTCATTGAAATACAAACTTTAGGAGTTAGTACTCAAATTTTTAGATTAAAGCAGCCCAGTATTTTCCTGTTAACTAGTAAAACCCCAAATAAAAGCTATTATAGTTGGTAGGAAACTGGGAAACAGTACTGGAATGGAATGAAGGCAGCATCTTTCAATTAAAGATGCCATCACACCTACATCCACCCTTGTACACCCACACACAAAGGCAGTAGTTGTAGAATACCCTCAAACGGCTCAGGAAAAAAAGAATGTTACAAATGGACAGCCTCTTGGCATTTTGATGGTTTTTTAATTTTTTTAGCACTTGCTCTCTTAAAGAAAAAAAAGGCAATTAGTTTTATTTTTTTAATTTTATTTTTGCGTAGAACTGGGGTGTAGGCTAGCGGTGCAGGGGTGTGAGAGGATTCACCAGAGGCAAAGTGGGAAGAACAGGTGGATCTACTGTAATACACTGCTGAGGGGAGCAGTGGGCGAGACAGGAGAGGTCTGCGCCATGTGGGTCACCTCCCAGGCCAGGGATAGAACTCATGCTATAGCAGTGAGAGAGCTGACACTTAACCCCTAGGCTACCAGGGAGGCCTGGCAACTAGTTTTTTTTTTTTTTTTTTTTAAGATTTATTTTTATTTTTATACAAGAGCTGGGATACAGGCCAGAGGCACAGGAGGGTGAGTGGATTCAGTAGAGACAGAGTGGGGAACAGAACAGGCAGACGATGGAAATAAACTGCTGAGGGGAGCAGCAGGCGTGACAGGAGAGGTCTGCCATGCCATGTGGGATTCTTGCCTGCTGGCCGGGATCAAAACCACACTACAGAGGCTGCAGATAGTTCCACAGTGGTGCCCTCAACCCGCTGTCCCACCAGGGAGGCCCGCAACTAGTTTTATAGTTGACTTAAGAGCATTCAGGAAACAGAAAGCTACATGTGGAGCTAAAATCATCTAGTTTTACAGAAGCCACAACTCCAGGATGGAAATGCAGGGGTATCTGGCACTGACTCCATGTGGTCTAGTGGTCAGTCTGCCTTCTTTGCTGAGCGAAAGTCTCCTGAGGCCACGTGGTACAAGCTGTTTCCAAGGGCACTTGATCCACCATCTAAGTCCACACTCTCCTGGGAGAGTGACAGTGCAGCAAAGCCAGAAACACCAGGAGGAACTGTGATGGGCTGAGCTTGAACAGGATGTAAGATTCTGTCATTCCCTAAACCAGTGTGATTAGCTCATTTAAGTATTTTTTTTTAAAAAAAAAGATGACGCATGGATGAACCTTGAAAACTTTATGTCAATTGAAATAAGCTAGTCACAAAAGGATAGATACTGTGATTCCACTTATGAAGATACAAGTAGTACAACTCCCAGACACAGAACGTAGACTAGGAGTGAGAGTGGGAGTTAATGCTTAATGGGGACAGTTTCATATGGGGAAGCTGGGAAAGTTCTGGAGATGGTGGTGATGATGGTCACATAGTAGTACGAATGTCCTTACTGCCCCTGAACTGTATACCTAAAAAAGTTAAAATGGCAAATTTTATGTATATTTTACTACAAGAAAAAAAATAAGTCACTGAAGAAGTCACTGTGGGAAATGAAGCATTGAGTTAAAAAGAAAAGAAGAAAAATCTTTTTTTTTTTTTTTAAATCAAAATAAGGGGGTTGCAATTGTATGGGTACATAAAGATTAAAAAAAAAAAAAAGGAAAAAAAATAAATAAAAACCCTTATCCCCCCCTGCTCGGGGCTGCTCCCTAGGAGAGGGACGGATGCCTGCCACTAATAAAGGCTTTCTCTAAATCTGAAAAAAAAAATAAATAAATAAATCAAAGTAAGTACCTAGCACCAAGTTCAAGGTCTAGGATGAAGACAATCATGAGTGCTTTTAAGGGCCAGCCACGCAGCTCAGGAACACTGTCAGACAGGTCACTTTGTGGATCTTTTCTCTGTGCTTGGCACTTCCAGACTTTCCAGTACTGAAGATGTTTCCTTTTTTTCAGCTTTGCCCAGCCCTGTCATTCATAATAGACGAATGAAAAGTCCCAGAAACCTGTTCTATTTGGGAAGGTTTTCTTTTGTTCTAGACTTCGGTGGTTAATATGCTTCACGAATTTCAGAGTCTCTCTGTCTCTGTAGACTAGTGCCAAAGAATTGTTTTCTGGATTCACTGTTAGCAGCTGAAATAAGCAAAAACGGTGACACATCAGACCAACAGCTTATGCTCAACGCTTCTTACTGATTTACTACTGAAAAGATTATTTCCATATCAAGTACTTCTAAAAGACTTGAGATAGATAGTGGAGCTTCTAAAAGATCCTTTATGAAAAAAAGCTTTTGCTCTGGTTGTCTAAATATTTTCCAGTAAGCCCTATTCCAACATATATCCAGAAAGGTCTTACCTAATGCATTTCTTTTTTTTTAAAGATTTATTTTATTTACGCATACAAGAACTGGGGTGTATGTCAGAAGTGTGGGGAGGTGAGAGGATTCACCAGAGACAGAGTGGGGAGCAGAACAGGCAGACTGAAATAACACTGCTGAGGGAAGCAGCGGGCAAGACAAGAGAGGTCTGCTGTGCCATGTGGGTAGCTCCCTGGCCTGAGCTCAAACTCATGCTGCAGTGGCTGTAGATAGCCTCATAGTGCTGAGACTTAACCCCTTGTGCCACCAGGGAGGACCTGATACATTTATTTCTTACTACATTGAAAGATTTGTGGGAAATCACTATGTAGCTCTTAATTTCTATGGAATTTCTCAGTAGGGCAGAATAAATAATGATTGTCCTTTAGCATCTTTATTATTTTCTACTATTGATAGAAATGAGAACTGCCAGGCAGAACAACATGGATTTAATCTGCTAAAGACACTGGCAGTAGGTCATAAAAATCAGGTCTCTAAAAAATGACTTCTTCAAGAATTAAAAAAAGCAACTTACCTCTTCATCTTCACCTTTGGCAATGTAGGAAGTAAAGCCACCATATTCTGGCTCCCAGCCTTAAAAGGGGAAAACAGACAGCATTTAGAAAACTCACGAGGAGAGTTACAGCATCTGCTTAAATCATTAATCAGATGATGCTTAATACTGGAGGATCTGAGAGTTCAGAGATACTGTAAGTCTGAATCTACCATTCAATCAACCCTAAGAACTGAAAACTAATAATTAAATGTAAAATATATCTGAAAGGGCAATTACATAAAAGCTTTAGATGGGGGGCCTCCCTGGTGGTGTAAGGGGTTAAGCATAGCACTATGAAGCAATCCACAGCCTCTGGAGCATAAGTTCAATCCCCGGCCGGCCAGGGAGCTACCCACATGACACAGAACTCTCCTGCCTTGCCCGCAGCTCCCCTCAGCAGTGTATTTCAGTCAGTCTGCCTGTTCTGTTGCCCGCTCTGTCTCTGGTGAATCCTCTCACCCCAGTGCGCCTCTCGTCTGTATCCCAGTTCTTGTATGCATAAATAAATAAATCTTTAAAAAAGAAAAAGTTCTTAAAAAAAAAAAGCCTTAGATGGGGGTGGGGAGTTACTTGGTAGGAAGTTATGATTGGGTCTATCTCCCATATTCTAGACCAGATATAAATTCAACTTTGGATTTGGAAACTAAAATTCATGACTCTTAAGATTTCTGCCAACATTGAGCTCCTATGACCTGAGATCCTGGCCAAGGCAAATGACTTCTGAATTCGTTCAGCTGCAGAGGGTCACTAAAAGAAATGAGCCTCTTAAGAAACAATTCACTGCTTTCTTTCTTCCTTACCTTCACAGCCACAGTACAGAATTAGGTCCAGGGCAAATTCAGTCTTGCTGTTGTCATGAATTAAAGTGTAGTGACCAGTTTTCCAATGCCTCAGTTCCCCCTGGCAGGTAGGAACACTTGATTCTAACAAAAAAATGACAAGAGGTTAGAAAAGTTTAAAACAACCTTAATGCTGCTACTATATTGCAAGTGGATGATAATTAGGAATAATACAGCATGAAAGAAACCATTCCCATAAGCCTTCAACTGAAACATTGTTCCACCAAACCAGTCTTATCTTCAGGTCTGAGCCACATGCAAAAGAATGAAAGTAGGTCACTATCTTTTTTTTAAAGATATATTTATGCACAGAAGAGGGTGACAGGATTCACCAGAGAGAGTGGGGCACACGACAGGCAGACTGACTGAAATACACTGCTGAGGGGAACAGCAGGCAAGACAGGAGAGGTCTGCTGCGTCATGTAGGTAGCTCCCTGGGGATCTAACTCGGGCTGCAGAGGGCGGATAGCTTCATAGTGCTGTGCTTAACCCCTTGCACCACCACGGAGGCCGAGTAGGTCACTATCTTACTCCCTAAACTAAAATCAGTTCAACTGGTTTAAAGACTTGAACGTAAGATCTGAAACAATAACAAAGATGGTAAGTTTATTAACACTGACCTTAATGATGTTTTTGTGGACTCGTTTCCAAAAGCATGAGAAACAAGAATACAAACAAATGGGACTACATCAAACTAAAAAGCTGCACAGCAAAAGACACCAGCCTTAAAATGAAAAGGCAGTGCAAGCGGGAGAAGGTATTTGAAAGCTGTAAGTTAAACAAGAGTTAATATCCAAAATCTATAAACAACTCATTTGACTCAACAACAAAAGACACAATTTGATTGAAAAATGTTCAGAAGATCTTAAATAGGCATTTCACCAAAGATACACAGAGGGACAAGAGACACATGAAAAGATGTTCTATATGGCTTATCATCAGGGAAATACAAATCAACACCCCAAAGAGATTTCACTTCACACTGATTAGAATGGCCATTATTAAAAAAGTCAAGAAACAGGGCCTCCCCTGGTGGCGCAGCGGTTGAGCACTGGGCTGCGAAGCTGCCCGCAGCCTCTGCAACACCGGTTCGATCCCTGGCTGCCGGCGAGGGTCCCACATGGCGCGCAGACCTCTCCTGCCGCCCGCTGCTCCCCTCAGCAGTGTATTTCGGTCCTTCTGCCTGCTCTGCTCCCCGCTCTGGCTCTGGTGAATTCTCTCACCCTCCCGCGCTTCTGACTGTACCCAGTGCTTGTATAAACAAATAAATAAATCTTTAAAAAAAAAAAAGTCAAGAAACATTAAGTGTTGGCAAGGATGTGGAGAAAAAGGAACCCTTGTGTGCTGCTGGTAGGAATGTAAATTGATGCAACCACTTTGGGAAACATTATGGACCTTCCTCAAAAAATTAAAAATAGAACTACCATATTATCCAGGAGTCCCACTTCTAGGTACTGACCTGAACGATGTGAAAACATGAATGTGAAAAGAACATGCATGCGTACACTCACTGTGGCACTATGTACAATCACCCACATACAGAAGCAACCTAAGCGCTGAGGATGGACGAACAGATGAAGAAAATGTGACATATACCACCCAGCCATAAAAAAATAGGACATCTTGCCATCATATGTGTATCTTAAGCTATATACTATTGAGCCATAAAAGGAACTATTACTCAGCCATAAAAAAGATAAAATCTTGCCATTTTGACAAAATGGATTGTCCTTGAAGGAATTAGGCTAAGTGAAATAAATCAAAAGGAGAAAGACAAATAGCATGTGATTCCATACATTTGTGGGATATAAGAAAGCCAAAAGCAATCACCAAAACCCTTAGACTCTTGGGCCTCCCTGGTGGCACAAGGGGTTAAGTCTCAGCACTATGAAGCTATCCTCAGCCACTGCAGCATGAGTTCGATCCCGGCCAGGGAGGTGAACCCACATGGCACAGCAGACCTCTCCTGTCTTGCCCGCTGCTCCCCTCAGCAGCGCATTTCAGTAGATCTGCCTGTTCTGCTCCCCACTCTTTCTCTGGTGAATCCTCTCATTACCCACACCCCCAACTTCTGGCCTACACCCAGTTGTTCTATGTATATATAAATAAATAAATCAATATTCATAAAAAAAAAAGATAAGAAAAATCTACTGACACTTAATTTGTGGTCTAACATATGGTGTATCCTGGAACATGCCCCTAGATGTCACTTAAATTCCTGAAACAGGAGCTAGCATACAAAAATGCTGGAGAAATATTTACTGAATGGATGAATGAACAGCAAATGTTTAATGGTAAACAAGGACAAATCAGGACACAGCTCACCTTCCTTTGCTTCCTTTTCCTCCTGCTCCGTGTCGGCCCGCTCACTGCCGTGGGGGCTATCGCAGCTGACTGCTGCCCGATGAGCCTCCAGCTGGGATGAGCTGTGGCTAGTTCCTTCTTCGGTGCTATCAGCAGCAGAAGCTGCTTCTCCTTCTTTTTTGTCCTCAATCTCATCATCATCTGAAGGAGCCAAGAAGTGGAACTTCAGGCCTGTGAAGTTGGAAAGCAGCAAGAACAGTGCTTCCGAGCGAAATAATCCCATGCACTCCTTCAGTACTTCAGGAAGCTTGCTCTCCTCAGCTTTCTCATAAAACCTAAAAAGGAACAATATCTAGTTGTTTGCCTCAGCCAGAGAAATAACTTTGCTCATGGAATAAAAGCTGATCGCTACCTTTCCCTAAGACTTGGCATAGCTATGGAGGTCCCTGGGAGGAGCACCCTTTGGCCTAATACCCTATCAGTGCAGGTGAGCCTAGCAGCTAAACAGGCAGGTGCAGAAGCAACTGTCTTAGATGGCAGGTTCTACCTTTTGTTAGGGGGACCTCGGCTGTTCCATTCCACATCTCCTTTCTCCAGAGCCTCACAGACCTTTGCAAATTTTTCAGGCTGAAAAAGAAGCAAGTAAAGAAGTAGTCAGCAAATCTCCCTATGATACTACACAGTCTAAAGATGTAGCAGCTCTGCTCTGGCTGATTCCTAACAGCGCCATTCGATTCTCACCCTTTTACATAAGATGTCCCAGGCCTGATAGGGGTAAGTCAGGGCCAAGACTGGGTAAAGCCAGCACACTTTGGCCAAGATACCCAAGTATCATTTTGGGCCATTTCCTTAAGTGTGTACATTTCATGTCAACTTGCTGAGCCTCTCAAATACCTGCATTTATAAAATTATAATACAGACTCTTTAATTCATAAGATGTGAAGAAAAAAACTGCATCACTCCGTTTCATTACAATGAGTATCTCTGCAACAAGATTCTCTAGGTCTCAGTTCATTCCCTTTCATTGGCATTCTAAATTAAAACAGTAAAGTTCAGTACAAGAAGCTGATTAAATCTACCAAAATACTCTCTACCGGAGGGTTAATATTTACTTAATGCAGTTTCTCAAGGAGATTTCTGAAAACATCAGTCCGATCCCTTGTAAATAAGTCTGAGGATTCCATAGCATGGTTTAAGTAAACTACATGAAATAGGGTTAAGCAAGTAATTCTCAAAAAAAAATTTTTTTTATATTTCTTTCTTTTTATTTTTAAAGATTTATTTACTTAGGTGGCCTTCCTGGTGGTGCAGGGGTTAAAGACACAGGGCTATCAGGCTGTCTCCAGTCATAGCAGCACTGAGTTCGATCCCTGGCCAGTGAGGGAGCTGACCCACATGGCGCAGCAGACCTCTCCTGTCTTGCCCGCTATTCCCCTCAGCAGTGTGTTTCAGTGGATCCGCCTGTTCTGTTCCCCACTCTGTCTGTGGCGAATCCTCTCACCTCCCTCCCACCCTACACCTCTGGTCTACACCCCAGCTCTAGAAAGAAAAAAAGATTTATTTATTTATGCATAAAAGAAGTGGGCCATGTGGGGGGTGAGAGGATTCACCAGAGACAGTGGGGAACAGAACAGACAGAATGACAGAAACACACTGTTGAGGGGAGCAGCAGAGACCAGGAAAGGTCTGCTGCGCCATGTGGTATCGAACTTGTGCTGCAGTGGCTGCTGATAGCTTCATAGTGCTGTGTCTTACTTAACTCCTTGAGCTACCAGGGAGGCCCCTAATTCTCAAATTCTTTAATATGCTCATGTTAGCTATAAAACAGAGACGAGATGGGCAGACAGTATGCAGTCTCTCTCAATCATTTTTTCATGGAGGAACAGTTCCACAGACTGACTGCCTGGGATCCCATTCCAGCATACGTGATCTCATTTGGCCCTCACAAGACCTCTTCAGGAGGGGCAAGGCAGGGGCATCATCAGTTTAACTGACAATGAAGCAAAAACTGAGAGAAATTTAGTGATGTGCTCAGATTAAGAAGACAGAGCCAGGACATGAACATAGGTTTTCTGAATTCAGATCTTGCTATATTTCCACTGTAACATGGTATCCACTATGGCTACCTCCTCCCACCAAACAGTGTTACCAGGTGTTAATCAAGTAGTAATCTGTTTAGTACTAAAAATAATAGTAAGCATGACATTCATCAAGTGAAAAGGAAGGGAACTACCCACAAGTCTCTCTCACTGTGTATGTACTGTTAAGCTTCTAGAGAACTGGGAAATACCCAAGGAACTCTTAACCCACAAGGCTTACAACTAATACTAATGCTAGCTATTATCACCTTTATATTTTATTTGAAGAAGAGGATGACAAACATTCTAACCAGGAGCAAAACAAAAATTCTCTTACAATGCCTGTCCACTCACCCAAGAATCAAGACCACAAGTCAAACATGATATACAGAATAGGTCAGGCTGGCCTACCTTAAGGAAGTCCTTTAGGAGAATTTCAGATCTTTCTTCAAATTCTTCTTGAATTTGGACTTGGTAATCCATGTTCAGATAAGTAGGGTTGATCCAATCATATAAAATTTCATGCTTATGAAGAAGGAGCAGATGCATGAAATGAGTTAATAATTCCTATCGCTTTGATTCTTACATTACTTCACACTAGTAAAATATATGCCAATCCTCACTTTTCATTTTCTCCTTGTTAAACACAGAGTGCTAGGAAATTGCCAGAGAAAGACATTAGCAGAAGTTTAAGAGAAGTGGAAGAGCAAGCTCAAAGTCTAGTTGCATTTTCAGGAATAGCCACTTTTAAACCCAAAAAACTAACAACAAGGTGCGTGGGAATCCGAGCCACCAGAATTTATCCTTACGTCTTGTGGGATATGGGGGCTCCGAGGCAGGAGAGGTTCACAGTAGCTTGGAGGCCTGGTCAGCGAAGGGCCATGAAACCAGCCACTAATAGACAAACGGGACTTTTCCTCAGACAGGACTTCAGACACCTGAAAGGACAAGATGCGCAGCACATCAACTCGAAGAACAAGGAGGGAGACCACCAGCGAGGGCACACTAATTTCAGGATCCTTCACTCGAGGTGTGTAAACAACCTGGCCAGATTAGTCCAACAAGAAGCTGTCACATTTAGGTAACGGGTGACTAAAAAGCACGGTCCTTAGGAGGCCACAGATTTGTGATTTACAATCTTTACCTGGTGAAAGGATACTGGAGACACTTCAAAGAAAACCAGTGTGTTCCACGAAGGGACAAGAGACTTGACAATCTGCTTTGGCTGAAGGTGTTCTGCACCAGGAGAGAACACATCCATAAGTGGGATTTCGTTACCACTGACCGCTTCCCAGCAGCCTCCTTTCACCTTCATATTTCTCAAATTTCTAAGGGTATCCAGGTGTACCTTTCAGATGGCAAAATGCCACCCCCTTCCGTCTGCTTCACTAGAACTTGCTAGTTTTGCTAGGTGACATCTTTTCTTACTGTGCCATCCATCCATTATTGATGAAGGCTGGAATAAGTTCTGAGGTTTTCTGGAGTCAACCTCTGATGTCAGTCATTAAAGAAAAACAACCCTGACTCCTTGCTGAACAGACTGATCCTGGCAGACTACAGCCACAGGCAGTTTTACACCTCTCTATGCTCCCGTGGCCAGTACTCAGAAACAGGGTCTGGCTGATCTCATCTTAAATTGGCTCTAATTTATCTCTAGAATAATGATCATTTCAAGGACAACTTAAGCGAGGTGGTGGTCAGGGGTGGCATTTCTTTCTCTTGAGGTCATCAATGGCTTCCATACCTCTGAGAAGTACAAGAACTCAGAAGTAGCTGCTTATCTTACCATCAACATTGTACAGGTCCAGAGTGCCTCCGAAGCTCTTGTCCCAGTGGGGGACCAGGTAAAGAATGAAGGCGATTCGGCGCCCTTCCAGCTCGTCATCATGGCACAAGAGGGCATCTGCAACAATGGAATGCACACTTCAGCATCCTGCCCAGACAGGGCAGCTGATAGCTGACCTGTCTATCTGCAGCATCAGCTTAAAAATGACATGTTTCACTCTTCTTTTATAATTATAGATACAAAACTTAGTCAATTATAGAAAATTTTCTTTTTTATTCATTTATTTTTATAAACATTCTTATTCATTTTTTAATATAGAAAATTTTAGAAACTCCGAAGGACACACACAGGTCCAGAGATAATCACAATATTTTTGCATATTTCTTCTGGTATTTTTTGTATATAAATATACTTGCTTTTTAAAAAAATGCCATCCTACAGTGATTGTTCCATGGTCTGCCTTTTTTTTTTCTTTTTATTACATCAAGTGTCTTTCCATATTAGTAGACACATTTGTCATCATTTTTTTTTTTTTAAGATTTATTTATTTATTTATACAAGCACTGGGTACAGTCAGAAGCACGGGAAGGTGAGAGAATTCACCAGAGCCAGAGCGGGTAACAGAACAGAGACTGACGAAATACACTGGTGAGGGGAGCAGCGGGCGTGGCAGGAGAGGTCTACATGCCATGTGGGACCCTTGCCGGAGGCTGAGGATCAAACCAATGCTACAGAGGCTACAGGCAGCTTCGCAGCCCAGCGCTCAACCACTGCGCCACCGGGGAGGCCCTTGTCATCACTTCTAATGGCTCCGTGATTGTTCGACTGTATGGATTATGAATACACTCTTTCCTTTTTCATCTTCTATTAATATTTGTTAATAGTCATTTCTATTTCTTGTCTATTATATAAAGAATGCTTTAATGAACATAAAATGAACAGTTATTTTATATTGGTTCATATTAATTTTGCAAGACAGGCATCTTGCTTGGGAGGGAGGGAGGGAACATTATGGTGAACTGAGATCGTTTTTTTTTTTTTTTAAAGATTTATTTATTTATTTATACAAGCACTGGGTACAGTCAGAAGCGCAGGAGGGTGAGAGAATTCACCAGAGTCAGAGTGGAGAACAGAGCAGGCAGACTGACGAAACATACTGCTGAGGGGAACAGCGGGTCTGTGAGCCATGTGGGACCCTCACCCAGTGGCCAGGGATTGAACCAGTGCTGCAGAGGCTGCGGGCAGCTTTGCAACCCAGCGCTCAACCTCTGCGCCACTGGGGAGGCCCTGAACTGAGCTCTTTTACACATGGAGGAATCATCTTGACAACTACATTAAAGATAATAGAAGTCTGGATTCTAACTGCTGAAGAATAGAATTACTACCATGGAAAAGGCTGCTACCTCCTTCCACTGAAAGGTCCTGGGAGCATGGACAACCTAATAAACACCTAGAGTTCAAATCTTAATTTTGAAGTATTATTCTTCATTAAAAGGAACCAGAGTTCTGTGGCAGAAAGCCCAATTCCAGTTCTAGAGCACGGGAAACATAAGCCTGGAAAATCTTGTTTTGCCAGAAAGTAAGATAACATTAAGAATGATGGTGGCCGGGGCCTCCCCGGTGGCGCAGCGGTTGAGCGCTGGGTTGCGAAGCTGCCCGCGGCCTCTGTGGTGCCGGCTCGATCCCCGGCTGCTCCCCGGCCACAGGAGGAGGGTCCCACATGGCGCGCAGACCTCTCCTGCCGCCCGCTGCTCCCCTCAGCAGTGTACTTCGGTCCTTCTGCCTGCTCTGCTCCCCGCTCTGGCTCTGGTGAATTCTCTCACCCTCCCGCGCTTCTGACTGTACCCAGTGCATGTATAAACAAAACAAACAAACAAATAAATAAAACATGCCTCTATAAAAAAAAAAAAAAAAAAAGATGGTGGCCTAGCAAAAGGACACAGAAGTCATCTTAAAGGGGCTCCTTTTGATGAAATCAGGGACAATATGGCCATTAATATAATGATAGTGACACCCAGAAGTGGGCTTATGGGTCCATATGGCAGCCCTATTTTTAGTTTGTTGAAGAAGGTCCATACCATTTTCTAAAATGGCTGCACCAATTTATATTCCCCCACTATATAAGGGTTCCTCTTATATCACATCCACACCAGCACTTGTTGGTAGCAGTCTTTTGGACAGAAACCATTTTCACAGATGTGAGATGATACCTCATTGTGGTTTCGATTTTCATTTTTTTAATATGAGTTGATGAAGGATAGTTTGTCAGATGCCCATAGAAAGACCAGTTCCAGGTCTGGAGTACATTTTAGAAAAATATCTATTCATATTTTCTCATTTTTAAACTGGGTTTTTTGTTTTGTTTTTTTTTTTTTTAAAAAAGGATTTATTTATTTATTTATGCAAGCACTGGGCACAGTCAGAAGCGTGGGAGGGTGAGAGAATTCACCAGAGCCAGAGTGGGAAACAGTACAGGCAGACTGATGATACACTGCTGAGGAGAGCAGCGGGTGGCAGGAGAGATCTGCGCACCATGTGGGACCTCGCCAGGCGGCCGGGATCAAACTGGCGCTGCAGTGGCTGGGGGCAGCTTCGCAACCCAGCGCTCAACCGCTATGCCACCAAGGAGGCCCTAAACTGGGTTTTTAATTGCCATTTTGGGCAAATTCTTCATATTCACTGGCTCTGTGCCCCTTATTGAATGTGTAATGTGCAATGTGCAAATATCTCCTTCCATTCAGTAGGTTTATTTTTTTTTTAAAGAATAGATCATATTCATGTTTTTTTTTTTTTTAAAGATTTATTTATGTACGCATACAAGAACTGGGGTACAGGCCAGAGGTGTAGGGGTGAGAGGATTCACCAGAGACAGAGTAGGGAGCAGAACAGGCGGATCTACTGAAATATACTGCTGAGGGGAGCAGCGGGCGAGACAGGAGAGGTCTGCTACATCATGTGGGTAGCTCTCTGGCTGGGGATCAAACTCATGCTGCAGTGGCTGTGGAAAGCTTCATAGGTTGTGTCTTAACCCCTTGAGCCACCAGGGAGGCCTTAAGTCTTTAAATCTTACAGGTATCATGGCTATTTTTCTTACCTGAGAATTCATATTTAGCACAGGACATGTCAATGGTTGATTCCAGGTCAATCTTGGAAATGTCAGAAAGCCAGGTCCGGAAATTTTCAAATAGAATTTTCCTATAAATATAAATATATATAACTTGCTATATTATTGTGCAGGTTCCATTTAGATCTATGCCATGACTGCTTCTTCCTTGAGATTGCATTCTATTCAAGAGATTAATTCTGAGAATGTTCTTCACTCTAAACTTGCATAGCTCAGGGCCTCCCCTGGTGGTGCAGTGGTTGAGCGCTGGGCTGCGAGGCTGCCCGCAACCTCTGCAGCGCCGGTTCGTTCCCCGGCTGCCGGCGAGGGTCCCACAAAAAAAATAAATAAATAAACTTGCACAGTTCAGAAGCAATGTTCCCAAAGAAATGTAAATGTATCTATGGTAACATATTTTTGCTCTACTCTTTTATTTTCTTCCTAACCGTATATAGTATGCCCTGTCAAAGCAGAAATTTGGCCTCTGCCATAAGAATTTATCACACCAATGTTCCATTAAAAAGTTAGATTTTTGGACATGGTTTTCCAAACTAATAATCGTAATATTGCACTGTTCAAGGAAACTTAAGTAAAACTCTTGGAAATTAAACATTTTAAATTACAATAATGGTGAATATTATGCTAACTGTGCAATAATCAATAACATCCTTTACAGAAGTTCTGATACTAGTATCAATAAAATTGAGTGAACTTTTTAAAATACCAGCTAAAATGGCTCTTGTGGAGAAATCTCCAACATAAAACTTAATTTTAACTATGAGATGATGTTAACTTTGATGAATTCCAAACATATTAAAGGATTTGTGTTTATTTCAAATTTTTCACATGAAGACTTAATATTTTTTGAAACATTACATAATTGAAATCCCCCCAAAAAATGCTATGGTGCTGACCCACTAAAGTCTCCATGCTGACCCACTAAAATTTTATTACCTTTTTATACCATACACTACCCACATGAAAAAAATCCATAAAATACTGTGCATGGTTAGTCCAAGCAGAAGGGCAATATAATTTTGAAAGGCAAAGTGTCAAATTATACAGAATGGGTGAGCATAGCAACCAGGCTTCAGATATGGATGGTACACATTTTTGCTAAAACTTGAAGCTTTAAGCAACCAGTAGTATCAAAAACCCTAAATCCTGCTTTTACTGGTAACACCACCTTCCACAAATTTATCGATAAAGAAACTCTTCCTCTAGCCACCCTATGAAAGCATCACAGGGACAAGCTTGTTTCCTGTTGCCATTCTCATTTGCTAATTGGATCCCTGAGAGAACGTGCAAAACTGAACTGGGAAATAAAAAGATCATTTTTCTGTAGAGATCAAGGAATTCTGTTTCACACACCATCTGGCTCTTGCCTTTTGGGTATAGAATGTACTTAGTCCCAGAGGAAATGCTTACATAAGGGATCCTGTGAACTAACAAGATAATGCCTTAAAGCATGAGAACCTCTCTTTGGGGGAGAAAAAGTCTAAATATATATTACAAATTACAGTTAACACATGAGTAATACTTCAGGATTTAGAAGAAATAACCTGTGTAGACTACCACCATACTATGGAAATGTCACAAAGAAAAAAAGAATGCATAGATAGATGAAAGACAGTTACTATTGCAGCAAAACTAGGAAAAAGAACTATATAAAAAGAAACTGAAAAATTCTATAATCTTACTAGCCAGATTTAAACATTCCATTCTTTCAAGTCTTTTCCTTTGAATGCACAGTATCCAAATATGTCTCTTTTTAAAAATGGGGGTATACTATGTGCTATCTTTTTTTTCCTCAAATTTTATTGACTTGTCAATCATTTACCTATAATATATAGGTATACATATTATATTATATATGGCCCCCTATATTATATTATGCCCACACCATATTATATATTACACCTATATAACATAGGTGCACAATATAGGTATATACTATATGTAACATTGTACATGTTATGTAATACATATATATCATGTACATGTAATATTATATACATATATAAAAAGTTTTGGGAGTAAATCTTCACACCTCCATTTCACGTGTGCTATTTTAACTTCTTTTCTCTTGACAAGCGTATTTCATTGACTTGAATATACATTTGACTGTGAAAGGTATCATTATTTTTTGTATCACTTGTAAACAAGTAAATCTTGGAATTGTTGTACCAGAGACTTTACCATATGTGTATATTAAAGTTCAAACACATCATATTCAATGACTGTGTGTTTTTTCACTTTATTTTGTACCATTATCTACATAAATCTCCATCAGTGGTCTTTTAATTTGTACATAATTTTTCACTATTATCAACAGCATTATGACAAACAATCTAGTATGGAGCTTTGAGCACTTCCTTTTTTTTTTTTTAAAGATTTATTTTTTTATGTATCCAAGAACTGGGATACAGGCCAGAGGTGTGAAAGGTGAGAGGATTCTTCAGGGACAGAGTGGGGAACAGAATAGGCAGATAGACCGAAACACTCTGCTGAGGGGAGGTGGGGGTGAGTCAGGAGAGGTCTGCTGAGCCACATGGGTACCTCCCTGGCTGGGATCAAACTCGTGCTGCAGTGGCTGCGGATAGCTTCATAGGTTGCATCTTAACCCCTTGCACCACCAGGGAGACCCCTTGAACACATTCTAAATTATATCCTTAGGATAAATTTTTATAGATGGAATTACAATATAAAAAGATGCATAATTTTAAGAGTTTTCATACATCTAAGGAAGATTATAGCCATGTATAAAGGAATTATATATACTTCTGTCAACACTGAGATTTTGCCTTTTGCTGTAAGTCAACTTATGAAAAAAATTGTACCTCCAGCATTGATTTGCTTCCTTGATTACTAAGAACATTTTAACACTGAAAACTTGGGTTTTAGAATTAGACAGACTTGGTTTGTATCTTAGCTCCCTCAATTTTCACCTCAGCAGAACTGACAAATTACTTAATTTCTCAGAATCTATTTCCTCCTTTATAAAATGTAATAATGCCAACTAAGATCATGTGGCCTAACATTTAAAACACCTACCACTCTGCCTGCCAAATATTAGACACCCAACAAATACCATTACTTTTTTACCTTAAAGCACAGATGTGAGGCTCTCTTCTCTTCTTCAAATCATCAGACTTGATCATGAAAAGAAAAAAAAATATTTCCTTCATATATTTTCACATATGTACTTACTAACACTTGTTATATTCTTTGATTATCCGTCACCATCACTAACCCTCTAAGATTTTAAAGTCTTAGAAGGCAGGTACTCCCAAGTGTCAAGACTCCTACATGGTAGTTACAGCATGTAACACATAGTGAAAACTCAATTTATGTCAAATGAATGAATGAATGCATGTTAAAAAGTGAGAACTCTCCAGGTATTAAATGAATATAAAGGTAATGAATTTCTGAAGTGGAAGAACTAGTGTGAAAAAGCATATATACCTGCTGGAACTTATATAAATCATTATATTTTTCATGGAAATCCAAGTTCAAAAGTTCCTTCTGAAGTCCTTCCAAGAAGTTTGGGCTTTGGATAAAGTTTGGGATCACACAGTGAAGAAAGGGGTCCATGTCCATGGCAATGGCTTCTGTTGAAAGGAAAATATCACCCATGGTTTTTCCTTTTGTGTTTTGAACACCCCAAGCGGTAAAGCAGAAAGAACACAGAAGGGCATTATCATGAATTTTCAGGAATCTAGTCCCTAAAATCTAAGACTGGGGGAAGAACAGTAAACTCTTGCTTTTTTTTCCGTTAGCAGTCAATTGACTACTTAAAGATATCATTTTTAAAATACCAGTTCTTTCCAAAATGACTGATGTTTTTATTTAAAATTTTTTTTTATTTACCTCAGAGTGATTACTTACTGAAATGGATGTATTTTAGATTCTTAGTTCATCCTCCCCCTCCCCAAACTTAAAATGAGAGTAGAAAATTAAAAACAAGAATAACAATACTGGCTGGCATTTATTCCTTCAACCCTGCTACTTCTTTCTCTAAGTTACTGGTAAAGGAAGTTACAACACACATACTTTTTTTTCTTTTTATTAAGTTCAGGCATAATCTCTACTAGTTCTTTGACTTCTACCTCAATATTTTACCTCTAGTAGCCCAGTAGTAATCATCACCACCACCACCTCCCAAGTGCTACCAGGCAACTGTGGCGCTTTACATGCATTACATGTTTAATTTTCTCAATGACCTTAAGGTAGACTATTCCACTAGCTTCACCCTACAGATGAGGAAATTAAGAGGTCCTCCCGTACACAGGGAGGTGAGTTTAAAAGCACCTAGAAACTGAACAGAATGAGTGGCAAACGAGGATGGCAAGCATCATGCATTAAGCAGGTTTCTAATCCTGTGAGGTGGTATTTGAAACTGAGGCTGCAAACATACAAAGTAGGTTCCTTTCCTTGCTCAACACACACCTAGTTTTCTAGGTCACACAGTCAAACTAGAGGCACATAAAAATGAGTAGGCTCAGGTGCCTGATGTGGCAGCTCACAGCACAGGCTCTGGTTACACAATCTTGAGACAACTGGGGGATTATTCAGAGAACAGATCACACAAGACTCTCAAATCAGTGTCCAAATGTTTACTGGTCTGTACTCTTGGTGACATTTACTGACTCTCACGGGCATTAACTTAATAATCTCTTTCAACATCTCTTGAAGGTAAATAGGTTATCTCATTTTACACTAGCAGTATCTGAGATTAAAAAACAACCACCACCACCACAACACTGCCCAGCAACGCCCAATCAGTGGCTAGGTTTCTAGCTCAGTAACCTGATTCCAGAATTCTGCCGAGAAATTGCATGCCCTCTGCTTCCCGAAACTCTCTGGCCTGCATTTCTTCCTCTTCTCGGGTTTCTAAATCCAAGCTCAGATTGGAATGAGAGGGGGCAGCCGGCCGGGCAGGAGGACCGGAGGGGGCCGAGGTCACACCCTCCCCAGGCACCTCTCCCCATGGGTCCCGCCAGGCCCCAGACACGGCGCGGCGGCTCCCCCTGCACAGCGCCCGGTTACCGTGGCGGAACGGCGTCCTGCGGCTCCAAGCCTGAGCCACTTGCTTTTTCAGGGTTTCCTCCATGACAGCGTCCGAAAACTCCGCCACCAACTCCTTCTTTCCCCTTTTCCCTGCCCGGCCTGGGCCGGGCTCAGCAGGCCGTTTCCCATTCATGTCTTCAGCTGCGCATCCGCGCCACGCTCGCCCAGCGGCCGCCTCCTCACCCAGACTACAATTCCCAGAACACCCCCTTTCCGGGGGGTCCCTAGCGCCACCCAATAGAAAGTACCAAAGTTAGAGGAGGCGGAACCACGTGGAATTTACCAATAGAAGCTCCAGATATTGAGACCATCCTTCCAGCGATTGGTCAAAGCACGCTCGCCCGGCTACGTCACCGCCTCGCTACTTCCTGCCGCCAGAGGCTCAGGGCGCACTTCCGGCGGGCGTACGCCGCCACTTGCGCTCTCATGTTAATGGCGGGTGGTGGCCGCTGAGAGGGCCGCAGATAACCGCTACCGGCACAGGGAGCGTCTCCCTGCTTCCCCCTCTCCGCCTGCCGCGTGTGTCCGAGCTCGCCAGCATGTCCGTGGTGCCGCCCAATCGTTCGCAGACCGGCTGGCCCCGGGGGGTCAACCAGTTCGGAAACAAGTACATTCAGCAGACCAAGCCCCTCACCCTGGAGCGCACCATCAACCTGTAAGTGCGGCCTGGCCTCCGCGCGCCGCCCTCCCGGGCTTGCCTTCCTCGAGGGCGCCTCTGAGGACTCCAGGTCGTCTTCTGGCGCCGCCCCCGGCCCTCGGCGGGCTCCACGCCTCCCCGCGAGCCCCACAGCCGCCCGCGCGTGCGCGCCTTTTTAGCGCGCTCAGGCCCTTTCCTCATCCTCTCGCGCCTGAGGGTCAGAGGCCGACGTGAGAGTCTTTTACCAGAAAGCTGGCTCGTGCTCATGCCCTTGTACGCAGTCGGCGTCGGAAGGACCCAACTTTGCTTTAAACTCAGACTTCCCTAGCATCCCCAGAGGGAACTGAACGCGGTGTTTCTGTTTTCGTCCAGTGCCTCGTGCTTTCACGTCACGCCTGTGCTAGTTATTGTTTCATGTCTTTTTATGTGATATGAATGGTGCAGTGTTGTCCTTTTTTGGGGGTGCGGTTTCCCCACCTTTTTCACTTGGGTGCAGATTTCGAGATCTGGCTGTAATGCACAGGTTTCGGTTTTTGTGGCTAACTTATGTGCTGTATTTCAGGTCGTGAATACACCACATTTTGTTTATGTGCCCGGGACTACCTGGAGTGTCCTAAGGTTAAAGTGTCATTTCTGCTGCAGCCACAGCATCCGAGCACCCGGAAGAACGCAGCATGGGCGGACGGATGCTGTTTTGGGCGGGGGACCCCTTTCAAGCCTTGTGGGGAACCAGATTGCAGTTCCAGAGCACCCGCTGGAATGCGTTTTATTTTCTACATCTTTCTAAGCATTTCAAGCCATAGAATACTCGGAATAGTAAATTTGCTGTGGCAGTTAATTGACATTTGGACTGTTCTTTGCTCGAAATTTTTTTTCTGTTTCTGAGAATTGTGAGGCACAATTGTAGCTTCTAATTCAAAGAAAGTGATCAGTTTATGCTGGTCATTGTTTAAAAGGAGCAGGGGTTTACTGGTAATGGTGTTTCAGTGGGATACTTTAGGTGTTCTCTGTTTTGTATTCCAGTAAATGAACTTCTCTCCCTTACAAACAGATGCTGGCTTGGAAACCTAGGGAATAAAGATGTTGTTGGGCTTATGAAGTCTGGAATTAGTTGGTACTTGTAGACACAAGTTAATATCTCTGTAACTGTTACATTGACATAGTAGGATTTTAATTGCACATCGCTTTAAAAAAATCATAGGTGAATATTGCTGTGAAATGAAGGACCACCTACCCTCCTTTTTAAAAATGTGAAGGTCAGTTTCTAGATAGCTTCTAATGGTCTTTAGAGCTGGGACTCACAGCTTTCCTTTGGTTTGCCTTGATTACTGGATCAATTTGCATCAAGCCATTATGTACAGTTAACTTGGTTAAAATGTTTATTCTTTGCCCCATTAAAGTTATGGGTTGATGCATTTGCAGTACTTTTTCTCATGTAAATATGGTACTCAGAAATAGTCATGGTGTTAAGAATGCAACTCAGGGGCCTCCCTGGTGGCGCAAGGGGTTAAGTTGTTGGATCCTCCCTGCCTGGGAGCTAACCCACATGGCACAGCCGACCTCTCCTGTCTGGCCCCCTGCTCCTTCTGCTCTGCCTGTTCTGCTCCCCACTGTCTCTGGTGAATTCTCTCACACCCCCTCCACCTCTGGCCTACACCCTAGCTTTTTTTTTTTTTAAATTTATACAAGCACTGGGTACAGTCAGAGATGCGGGAGGGTGAGAGAATTCACCAAAGCGGAGAGTAGAACAGGCATAGTGACGAAGTACACTGCTGAGGGAAGCAGTGGGCTGCAGGAGAGGTCTGCACACCATGTGGGACCCTCGCCAGTGGCCGGGGATTGAACCAGCGCTGCAGAGGCTGCGGGCAACTTTGCAACCCAGCGCTCAACCGCTGCACCACCTGGGAGGCCCTACACCCCAGCTTTTGTGTGCAGAAATAAATAAAATAAATCTTTTTAAAAAAATAAAAAGAATTCAATTCATGTGGCTGAGCAGTGATTTAAATTGGAAACAAATCCACTCTCTCCCAATTTATTTTTCTTTAAAGAAATAATGCATGAATGCCGGCTTTATACCAGGCACTGGCAAAATGCTGGGTATACAGTGGTGAGGAAGTAAGATGCAGCAGTCGGGCTTTACAAAGCTCACAGTATGATGAGAATAATGTGTGTGTGTGTCTAGGCTGGCACTCTGATTTCAAAGCTGAAAATTCCTAGATTTCATCTTGAAGACATCTTACTGATTGGCTACTTCAATAGAGATGTGTTATGACTAGCCTTAATTCTAACTCAAGTTGTGCGAACTAAATGTTAAGCATTAAAAAAAAATTGTCCTAGGGGTTAAGTCTGAGTGCATTAATGATATCACCTCTGCTGCCCAAGTTGGATCCCCCACAGGGAGCTAACCCACATAAGGCCCAGCAGACCTCTCCTGTCTCACCACTGCTCCCCTTAGCCCTGTTATTTCATTAAACACGCCTGTTCTGCTCCCCACTCTGTCACTGGTGAATTCTCTTACCTCTGGCACCTACACCCCAGTTCTCGTACACAAAATTAAATTTTTTTTAAAAGCTACTCAGATAAAACTTATTTTAAAAATTGATGTTAAGGGCCTCCCAGGTGGCACAGCGGTTGAGCGCTGGGTTGCGAGGCTGCCCGCGGCCTCTGCGGCGCCGGTTCGATCCCCGGCTGCTCCCCGGCTGCTCCCCGGCCACCTGAGGAGGGTCCCACATGGCGCACAGACCTCTCCTGCCGCCCGCTGCTCTCCTCAGCAGTGTACTTCGGTCCTTCTGCCTGCTCTGCTCCCCGCTCTGGCTCTGGTGAATTCTCTCACCCTCCCGCGCTTCTGACTGTACCCAGTGCATGTAAAAACAAAAACAAACAAACAAAATAAATAAATAAAACATGCCTCTATAAAAAAAAAAAAGTTAAAGTGTTAAAAAAAAAATTGATGTTAATTCCTTAGCCCATATTTTCTTTCTTTCTTTTTTTTTTTTTTTTAAGATTATTTTTTTTACGAGATCCGGGGTACAGATCAGATGCGTGGGAGGGTGAGAGGATTCACCAGAAACAGAGCGGGAAACAGAACAGGCCAACTGACAAAATACACTGCTGAGGGGAGCAGGGGCGAGACAGGAGAGATCTGCTGCGATCTGCTGTTCCATGTGGGATTGTCGCCAGCCAGGATCGAACCTGCGCTGCAGAGGCTGCAGACAGCTTTACAGTGTGGCACTCAACCGCCTAAGCCACCAGGGAGGCCCCATTGGCCCATATTTTCATTAAAAAAGAAAAAGAGGAGAAGAAAGAAGAGCAGAAAAATGAAAATTAAAAAGTATTGACTCTATATTTGTTAAGCATTCTGTATGAAGCAAGAACTCTTCTAAGTGTTTTCCACATAGTAACTCATTTAATCATTTAATCACCCAACAACTCACTTTACAGATAAGAAAGCTAAGATCTAGGAAGTTTCAATAAATCTTAAATAAATTTCAAAAATTTTTGTCAGATTCCGAGTTTATATCTCTAACTGATTACTGGATATTTCCTCTTAGATGATTCACAGATCTAAGGTGTAAAATTGAAGGAATTCTATTCTACTGCTCAATTGCCAACAATTCCAGTATGTGTTCTCTCTCTCTCTCTCTCTCATTTCTACCCTTGAATTTCCCTTATCATTTAGAATGACATCAACATCATTTCAACCCCTTAATATGGAATTCTCAAATTGGAATTAGAATTTGGGGAAGAATTGTTGATTCTTGTTGATTCTTTTTTTTTTTGGTGGGGCCCTCGTTGGCGGCCGGGGAACAAACTGGTACTGCAGAGGCTGCCAGCAGCCTCGCAGCCCATTGCTCAACCGCTGCACCATCAGGGAAGGCCCAATTGTTGATTCTTTCTCACTCTATTAACCCAGTTGGTTTCCAAAACTTAATAGTAAATCGCTCTAAAATGTCTTTCTTGACATGGAGTATGCTAAACTACGAGAGCAAATAGATAAAAATTGTAGTGATTCAAACACAACAAAAGTGGTGCGTAGTGGTGTATGAGATTGCTATTCCTAACTATGTTAGAGTCAGCTTTGGGTCTACGAAGTATTTTTTGAAATTGAAAGCATGCTGGAAATGATATATTTTAGTTTAGAGCTGCTTAATTCATGCCTAGAATTTGACTTCTAGAATTAATTATAAAGTTTTGGTAATCTTGATTTGCTCCCCTTTCAAGAATAACTGGATGAATTGGTTATGTATTTGTTGACTATGAATGCTAAGGTGTTTTGATAGACTAGATTCCTTGGGGATAGATAGGCAAACTTGGACTTCTTACTGTAAGGCTTATGATCAAGAGGTTGTAACATGATACATGCAATGAAATAGAAGTGTGGGATTTTTTAAAAGATATATCTTGAAGGAAAATTTTGAGTTTACTAAATAAGATGAAAACTTTTCAATAATAACCTAGATCGGGTGGGCAGAAGATTTAAATGAAAAGGGAAGAATAGAGATACTGAATATAATTAGTGTAAAAGATTTAGAGGGAAAAGAAAAGTTTATCTGAAGAGGAAAGAGTGTCATATCAGAAAAACCTGAGGATAGTTGACTGGAAGAAATAGAAAATAATATCTGAAGAGATAATGGGAAGTGGTGGCTCATCTTGTGGAAAAAAAGAATACCCTTTAGTTCCTACAATTGACGGAATTTATAATTAGGATAGTGAGGGGGTGGGGGAAACGGGGGGGGGGGGTACATTAGCCAGGTTGGCAGTGCTGTATAGGGTAGCAGCCTGATCTAACATCAGAGGATTAGCAGATATCTAGATATCTAGATAGCCACTTCTCTAAGCATTTAGGGACCTTAGGGTAAGTATTATTTGTGCTTGAAAGATCAAATATGTAGTAGCCGCTTGATCCAGCCAATGGAACAGTGGCTTTCCAGTCCAAAGAGCCTGATTCTAATCCGCTGTGTGGTATCTGTCGTGATTATTTAGGATCTTTGGTTGTTTGTCTTTGGATTACAGGTACCCTCTTACCAATTACACTTTTGGTACAAAAGAGCCCCTCTATGAGAAGGATAGTTCTGTTGCAGCCAGATTTCAGCGCATGAGGGAGGAATTTGATAAAATTGGAATGAGGAGGACTGTAGAAGGGGTTCTGATTGTACATGAGCACCGGCTACCCCATGTGTTACTGCTGCAGCTGGGAACAACTTTCTTCAAATTGTAAGTGTCATTGGAAATTAACAAGACAACTTTTAATAGATTGCTGTTTTTTGCAACTTTGAAATACAATTTTAGCCTTTAGTCCTTTATTTTAATAAACTGCTATTAATTGAATCTTTAGAAAAAGAAAATAACAAGTGATTTTTCTCTTGTGCAGTGCTCATTTACTGTCTAGCTAGATATCTGCATGTTTCCGTACATTGCTGATGTTAATTGAGGATAAAAGCTCTGTGAAACAAATTAGTTTAAGCTCAATTTTTAGATAGCATTGTAACATTACTAAAAACTCATTTCTTTCCTGAAATGAATACTTCTTTTTACCTTTTTATAGATAATCTAGTTTCATCACTTAAACTCATAAATCTCTCAGTGTACATTTAGGCCGCAACTATTTGACCAGATTGTGCCAAAAAGAGAGGTCTCAAATACTTAGATTGGAGTTCTTGAAAAGTAACTCATTCTTCAGACCTAGAGATGTGGTCTGTTCCCTCTCTGGTTTAGACTCCGTTATCACTACATAGCTTCTAGAGAGAAGAGATTGGAATGGGCTGGTGATCAGCCATTATTTTTTATTTATATTGTATTTTGTTTATTTAAAACTAGGGTTTCTGCAACTCTGGTGAATTAACATTATGAATTCAACTTTCCAGCATGTTCTCCCCCCTCCCCCCCTTTGACATTTGTTTGCTTTGATTGCCTTATCATTTGACTCTGAAATAGGTTATTAAGTTACTTGGTAGAATTAACTGTTATTGTGTTCTTCCTATTATCCTAAAATTGTGTTAAGTTGAAAGCTGAAATTCTTAACCTTTATACAGACCTGGTGGTGAACTTAACCCAGGAGAAGATGAAGTTGAAGGATTAAAACGCTTAATGACAGAGGTATTTGTCTGTTTGACCATTTTGACAGTTTCATTCTTGCCTATCTGAATATCATTGACTTAATGAATACTTAGGCTTTTTATGTCTTGTGAAAAGGATATTTTTATTTTGAATGTGTAGTTTTGAATAAATAAAACTTAAAACTCAGGTTGTTGGTATAATGTTTATTTTCTGAAAATTGAAACTTAAGTTTTTTTTTATTTTTCATTGAAATGTTGATATAACAGTAATGGTTAGCAAAAGCCAACATTTTTTGAATACTTGCTGTGTTGGGCACTATTCTAGGTGCTTTATATGCAGTAATTCTAATTATCACAACAGTACTAGGGAGTAGATGTTGTTAATCTCATTCTGCCAATAAGGATACCAGGACACAGAAACTTGAAGTGATGTGCTTGATATTAAACAGCTAGTGTGTTGTGCAGCTAGAGATTTGAATGCATGTAGGTTTCTTCCAGAGTAGGCCTCTAAAATTTTGGCCAGAGATTCTTAACCTATTTTCATTTTGCATGTGTCTTAGGCTTTGCCCAAGTTGTACTAGTGCTCACTTCAGCACATCTACTAAAATTGGAGCAATATGAGAAGATTAGCATGACCCCTGTGCAAGGATGACACGCAAATTTGTGAAGTGTTCCTTTTTTTTTTTTTTTTAAAGATTTATTTATTTATTTATACAAGCAGTGGGTACAGTCAGAAGCATGAGAGGGTGAGAGGATTCACCAGAGCCAGAGTGGGGAACAGAACAGGCAGACTGACGAAGTACACTGCTGAGGGGAGCAGCAGGCGGCAGGAGAGGTCTGCGCGCCATGTGGAACCCTCGCCGGTGGCCAGGGATTGAACTGGCGCTGCAGAGGCTGCAGGCAGCTTTGCAGCCCAGCGCTCAACTGCTGCGCCACTGGGGAGGCCCTGTTCCATATATTTTTTTTTTAAGATTTATTTATTTATGCATACAAGAGCTAGGGTACAGGTCAGAGATGGGGAGGGCGTGGTGAGGATTCACCAGAGAGAGTGGGGAGCAGAACAGGCAGACTGACTGAAATACACTGCTGAGGGGAGCAGCGGGCAAGACAGGAGAGGTCTGCTGCGCCATGTGGGTAGCTCCCTGGCCGGCCGGGGATCAAACTCATGCTGCAGAGGCTGCAGATTGCTTCACAGTGCGGTGTTAACCCCTTGTGCCACCAGGGAGACCCAGTGTTCCATATTTTTGCAGCAACATGGATGAAGCTGAAAGGGATTATGCTCAGTGAAATAAGTCATAAGGAAAAAGAAAAAATACCAGATTGTATCACTTATAGGAGGAATATAGGGGAACTGAAGAAGAGATGGGGAGTGGGGGGGGCAAAGGAAAGAAAAAACTAGCAGGAAACTATAAATCTGAGACTTTCGGAGGGGGAGGGGAAAGGAGAAGGATGAAAACAGTTGGAAAAGCACAAGAGACTATGGTGATGGTTCATGGGTGACTTGGTGGGAATTCTGTGGGGACTAGTGAGGAGAAGAAATGAAATGTTGTTCAAAAATAAATAATGATGTAAAGTGTATACACACACTATATATATAAACCAAAAAAGAAAAGTCATTCTAATGTCTGCCTCTGAAGACTTGGGGCCAAATAAATGAATACATGGTTGCTGGAGGTTCTTTTTTTTTTTTTTTTAAGATTTATTTATTTATGCATACAAGAGCTGGGGTGCAGGCCAGAGTGTGAGGGGTGAGAAATTAGAGTGGGGAGCAGAACTGAAGTAGATAGAGTGGGGATCTACTGAAATATACTGCAGAGGGGAGCAGGGGGAAAGACAGAAGAGGTCTGCTGTGCCATGTGGGTCAGCTCTCTGGCTGGCTATTGGACTTATGTAGTGGCTACCAATAGCTTGATCACGCCGTGTCTTTAATCCCTGTGCCACCAGGGAGGGCCCTGCTGTGGGTTCTTGAGACTAGAATGTTATCATTAAATTTTTTTTTTTATAGCTTGCATTCCTTCTTCTTAATTACAAACTAATATATATTTTGCCAAATCCAGAAAAGCAGGAGAAACAATTAAAATCACCTGTAATTTAAAAATATATAAATCCAGTAGGATTAAGGAAGTGTGAAATGAGACAGTAGCAAGAAAAGGTTTTAGGCTCTGGAAAGCAGACGGAGAAATCATAACTAAGCAGAAACCTCAGTTAAGCAGAAGGGCAGTTCAGGACCCAGCCCTGCAGAATACCACAAGACTGAGGAATTGGAGGAATTGCCAGGTGCTTATAAAAGTGGGGGCATGCCTGGGTTGAAAACTGAATTGACTGGACAGTTTGTATAGGGTGTGTTATATACTTAGAATCTCTTCCTACTTTGTGCCTGGTACATGATTTCTCTGTAGAAATAAATTGGAAAACACTAAGCATTGAAAAATTCGAGGGTATGGGAAGAATAAATGAAAATTTACATCCTGAATAGTGAGACTTCTGGACTTTTAGACTGATAGAATGCTTACAGCTAGAGATGACAGTTCAGCATCTTTTTGCTTTGCTCTTAGTTGTGAGTAGATAACTAAGTATCACCAGACTTTTGGAGAAAGCTTCTAAACAAAGAGATGAAAAGTAGTAAGAGAAACTCCATAGAAACAGAAAATTAAGCAATCAACAAGATTATGATCAGTATTTTTTTTATAAAGATTTATTTATTTAAACAAGCACTGGGTACAGTCAGAAATGCGGGAGGGTAAGAGAATTCACCAGATCCACAGCGGGGAACAGAACAGGCAGAAGGACTGAAGCACACAGCTGAGGGGAGCAGCTGGCACGGCAGGAGAGGTCTGCATGCCATGTGGGACCCTCCCCGGTGGCTGGGGATGGAACCAGCGCTGCAGAGGCTGCGGGCAGCCTTGCAGCCCAGCGCTCAACCGCTGCACCACCAGGGGAGGCCCAATGATCAGTATTTTTAGTATGATAAAAGGAGAGAATGTCTCTGTGGAATGGTGTGCCATTAAAAAAGACTATTAAGCCAATAAAAACTCATGAATATATTTTAAAAATGTTAGTAGAATGAAAAATTATTGGAGGGCTAGAAGACAGAATTGAAGAAATCAACCACAGTGGAATAAAAATAGAGAATATAGTCAAAAAAAGAGAAAGATAAAATCAGTGGACCATTCCAGAAGGAGCAATATCAACTATAGATAAATAGAGGAAAAGGAAGAATTAGCAAAGCAATAATTCAAAAAACTTTACTTAAATAACAAATTTTAAGTTGACCTGCCTTTTGTAGAGAATATTAAGGCTTATCATCATGAAATTTTAAATTAATAAAGATAAAGAGAAGATTCTAAAGGTTTCCAAAGTTGGGGAGAGAGGATGGGGAGACATTAAACACAAAGCATCAAAATCAGAAATGGCATTGACTTTCCAGGAAACCAAAAGATCATGGAACATGCCTTCACAATTCTGCAAGAACTTGACTTCTATGGTAGAATTTTCTAGTTAAATTATAAGTCAGGTAAAATAAAGTTATTTCTAGACATAGTTCCAAAAATGTGAACTCTTTGTACCTTTTCTCAGGAAGCTGCGCAAGGTGTTCACCTAAATGAAAAAAATAAAAAAGAAGATACAAGATTTAGAATGTATAGAGTCTCACAACACAGCAGAGAGGCAGAGAGAAGCCCTGGAGCTCTACCTGTGTAGGAGAGCTGAGAGTATCTGCAGATTGGAGCAGATTGATAGAAAAATGTTTCTTAGGAAAGGTGAAGTTGATGTTTGAATGGAGAAGAAATTCAAGCCTAAAGGATGTGGGGATGGATTAGTTATAGCAAATGAAACAGCTGTTAATTCTGAAGAAATGAGTTAGTTATATAAGTAAGGAAATGTACTTATAGTTTACTACATACTCTGTTGCTTACTTTGAAGTTTAATGATAGTTTACTAAATGTTCTTATTCACCTAGTCATGTTTAATTAAAAATATTATTGACTTAATCAAATACTGATACTGGGAGGATGGTAGAAGAGCAAGTATGAATGAGGGATATAGGTTTAAGATCTAATTCTCATCCACAGTAGAGGGCATTTTTTTGTTTTTTATAGGTTCTTAAAAATGAAAAGTAATCAAGAAATGGTCATAAAGAATGTGTTAAAAATGTAACTTTACCGTGGAAAACCTGATAGACACTACCGGAGCCAGGTGATCAAGGTTAATATCCAAGAAAAATAATGTTGATAGAATGTGCCCTTGACATGATGTGATGAGAATGGCACGTTACCTCTGTGATCTTCCCACACTCCAAAATCCTAGTCTAATTGAGGGATTTCTACAAACTGGCCAGTACTCAAAACTATCAAGATCAAAAAGAAAGTCTGAGAAACTGTCACAGTTTCACAGCCTAAGGTGAAATGACAACTAAATGTAATACGGTACTAGATAAAGTAAAGCTGTTTTAGTAAAACTAAAATATTAACAGTTTATTAAAAAATAAGAAAGTTTTTTTTTTTTTTTTTTTTTTTTTTTAAATGAGAATGCTTTTTAAAGCAGGTAACTGAGGTGGTGGGGAGGAAGCAAAGAGTTGAAAGTTACAGCCAGTGGTGGGATTAGGTGAAGTGGGACAGGAAACTACTCTTACTACAAATCTTATGAACATTTTTGACCAATTATAATGTATAAAGTATAACCTTGATTAAAAGAACTTAAGAATAATGTTGTGTTATATAGACTGATAAAAATGAAAATTGTGAATTTTGAATACTTATTTCTATAACTTGCTTAGGTCTAGGGTGATTCTCAGAAGTTAGTTGATTCCAGAAAAACTGTTGTGTGCCATTGACTAAGTAAATACTTGATTATCTTTGATTTTCCATCTGAGAAAGGCATATCATCATGAAATTTTATTTATTTTTGCCAGATGTGCGGGAGGGTGAGAGGATTCACCAGAGACAGAGCGGGGAACAGAACAGGCAGACTGACGAAATACACTGTTGAGGGGAGCAGCAGGCGAGACAGGAGAGGTCTGCTCGCCATGTGGGTTGCTCCGAGGCCAGTGGGGATTGAAGCGGCACTGCAGAGGCTGCGGACAGCTTCACAGCGCTGCGCTCAACCACCTGCACCACCAGGGAGGCCCCCCAATTTTATTATTTTTTTAAAGGTTTTTTTTTATTCATGCATACAAGAACCAGGGTATAGGCCAGATGTACAGGAGGGTGAAAGGATTCACCAGAGACAGAGTGGGGAACAGAACAGGCAGACAGACTGAAATAGACTGCTGAGGGGAGCAGTGGCCAAGGCGGGAGAGGTCTACCTCGCCATGTGGGCATCTCACTGGCCGGCCGGGATCGAACCCACGCTGCAGAGGCTTCGGACAGCTTCCCAGAGAGGAGAGGAGGGGGGACATGGGTTAAATACAAAGCATCAAGATCAGAAATAAAATCAGAAATAGCATTGACTACCCAGGGAGCCAAAAGATCATGGAACATGCCATCGTAATTCTGAGAGAATTGACTTCTATCATAGAATTCTCTAGTTAAACTGTAAGTCAGGTGTGCAGCTAGGGTATTACAATAGATCTGTTCCTGTATAGTTACGTGATGTTAGATTGCCAATATTTGAACTAGTACTAATTTGTCTTGGATAAAGTGACATAGATAATAATAAACAGGAAATTACAGAGAGAAAATCTGCATGGAGGGCACAGTAGCCCTGTCTATTAGGGGTGCTGCCAAAACTTCACCAAAGAAGGGTATTGATGGGGATATATATTTGGTGGTTTATTGGCTATATGATTTTACTTATTTATTTTTTTTTTACAGATACTAGGTCGTCAAGATGGAGTCCTGCAGGACTGGGTCATTGATGACTGCATCGGTAACTGGTGGAGACCAAATTTTGAACCTCCTCAGGTAAGTGTTCACTTTGTTTTCTGGGCATTTGGGGAAATAGAAAATTGATTTAATTCCAGCCTTTTAGAAGATCCTAGCAGAAATTGGATTGAAATTTCCTCTTTTTCCTTCTTTAATTTAGATAAAAACTTTAAAAGCATTTTTTCTTTTAAGGGAAAATTCAAACATATAAGAGTAGAGAAGCTAGTGAGTGAATCCTGTTATTTCAATTCAATAGTTAGCAATTCATAGTCAAACTTCATCAACCCTTCCCCCTCACCCAACCTCTATACCCTCAACTTGGATTATTTTGAAGCAAATCCTACATATAATTTTAATTGTAAATGAAAACCATTGTATAAATGAAATCATTGTACATCTCTGAAAGATAGGACCTTTTAAAAGATATAGAACAGTACTACCACTATCATACTGAAAATTCCCCTAAGATCACTAAATAAGTAGTCACTCCTGATGGTTTAAAATCTTTATTTTTATAACTTGTTTGAATGAGGATAGGCTCTTAAGTCTCTTTCAGAGCTATACCTTGGCTGTCTCTTTTTCCTTCTCAGAAGTTGCTGTGTTTGTTCTGTTCCTCTCCTTCTGACTCGCTCGTATAGCTGAGGGATAGGAAGATAGGGTGCTATTGGGAGTTGGTGTAGTGCTCACTACCCGAGAATTGTCTCCACAATTACAGTTTCTCCAATTTCCCAAGCCATTTGATGCTGTTTGGCTGGCAGATCCCCATTTAGACTGCTTGTCTGGTATTCCTGAAACATGTGGGGTGTGTAGGGGTGGTGTTGAAGGGAGGAATGTCTCATAAAGTATCTTTCCCACAATATTTAAACTCTTCATATAGTAAACATGTCCACACCAAGTTTCTAGAAAATTTAACTTGGTAATAGTAAAAAAAATTATTTTAGGGCCTCCCCGGTGGCGCAGCGGTTGGGCGCTGGGTTGCGAAGCTACCCACGGCCTCTGCGGCGCCGGTTCGATCCCCGGCTGCTCCCCGGCCACCAGAGGAGGGTCCCACATGGCGCGCAGACCTCTCCTGCCGCCCGCTGCTCCCCTCAGCAGTGTACCTCGGTCCTTCTGCCTGCTCTGCTCCCCACTCTGGCTCTGGTGAATTCACTCACCCTCCCGCGCTTCTGACTGTACCCAGTGCTTGTATAAACCAAAACAAACAAATAATAAATAAATAAATAAGACATGCCTCTAGAAAATTAAAAAAAAAAAAAAAATATTTTACTAAAACACTAATACTGTAGTTCATTGATTTATAAATTTCTCAAGTTGTAAATCCTGTGAGTACACGCTTAATTTTCTTGTGGGTGAATGGTTTACTACTTGTTATTTTAAATTTATTAAGGCATGTGTTTATTAGTACATCATTAGATGCTAGGTCCTGGTAAAGGAAATACTGGAAAGGATTTTACTTCTTGCAGCGGTTTACACTCTATTGGAGCATAAACATGTAAAGAAAGAAAGTGTTGGATACGTTGTAAAATTTTGTTAGAGATATGAGGAGCTTGGTCTCAGAAGTGTTGATGTTTGAGCTTAATGTCTTAAATGGGAGAACTTGATAGAGGTATGGAGGTATAAGGGATGTCTTGGTAATGACAGGTTGTTCTCATTTGTTATTTTAGTATCCATACATTCCTGCACATATTACAAAACCCAAGGAACATAAGAAGTTGTTTTTGGTTCAGCTTCAAGAGAAAGGTAAGTTAGTTCATTTCTGAAGGCAGCCATCTGACAATGTTTGTGGAGTAATTTCATGGAAACGTCTATTTGTGTTTTCTCCAAGATCCTTGAATTTTTGACTTCAGTGTAAAACCAAAACCAACAAATCATGTCTATACAGAATTGCCTCGTTTTTCTCATAGATGTTCCAGTTATGCTTCTGGGGAGGGTGAGGAGAGAATGGAGGTTTAACTAGCATCTAAAATACCTATTATATTATTTTTAATAACTGTTTAGTGACTGGTACTGATTTTCACGATGTGACAAACTATTGAAAATTATAGGAGACAGGTGAATTGATTTTTTCAAATGGCATCTTAATGCCTATTGTGTATTTTAATAAGTCATTATTCTATTTCTTTTTAATAGTCTTATATCCCAAATAAATTACAAACTCAGGGCTCTTCTCTCTCCCCTTTCTCCCAGGGCCAGCACTTACAATATGCTCTTAGTTGTTAATAGCATAATAACTGATTTCATTAGAGAGTCAGTCAGTTTCAAAGTTGTGGCTGTGAACTTTGCTTAAACCAAAATGTATTGATGAAGATTCTTTTTTTTTTCCCAAAAGTTTCTCAAATGTAAAATTGGTGATTACTTTTAACTTGAAATATAGCAGTGTTTATATCAGAAATTACAGAAAATCAATTCTGTTTTGTTGTATTTTAGCCTTGTTTGCAGTCCCTAAAAATTACAAGCTGGTAGCGGCACCATTGTTTGAATTGTATGACAATGCACCAGGATATGGACCTATCATTTCTAGTCTCCCTCAGCTTTTGAGCAGGTATGGAAAATTGTACATTTTGTTGATCTTTAAATTGATTGAAGCTACTCTAAATCACTTGAGAAGGGCTAATTCATGAATTTTGGTCAGTTAAATACAATGAGAAGTGTCCACAGACCCTGAATTGCAGCATTACATTCTGGCATTTGTATTCAGTGCTGTTCCCCACATCTAATATTTTCTACTGATAAGTTTCAAGTATTTATTCAAAAAAGGGGTGGTAAAATAGTAGTCAGCAATGTACAACAAATATGAGGGGAGGTGACTGCATGGAAGTGTGGTAATTGACTCTTTTGGTGTAATAGATTCTCTTTCCCTTTTGAAACCAACTCTTATTTAGGCTCCAAATTGGGTCTTGTGGGATTAAGTCTTGAATTTTCACATGGAGTTTCTCTCTCTCTCTCTCTTCCTCCCTCCCTCCCTCCCTCCCTTCCTCCCTCCCTTCTCCCTTCCCCTATCTCTTTCTCTCTCTCTCTTTCCTCCTTTCTTTCCTTTCTTTCTCTTTCTTTTTCTCTCATTCTCTCTCTCCCTCCCTCCCTCCCTCCCTCTTCTTTCTCCCTCCCCCTCCCTCCCTCCTTTCTTTCTTTCTTGTAGAATGATGAAAAATACCTTTGTTTTAAGGTTGAATTGCTCAGAACCAACTATAATAGGGATTGAAGAATAACTTGATGGTTAAGAAAATATTTTGTAGTTAATGTTTGGATTTCAATTCCACAATGCCCTGGCACTGTGACATCACACAAATTATTATAACTGCTGGCCTATTTCTTAACCCCTAAAGGGAGGCGGTAATCCCCACTCCCTGTGAGGACTAGGTAAAATAAAGCATATAAAGTGTTTAGAACAGTGCCAGGCACTTGGTAAGTGTATATGTTTAATGAATGCTAGTTTCAGAACAAGCCTAGCAGAGGTTTTGGTCTTATATGAGCACTTCTTGAGTATGAAATTATTTTTTCTACTTTCTCCACACTAATCAAACTTCGCCTTTGGCTCCTTTTCTTTGGCCCACTGAAGGGTTACAACTTTAACTATGGAATATAAAGAAAGGGACTTTATTACTCATTCATGTAACATCACCACTCCGTTGTCAGGAACTTGCGAGTGGTCAGAGTACAGTGAAGAATAAAAGCTTTTCACCAGGGAACATAGTAGGGGATAATTAATCAAAGTTATACTCTTATACTTTTTAAAAATTAGTATTTAGCAACACTTATTGTTTAAAGTGACAGATGAGAGCAGTGTTTCTTGGTATAGAAAATGCCCAAAATGTCAAGGGAGAGTAGAAATTATAAATACATTTATCTTCTCTAAGGTAGAATCCATGTAAATAATGCTGTTTTTCATAAAGATATTGTTCTTTTTAAAATATAGGTTCAATTTTATATACAACTGAATTCCTGCACAGTGGAGAAGTAAAAGAAGCCGTCTCTGTGAGCACAGCTATACACATGGTGTAGAATAAAATGATAGAAAAAAATCTTTGGTTTTCTCTCTTTCCCCAACCCTAAATTGCCATCCACTTTCTGTTGTTTGAATAGTAAAGTTAATATGAATACTAGATAGTGGTGTAAACAAATGTGATGTTTAGTTTATTTTTGGGTTCTCATGCTTTTTTGTACATTAAAGAAAAGTGGACTTGTATTTGTTTTGTTTTTTCACATTAAACTTCTAAAATTCTTACAGGTGAGGATTGTTTCTTTTCTCCCCCTAGGCTGGTCAATGTTAAGGGACAATGGCAGTTTTAGGCCAGTGAAGATTATGGGACTCTAGCTCCAGTACTACTCTTGGGGTATACACCAAGACAGTGTTATGTGATGTGGCTTGTCTTGTTACTTTTGGAAACTAGATTGGCTTAAGTCTACAGTACAACTCCTGTGCCTTGTCTTACATTCTAGTCATGCACATTCTAATAAGTAGTATTGTAGCAGAGATCCCAGGATATTATTGACACATACTTTTTATATTGATATATCTAGACTTTAGTTGACAAGTGACAGACCTTAAACATGGGAGAAATTGTTAAAATTGGCTAGGTTGGCAAAATTATGGGAATTGGTATAAAAAGAGACTTATCTCGAGCTCACTTAGTTATCTTTTCTTCACATAATGGGAGTATTGTGAGATTATGTGTTCTAGCTACTCTTACGGCCATGGTGAAATCATCATCTGTGAGGGAAGTTTCTAAGTCTGTTCAATTTGGTACTCATAGATTACGAAGTTTTTATTTCAATTAACTTGAAGTTATATTTACTGAGTTGAAATTTAGGTTTTAGCAAGTGACACAAAGCCTTTACAAAATCTTTTGTAATAATCTGCATAAACTCAAATGTTAAGGACTGCATAAGGGATAGATTTTGTCAGCCAAAGAGGAATTATCAAATTTTAAAGAATTTTTAAAAACACTGCTAAACTTGGATCAAATTTTGTTGAATGAAAACAATATAGGGCAGAGGAGTTTGCTGGCTCTGTAACTTCTTAGTGATCAAAGTATACTGGGTATGTTTTATTACAGACTCGATGACTGCAGGCTTAATGTAAAGGATATTTTATATAAAACGCAGCTACTTAAAAGAAGAGGTTGGTATAGTTAAGTTTTTAATAGATACATAGAAATGAACTTTGGATTAGTTCTTACATTTTTATGGTGCTGATCACAAGGATATTCTGAATAGTGGGTGATGTAAAAGGTTTATCATATATTCTTTCCTATTTTAGACTTGAGAAAATCAGACCAAGAGCAACTGAGTGATTACATTCATAGGCATTCAATTTTGTTTATTTAGTTGAGGTCCTTTCACACCTTCACACGTCTGCGTAGCAAGCAGTGAGTGTAACTGTGCCTATGCTTAGGTGAACACCATTCTCCAGGACCAAAAATGACCAGTGATTTCTTTTGAAAAAACCACTAGTTCTGTGACTGGTCATCTAAGAGACCTGCCTCTTTGGTTTACAGAAGCATGTTTCTCACTATAATTATACTGGTGAGCTCATTGACTGAGTCCATCAAGATTGAAGGAGGCAAAGATGGAAATGACTTGATCCAGCCCACCTTCCATGAAAAGTTACGGTGACCACAATTCAAATGTGTTAGCTCTTGCCATTGGGGAGGGTGGAGAGAAGTGGACTTTTTCTTTGTATGATTTATAAAGTACAGTCAATAAATAGTGTGTGAGTTGAATATTTATGTGATTCAAGGCCACTCATGCCCTTTGTAACTTAAGCTTTGACCTCGAAATTCTTGATCACTACTATTCAGTGAGTGCATGAGTCAGTCAGCTCACCTAGGTGAAAAAAAAGTTTTGATTAATTGAAGTTGGCTGGGTTACCAACCTTGGAATGTAAGAGGTTGAGTTTTGAATATAAATGCATAACACAAATAACTCTTTTTGAGCCAGTTAGTTAAAGTTGTATCCTAATACTTTTTTGTTTTAAGTTTTCAGATCTAATACAGTACAAGGGTACAGGGGTTCTATTTATAAACAGGTCATTGATATGCAAATTCACACTTTAAGAACTACCAGTCTTAAATTGTGCGTTCTAGTTCTCTACATTTTAAAATACTGAAGTTTTAAAATGAGTTCTTGATTAATTGATTTATTTTTTAATGCCTTTTATGTCCCAGGTTTGTTTATAAATGAGAGCCCTCTAGTGCATGTTGCACTACAGCATATGCCATGTGATTTTCCCTGAGTGATCCAAGTAGTACATATTCTACCTAAAACTATCACATGGCACAGGAAAATATTCAGGAACCTGGGGGGAAAACTAAAAAGTTTTACTTAAATGTTTTAAATCATATTTAAAATTGACAACCCTTTGAAAAAAAAGTAAATTTTGTTTTTTCCCGAAGTGAAAAAACTGGTCTTAACAAAGATACACAATAAAGGGTAGATAATATTTACATAGCATTATGGTAATTCCGTATGGATTTGTGCTTTTTATCAGTCTTATAATTTGTATTACAGGAGTCAGTTATTTTGGATTTTTAAGGCTTCCATTAAGTATTTTATTTAGCTAAAAGAACAAAATTAACTAGTCTATTTCTTTTAATGCTTAATTAGTTTTCCAGATTCAGCAGGTCAGCAAGCAATCAGCTTAACATTCCCTTTCTTAAAGGACGAGACCCAAGTTTTTAATGGCCTTATTTTTTTTTTAAGTACTTGAGAGGAAATGCTTGGTCACTTTTCCATGTGGAGTTCCCCAAACTTAGTATTTACTGGTTCATAGTGTTTGCAACAAAATGTACAGATCTCCAAGACTGCCATAGAGAGCACAAGGTTTTGTACATTGCATTGCCAGAGAAGACTGAGGCTTGATATTCCATGATCATTCCATTTGTTTTACATATTTATTATTTGGGTTCAACTGGACTCATTCAAGCAGTTTGCTTTTGTTGTTTAAATGTATGATGAGAAACATACTGTAATTCAACTTGAGACATACAGTTCTTTAGTATTAGCTTGTATTATATTTATCAAACTTGTGTTTGTGGAAAAAAAACTGACTAAAACCTAAGATAGTCTAGATTAGGCTAGTTTAAGTGTAATTTGTATTTTAGTGTTGGATTATGAGGCTAGAGATAAATTGGGAAAATACTGATTATGCTGTTCTGTTGAGGGAAAGATTAGTGCATTTAACTTCTGGTTACTTGTGTTCACATCATAGTCAGATCATTTATAGTTTGACTTTGAGACTTTTCCTGACATTAAGTTTATAGAAAATGTATAAAAACAACTGTTTGAAGTTTTGGTTATATTTTTATATTTGTAAAGTAAAACTTTAATATGGTCACTGTTCTTTTTAAATTTTATTTTATTGTCATTTCAATAAAAAAAAAAAATAAAACAGAAGGACTCTGTGTGACTACTGACCTTAGTGTGCTGTTAGAAGTCCTGCATGGTCTTTTCAGCTTCCCTGGCCAGCTGCCGTTAGGTAAGATACAGCCTGGCATAACAGCAAGGGGCCTGGGACACTGATGTCCTCTCCTGAACCTCTCTCCATTGCGCGATAGCTGAGTTCTCAGGTTGATTCAGTTTCCTGCAATGTGAAGGCGTCGCTGCATTTGGAACCTGGAGATGGATTTAGAAATTGCCCCACAGTTGTCTTGACGGCATATCATATCCTTGGGGGCTCAGTTTCCTCATCTGCAATGAGAGTTTAGTTTTTTCTCAAATTTACCTGAAAGTTAGGACGTTCCATGTATACTGTATAATTTAATTTCAGGATCTTAATATTCAAAATAGAAGGCTGTGTAATAAAGCCATAGCCTGAGGTTTTATATCTGCACAAAAATTGAACAAAATCTGAAGTTACTGTAGCGCTTTTCTGAAAATTTTGCTACTTGTGTATTTTATAATAGGTACCAAAAAAGTTATGAAAAAAGCTAAAAATTGAAATATACCCATTTAACTTAGTTTCTCTACATACTTGATGGTTATCACTCTCTCACCTCTTCTAGATTAACCCTTTGTACTCCGAACCATTTTACGATATTTTGATTTAATTTCTTGTGCCATTTCAAGATAAAACTTTAGGGAAACATGCATGTCTCAAAAAGTTGCGTTGAAATAACCTCAATTCCCCGTAATCACTAATAAATTGCAATGTCCCCTGAGAGGGGACATCCGAGTGATATGCTAGAATTCCGATGTCCCCTGAGAGGGGACAGCGGAGTGCAAAGGGTTTTAAGTAGTGAAAAACATTGGTCTAGCTAATGCAGCCCCAGTATTCCAGGGGAGTACATTTTAAGGCTACTGAAATAGGTAAAAGGCTCAGCTCCTAGGATGTTAAACACCTTAACTACTCAGCCTTTCTCATAGGATGGTGAAAATCAAATGAGGTCAGGAATGTTGAAAGGATTTCATATATTTAAAAAATGAAAATAGGAAAAATGTTTCTAGGTGTCAAACCACACAAAAAGTGGTCTGAAATGACATTTCAGTCAAACCAAATCACAGCATCCCACAAAGCTGGTAGAAAATTCAGCCTCACAAATTGACCCAAAGTCTCACAGGGATCCAGAAGCATAAATGGCATGTTGAAGTGAAGGTGGGCATGAGGAGAGCTCTAGCTTCCGCCATGGATTCCCTGGGTACTTATTGGGCCAGTTCCCTAAAGTCTGGTGCCAGTGCCTCCCTGCCACATTTAAGGCTTAGGGCTCAGCTGACATGGGTAACTGTTCAAGGTCTACCCTTCTGGGCACACTAAACATTCTGTACCTTTCCTCTTCTGGTCCTCTCCTGGAGTAGGATGCGAAGAGCCAGCAGCACTGGTTCCGTCTTTGCTCAGAACATTCCTTAAGAGGAGAAAGTAAAAGAGCCAGGCTGTCTTGGACTGGGAGTGGAAAAAGTGTCAGTGGAGGGCCTTCCTGGTGGCACAGGGGTTAAAGAGCACTAGCAAGCTATCGCCAGCCTCTGCAGCATGACTTCCATCCCCAGCCTGACAGGGAGCAACACAGATGGCGCTACAGACCTGTCTGGCCTGCTGCTCCCCTCAGCAGTGTATTTCAGTAGATCTGCCTGTTCTTTTCCCCACTCTCTGGTGATTCTCTCTCTCTCTCTCTCTCTCTCTCTCTCTCTCTCTCTCTCTCACACACACACACACACACACACACACGAAGCTCCTCTAGCCTATACCCCAGTTATATGCATAAATAAATCTTTAAAAAAAAGTAGGTAGAATACAATTATTCTAGTAAAACATCCACACAAACCTTTAAAATCTAACAGTTCATTTCACCTATTGAATCTTCAGTAAGTTCAAGTTTCTAAAAGTTGAAAATTTGGTTTTTATATAGTCAGAACCAAAACCTGATTGCTTCAATGGAATGTTACTCAGCAATCAAAAAAGATAAACACATGCAGTTTGCAGCAACATGGATGGAGCTAGAAGGGATCATGCTCAGCGAAATAAGTCAGAAAGAAAAAAAAACTACCGGATGGTCTCACTCATAGCAGGAATTTAGAAAACCTAAATAAGGGACCAGGAAAAAGACTAATACAAAGTAAAAATCAAAATCAACAAGCAACTATAAACCAGAGACACTGGTGGGGGAGAGGGAAGGGAAGAGGAAAGACTAGGGTCAAAATGAGGGGGGGTACAATTGTATGGGGAATATAACCAAAATGATAATGCATACATTGTGCAAAAATGAAAAATGATGTAAGAATTATATAAAATAAAATTTTAATTAAAAAATGATTGCTTCAAGTATTTAAAAAAACTGGTTGTCTATAAAGTTTTATGTTAGTGGTTATATGTTAGAAAATAGTGGTTATCTCACAATAATTCAAAGAAGAGTATGACATTAGAAATTTGAAGTTCTAGATGCTGTAATTATAAGAAGGACATCTATTTGCAGCTACCCTTAAGGAGACAGGACAAAGTTGAATATGGGTCATCCTACAATGTGGTTTAAAAATTATGACACTAGCATAAGTGACCTGGAAAATTACTATCCTTATATTTTTCAAAATAAAATTTTACTAATAAAGTTGTAAGTTCAGCATTTTAATCAGATGGCTGTGGGTAAAGAACCAAGGGGAACTAAAGTTTAATTCACACAGAGATCATATAAAAAACTGTAAGTAAACACTTTCCCCTCTGCTCCCCAAAGTTAAATCTTTGGTGTTGCCTCACATGCCCTTTATTTTTTTATTTTATTTATTTATTTAAAACAGGGACTTGCCTGTTTTGTTTTTTTTTTTTTTTGAAGATTTATTCATTTATTTATACAAGCACTGGGTATAGTCAGAAGTGCAGGAGGGTGAGAGAGCATTCACCAGAGCCAAAGCGGGGAGCAGAACAGACAGACCTACGAAATACACTGCTGAGGGGAGCAGCGGGCATGGCAGGAGAGGTCTATGCGCCATGTGGGACCCTCGCGGGTGGCTGGGGATGGAACAGGGGCTGCAGAGGCTGCCGGCAGCTTCGCAGCCCAGCGCTCAACCGCTGTGCCACCGGGAAGGCCCTAACATGCCCTTTAAATTAGGTATTCCTAAAAATTACAAAGTGTATGATAAAATAACAATGAGAGATCCTGTTTTGTTTTCTAATTAGTAGCCTTAGGATTAGAATATGGCATGAAATACCTTCAAGGAAATTTAGCCCTTTTGAAAGTTTTTAAGATTCAACTACTTACTGAGCACCTACTCTTGGCTAGGCCCTATGACAGGCTTGGGGATACAAAGTCTTTAGTAGTGCTGCTTTGTTTTGCAGCCACTTGTTGAGATACTACAATACTTAACACATAAAGTGCCACTATTAGTCTATTCACAAGTTGTCAAACCACCACAATTTTAGAAATTTTCATCAGTTTGAAAACCTGCATTAAGTTGTCACCCTGCCCCCTCTGCCAACCCTAGAAAACCATCTATTTTCTTGATATATGTATTTCTCTCTTCAGAACATTTTATATAAATAATTACAATATGTGGCCTGTTGTGTCTGGCCACTTTAAACTCAGCATGTTTTCAAGATTCACGTATCAGTACTTAATTTTTACGGGTCAGTATTACAGTCCTGGTTGATCCTTTCATCACTTGATAGGCATTAGGGTTGTTTCTGCCTCTGGCTATTATGAATAATGCTATCAACGTTAGGAACAAGTTTTGGGTGGAGGTATGTTTTCATTCCTCTTCGCTATGTACCTAGGGGTGGATTTGTTAGGTCAGACGGTCACTCTTACTGTAAACCAATGTTACCTCCCCACCCCCAAACCCCGTCACTCTTGTATTTAGCTTTTTGAGGACTACACGTGCCCAAACAAACGGCACCATTTTCCATTCCGGCCTGGGGCATGGCGGGTCCCGTTTTTATTTTCTGCTAAATTCGAATCATTTTAGACTTGCTGGGCCTAGAAGACAAGACACTTACGACGACGTTATTGGCTAGAGATTTAAGAATGTTGGTCATTCCCGTTCTTCCGGGGTCAGGCCTCCATTATTCCCCAAGCACCATCTCCACTTTCCGCCCCCCAGGGCTCACCCACAGGGTGCTCGGGGGCCACCCGCTCACGGGGGCTGACGGGGCCCAAGGGACCCGCGGCTGGGGCCCGGGTCCCCGCGGCCAGGGCCGAGCGCCCGTCAGCGCCGACGGGCCCGAGTGACGCTCCGGCTCGTCCCAGGCAGGGGCCCGAGCGCCCGCGGGCCCCCCGAGCCGGCGCGTCGCGGCGGACGATGCAGGGTGTCGGGCCCCGAGGCCCGCGGCCGGGACCCGCGCCCGCCGGGCGACAGCGCGACGGCGGGGGGCGGGGGACGGAGGCCGCGCCCCCGCGCCCGTCCCGCCCGCGCCCCGCTGGGGGCGGCGGCCCGCCCCGCGCCCGCCGAGGCTCTTCCGCGCCGGCAGGGGCAGCAGCGGGAGCGGCGCGGGGCGGAGCGGCGCGAGCGGCCAGGAGCGGCCCGGCCCGGCCCGGAGCGGCGGCGGCGGTTGCAGCGACGCCAGAGCCCGTGGGCGCCGTTCGCGAGGCCGCCGCAGGGGCGCGGCCGCTGCGCGGGGAGGCCTGGGGCCGGGAGGGCCCCGCCGCCGCCATGCCGCTGCTCTTCCTCGAGCGCTTCCCGTGGCCCAGCCTCCGCACCTACACGGGCCTCAGCGGCCTGGCCCTGCTCGGCACCATCGTCAGCGCCTACCGCGCCCTCAGCCAGCCTGAGGCCGGGCCCGGGCCCGCCGAGCCGGAGCCGCCGGCCCACCCGGTACAGACCGAGCCGGCCGCGCCCGGGGGGCCGAGCGCCGGGGGGCCGCGGGCCCGCGACGTGGCCCAGTACCTGCTCTCGGACAGCCTGTTCGTGTGGGTGAGCGAGGCGGCCGCGGCGGAGCGAGCCGGGGGGCGGGGGCCTCCTTGTCACCCATTATCCGTGGGGGGCGTGGCTGGGTGCCCAGGGGCCCCCTCCCCGGGACCCCCGGGGCGAGGCCGGGGTCCGCCGCCCGCGAGCGCGCGGCCGAGGAGGGGTGGGGTGTGGGGTGTGGGGGTGGCCGGCGGGTGACCGCGGGGCGGGTGGGGTGAGAGAAGCGGCGGCGGAGAGAGGCCGCGCTGGAGGCCCGAGGAAGGGGCGTGGGGGGCGGGGAGGGCTCGCGGGCACGCGGCCCCCGCGGTAGGGGCGGGCGGAGAAGCGGGGAGCGGGGTTCAGGTGCCGGGGGAAGGGGAGGGTCCAAGTCGGAGACGGGCTGAGGAGCCGGGGCTTCTGGGGGACTCCCCGCCGGGAAACAGGCCTCGAGGAGCAGGTTCCCCGGGGAGGCCGTGGGTCGCCGGCCCCCCCAGCTGTTGTGCTGAAGGCCGGGGCAGTTGAGATGCTTTCCTGGCGGGGTCCGCGCCCACTGTTGGCGAGTTCCCACTGACGGGGCCAGGACCGAGACAACTCAGTGGTGGAGTTGGTGACGGCCGGGGAGCCGGGGGTGTCCGGACCGCCCTGGTGGAGAGGGGTCGCTCACAACTTTTGAGACCTGTTTAGTGTGTGCGTGTCCGCTTTGGAGCAAACACGCGGAGACTTTGCTTTCTTTCCTGTTGCTTTCACCTGTGATTTCACGACCTATTCCTTTGATGTCCGAGGGCAGCTAAATACTGGGAGTCAAGAGGCAGCTCATCTTTTTAACTCAGGATTTCCTCCTTTGAGCGATCCGTTTTAAAACAAGGTTTCCAGCTTGTCTGCCAGTGCTAGATAAACTACCTTTGCAAGGCCTAACTGCTGGTTTCGTTTCTTAGAACAGATAATTTCAGGCTAGGCAGATGAACCGTGTTTTGACTAAAGAACTTCGCTTCCACTTTGGCCTTGAATGCCTCTTGTATAAAACTCCTCGGCGATCGGAGTCTGTGTCTTGGACTGACCCTGATGGCTTGGATCTGGTCTGCAGGTTGCCATTGGAGGTTGAGAGTAGGCTGTAAGTGACTGAGATGAATATTCCAAGTTTATAGAAAGATATTCAACTCATTTGTTTTAATTAATCCCATTGTGCTTCATCAGGAAGCAGTGGGATTTATGAATCTGTGGGCTGTGAATTAAGTCTCCTCCCGGCTCTTCTGAAAGAGGGATTAGTAGAGGCAGTGAAAGGGGAAGAGCTTTCCTCCACTGTGAGTCGAGCTGAACCTTACAGCACTCCACTTTCTAAGACCTCAACTTGGATCTCTTCTTTCATGTCAAATCTATTTTTTGATTTTGAGCTAGCAGGTGAACAATTTAAAGTGATGTGAAGAATGTTTTTGCCAGATGTTAAGATTATTATGTCATTTTGGATAATTTTTAAAAGATATAAATAAGCCTTTGAGGAGGAACCTGTGTAGTATTTATATAACAACTACTGATATTGTTGAATGATTTCCCCACCCCCCCTCGGCTTTTCTTCTTTCAAAACCTGGTTCAAATTCCAAGGTTAACACCTCTTCATAAAACATTACATAAAGCCTGTTGATTTTTCTGTGAAAATTTCCTCTTCTTCCCAGCTTTTCCAGTAGAGGTCTTATCTCCTGCAAGTTTATTATTTCTTCCTATGTGTTGATATTTTCCTTTCTAAACTGACCTTGAACTGTTTTTCTTCCTTTCCTGGTGGTGGTCACACTTTCTTCCCAGCCTTTCTTGGTTTCAGAGGGCCCCATGCATGCCCTGTACATTTCTCTGACACCCACTATGTTCTTTCTGCTTTAGTAGCTGAAAAGGGGCCCCATTCTCTAGAGCCTCCCCCTGTGGTTGACAGGGGGGCACTCTGTCCAAAAAATAGATGCAATTTTTAAAAACCAAGCAAGACACAGAAAAACCGATCTTTCTGGCAGGTTGAAAATCCTGCAAGGGATTATTTGGTATCTTGGAATGGTAAACATCTTTGTAGAGTACAATTTAGACTAGTATGTGTCTGGATAGCTGATAGCTTCTCAGAAGGGCATAACTGTAAACAATACCCACGTCCCCCCCCAAAAAAAACCAAAACCCTGCCATCCAATCCATACACAAATAAGGCAAGATTTGATAAATGATATGTACGCACATAGGTTGACCTGGGAGGAAAGAAGTGATGCCTAGGGACAGGTTCCTGGCAGGTGGTATTTGATGGGCCATGAACACTGGAAAGACTCCGCAAACAGCAAGGTATTCCAGGTAGAGAAGACCACAGAAGAGGTGAAGCTCAGGGCAGGTGTGATGGACAGAGAAGTCCATGACTGGCTGTTAAATTACAGATTCCTTGGCTCCTTTAAGAGTGAAGTTGGGGGCCTCCCTGGTGGCCCAAGGGGTTAAGCACAGCTCTGTGAAGCTATCCTCAGTCTCTGAGTTTGATCCCTAGCTGGCCAGGGAGCTACCCACATGGGGCAGCAGACCTCTCCTGTCTCGCCCGCTGTCCCTTCAGTAGTGTATTTCAGTCAGTCTGCCTGTTCTGTTCGCCACTCTGTCTCTGGTGAATACTCTCACACCCCATCCCCACTCCTCTGGCCTGTACCCCAGCTCTTGTATGCATAAATAAATAAGTCTTTTTTTTTTTTAAGATTATTTATTTATTTATACAAGCACTGGGTACAGTCAGAAGCGCGGGAGGGTGAGAGAATTCACCAGATCCAGAGCGGGGAACAGAGCAGGCAGAAGGACCAAAGTAGACTGCTGAGGGGAGCAGCGGGCGGCAGGAGAGGTCTGCGTGCCATGTGGGACCCTCCTCCGGTGGCCAGGGAGCAGCCGGGGATCGAACCAGCGCAGCAGAGGCTGCGGGCACCTTCGCAACCCAGCGCTCAACCGCTGCGCCACCGGGGAGGCCCAATAAGTCTTTTTTTAAAAAAAAAAAAAAAAAAAAAAGTGACACTGGGAAGGTGATGGGGAGACCCAGGAGGCACAGGTGGTAGGGCACGTGACACGTGACTTTGCTGTGGGAGAAAGAAAGAGGTGAACAACCCCGCTGACAGCCTGCCTGGGTGGCAATATGGGGTACTTGTAAAAGGTAGTTTCTCAAGCTCTACCTGGAGATCAGTTTTAGAAGAAGGGTGGGGCCTTGGAATTTGGATTTGTATTGTATGACTTAGCTGGTTTTAGGCACACTCATAGTTGAGAAACCTATTGGGGGAGAAGGGTAAAGATCAGATTAGGTAAACCTTGCCTACTCTGCTAAGGAGTGGGGACATTGTGTGGGTGCCAGGCTAAAGTGGGGGTGGAGAGGTAGAGGGGCTGTATTGATATGATTATTTCAGTGGGCAATGGGTGATAGACACATGAAAGATGAGTTTCCGTGGAGTGGAAAGTGGCCTGGAGATGTGGTAACCCTTCCCCCAACGAGGTCTCTCCAGCTGGCCCTCTGACCTGGACTTTGAGAACAGGTTCAAGAGGAGGTTCCAGGGTTCTTATACTAATGAACACCAGGTCTGACTTGATCACTTGTTTTCTCCTGTCTTTCTAGAATTTTGATTCTAAAGTTTCACTCCAGGTAAGGCTTTATTTAGTTATTTATTGTTAGGCTTATTTTAGTTATTTAGATGTCCCTTTCATTAAAGTACCTCTTGACCATCACTGTTTTGAAGTGTTTGGTTATTTTTGTCTTTTCTGCTTCTTTTCATTACTTTCATTTCATCATTTTCTTTTTTCTTTGTGGTTTCGCTTCTAAAATTGTCAGAGCAGGACATGGTAAAATAGAGAAATGGAAATATGGCACAAGTGTTAAAGTTATGATTTAATCATATGCAAATCAAATAATTTAAGTAGAATTCTAAGGAGAAAAAATATCACCAAAAATGAAAGTGGACAAAAATGAACTGACCCTTTAGAGCAGGGATTGACACCCTGTGGTGACCTATTTTACCTGGCCTGTTTTTGCTGTCTTTCAGCTAAGTATGGTTTTTACATTTTTAAAGAGTGGTTTAAAAAAAAAAAAAAAAAGAAAGACTATGTGACAGAGTGTGTGGCCTACCACACCTAAAATATTTTCTTTCCTGTAACCCATTAGAGAAAAAGTTGCTGTCTTCTGCTTCAAAGAGTATTTTCATATAAAACTTCAGAGCTGAATGTAATTTACTAGGTTTTCGTCCTTATGAGTTGAATACTCCAAAAATGAGAGAAAAATGTTCACAAATGAAGAAAGACTAAACTTGTAAATAATAGGCTCTAAGCTTCGATAGACAACTTAAAAATATAGGAAAAATCTATAGGGGAAGGGACCTGCCACATGATTGCTTGTGAGATGTGTTCTTTGTCTACATGATGCCATTTATTTCCCGAATATTACAAAAAGAACAAGATCATTGTGGTGATCAAGGGGAGTGTGTGTGTTTGCACATTACCGGTTACTGGTATTTTATACTTGTTACTGGAGCCCTGCAGAGAGGCGACAGTGTTCCACCTGCCCCTGAAGAGAAGAGGTGGGCAAACAATGAGGGAGTGGTAGTGCTGACTTTAAGTCGGAGACTCAGAAATAGCTATATTGATCACGGCCTTCAAACAGTTCCTGGTATTTGAACCACATTTCATCACACACATAAATAATACCCTGCCGGTGGCCAGTGTTTTACAGGGCCAGAAATACCACCACCGTTGTGGTGATAGATGGCTAAGTGGTTTGTTATCACTCCACTCTTCTCTTCTTCCTCGAAGGCTAAACTATCTTATACTTTAGTTTCTGTTTTGTCAAATAGAATAACAGACCATTCTGGGAGGGAATTACTTTTAGTAAAAGGAATTACTTTTAGTCTATTAAGAGGTAATCCAAGGATCACTGGGTCTGGCTGTTGTGATAGGCTGCTCAGGGACAGCACAACTTGTTCTTACCTTGTGCAGACTAATATAAAAGGAAGGCATTTGATGAGGTTTTAAAAACATGTAAAGTTTCACTTTGCTATAGATATGAGAAGCCTGTCGGAAGTATTTTTGTATAGTAGAAATACTGTGTTGTAAGAGGTTAACTTGTGACTTAGGCCAGTTTTAGCTTGTTACTCATCTGTCTCCTATTATCCAGATATTGTGGAACTTTAACACTGGTCACATTAGTTTAACGTATTCTAAACTTAAAAAAAAAAAAACTGAAAGAATGAATGATGCATGCTCCTGGTACAAAAGTCAGAAGGTACACAAGTACTCTGTAATGTGAATTATATCTCCCTCTCTCCTGCTACCTGCTCCTTCCCTCTGAAGTGGCTGTGGCCAGCGTCTTGTAATGAGTGCTGGTGTTAAGTAGAAGACAAATAACTAGATTGACTGAGTCCTTGACACAGTTCACATATTGCCAAACAGACCTGTGTCTTACACATTTTCTTTATTATATAGAGGGTGGCAGAGTCATCACATTTCTTCACCTCCCTTTTTTTTTTCCTGAGTAAGTGACCTTAAAAGTTCCATGTATCCCTAGTAAAAGTAGACTAGTTGTACAGGTTTCATTGTATTTCACCCAATAACTGTTTTACAGTTTTTTTAAACTAGTCTCTCTGATGGCTATTTGTCTTCCTTTTATCTGTTGTTATCAGTGGTACTCCAGTGAACCCCTTATGTTTATGTTTGGGTTCTGCCTGCAAGGAAAGATGAGTTCACTGTGTAGAGTAGATGCAATGAAGTTAGAACTGCTTCTGTGGTCCACCTGTGTAGAGGGGCACTTCAGACCAGCCTTGCTGCTCCTGTGGTGAGAGCAATGGTCCCTAAGGGAACTCTGAGCCTGAAGTGTGGTTTTCCATCAGAATACCCTTGGTGATCTAGAGGGGATTTGGGGTTTCTTTTAAATGAGGAATGCTGCAACTATGTTTCTTTCTGTGTTTGCAACTTTTCAAGGCTTTGTCAGTTTTAAAGTTGAGGATTTATCAGTGCTTGTTGGAATGACAGTATTTGTGAAATAAAGACTTTTTTCTATAAATAAACTTTGTTCAGATCTCAAAATAATTTTTAGTTGTTTCCAAGGCTTTGTAACTTTGTCTTTCACACAAAGTTCATAAATGATTATTTTTTTTTTTCACAAATCCCCTTTCTGCTCTCAGTATACTTTCTCAAGCTTTTTATTCTTCTTGTTAGCCTTGCTAACTTTTAAATCTCCCCTTTAAATTAAAATAGGAAATGTTTTATCTATGGGTGATGGAATTATGAGGAACTTTAACTTTTTCTTTTTGTAAGTCAAAGATACACTTTTTTAATATCTTATTTTTGAACTTGGAAAGACTTCATAAAAATGTTTAACTGAGAAATAGTAAATACAGGTGTGCCTCACTTGCTGCCCTTTACTTCATTGCACTGTGTAGATCTGTGTTTCTTACAAATTGAAGGCTTGTGACCCTCTGCGTCCAGCTGCTCTGGTCAGTGCCATTTTCCCACAGCACGTGCTCCCAGTTAGTGGTGTGCACGTTGTTTCTGTGCACACAGTGCTGTCTCACAGAACCCACTGTGGTGTGAACAGAACATCCTCAGCGGCCTTTCTCACCAAAAGATAGCTGTGGCCTGGAACCAAACCCCAGAGTTCCCTGATGTGTGCGTGTGATAACTTAGTTTTTTTATAACCCAAGATGTAGGAGAAGGCTGTTTTGGCAGAGAAAAGATTAGGTGAGTCTGTCTGTGCCTGCTTCTTCATGGTTCTCCCAGCATCTGCCGTGCCCTGGACTGTCTCCTTGAGCTCAGGCTTCAGATCTTCCTCATTCCTCTAATCGCCCATATGCTTTGAGCAAGTAGGTGCTTAATGTGCCCAGTTTCTTTCTTTTACTTCATATGCTTACGTACAAAAGCAGGAAGAATTCTTTTTTAAAATTATGTTGTAATTAGTCTGGGGAATGTTTCACTAATTTAAAAAATCCTGCTCAGTTTGGGGGTGTGCGTGGCATGAAGGGTTGTGGTTTTGTGTTAGGATGTTTTTCTTCAATGAACATGACTGAGGTTCTGATTGGTTTAGAGCACAGTGAAGGTGAACCTTTTTGCCATCTAGTTCCTCTCCTTAAAAATTAGTATTCTGGGCCTCCCCAGTGGCACAGCGGTTGAGCGCTGGTTTGCGAAGCTGCCCGCAGCCTCTGCGGTGCCGGTTCGATCCCCGGCTGCTCCCCGGCCACCGGAGGAGGGTCCCACAAGGCGTGCAGACCTCTCCTGCCGCCCGCTGCTCCCCTCAGCAGTGTACTTCGGTCCTTCTGCCTGCTCTGCTCCCCGCTCTGCTCCCTGCTCTGGCTCTGGTGAATTCTCTCACCCTCCCGCACTTCTGACTGTACCCCGTGCATGTATAAACAAACAAACAAACAAATAAATAAAACATGCCTCTATTAAAAAAAAATTAGTATTCTAAGCTGTTTGGGATGATTTAAATAGGGCTGTCTCACAGGGAGTCATAGGTTAGGGATACAAGATGCTTTGGATAACTAATTTGGGGTTTTTTCTTAGTAATTTTAAGGATTTAAGTACCCGAACAGTTTCTTTTTTCAACAGAATTATTTTAGTTTCAATTTAAAAATACCACATACTTCCTTGACCCACTAGACAGAATAGATGTATACATAATTTAATCTCTTTGTAAATGAATTAGAACTGCCATTATGTGGTCTGCCAAAGGGCTGGGTGGTATGGGGTACTAAGGAGAACCTGAAGGCGTCTTCGGGAGTTTGCTGTCTTAAATTATGATATTCCATCACTGTCATCTTCCCTTTTAAAAATATACTATCATTTGCTTCTTTTGAGAGGGAAGAATGACCTGGAAGAAAAACATGACCACTTTCCTATAAACTTAGTTAATCAAAGATGGAAGAACCCTTTGCATTCACTTTCATAAGCGCCAATAAGTCATTTCACTCTCTCTCTCAAGGCAGATCTGCCTGTTTTAAATGCTCACTCTCAGTGTGAGTAATGTGATGTGCCCCGAGACTTCTTGGTTAGGGCAACCCATTCTTCTACTTCGTAAGCATGAGATCTGTTGTTTAGGTGTAGGGATAGCCATTTCTTAATTGTTTAAAAAAATAAAAATTTCCCACCTCCTGTGGGAAGAGGGCCTTGGTTTTGTGTTGGTGTCTCTTCAGTCCCAGCCCCTCCCGCCAGTTTTCTTCCTTCTTCCTGATGTCTCAGTTACACTCCCTCTAATGCCCCAGAACTTCTATTTTAGGCTAACACCATGTGTAGAGAACAGTTCTTTTGGCAGGCAGATTGTCCCATTGTAGTACATTTAAAAAAAATTTTTTTTGGATCTCAATTTGTGGTCTTGTGACTTTTTTGTGACCATAACTCTCCTCACCTCCTATTTGTTTGACAGAACAGAGTAGGATATTTGGGTATTGTAGCTTACTGGCCATAGGCTTCCATTTTAGAAGCGTTTTCTTCAATGCTATCAAAATCTTAATGTAGGAAATACCATACTTAGGAGATCTCTACATACAGTTTATAGAGTCCACACTGTTATATGCATGGAGCACAACGTTTATACCCCGTTCAGTTAAGACTGAAGGGAAGGTGGGGGCCTCACTGGTGGCCTAGGGGTTAAGTCTCAGTGCTATCACTGCTGTGGCCTGAGTTCGATTCCTGGCCAGGGAGATGACCCATATGGCGCAGCAGACCTCTCCTGCCTTGCCCACTGCTCCCCTCAGCAGTGTATTTCAGTAGATCCGCCTGTTATGTCCCCCACTCTGTCTCTGGTGAGTCCTCTCACCCCCCCTGCACTTCTGGCATATACCCCAGTTCTTCTATGCAAAAATAAATAAAATAAAAATCTTACAATAAAGGAATAATTCTTTAAAAAAAAAAAAGACTGAAGGGAAGGTGAATCAACTGGTAAACTGATGCTCTTCTCCCCACTCCCATCACTGCCATTAAGAGGAAGCCCCTTCAAATATTATTTATCTTATACTTGGATAGAACTAGAAAGGTTTAAGCTTTGGAAATGGTGGCTGAATTCCTAATAACAGAATTTTTAGAGCTGTTTTTATTTTTCATTAGAAGGAAATAAACTTCTTTTGTCTGGTTTCTGTGCAGGTTCTAGTAAATACGGCTTGCTGTGTTTTGATGTTGGTGGCTAAGTTAATCCAGTGCATTGTGTTTGGTCCTCTTCGAGTGAGCGAGAGACAGGTAAGTCCAGATTGCAAGGATGGATTCTTGTGACCAGACTTTTTTTTTTTTTAAATCAGCTTTGCATTTGGTATGATTTCAAACTTAGAGAAAAGTTGCACAAATACTATGGAACTCCCATATACCCTTTATTCAGATTCAAAATTTTTGTCTTTTTTGCCTTAACATTTGCCTTTTACTGATGCATCTGTGTTTTTTTCTATTTATACATCTTATGTAATCTACATATATAATCACATATATAACTCACTTTATATAATCTATAGTACTGATTTACTGTAGCCACATTGTTCCAATATTGTTTATAGCTAATATCCCCAAGACTTTTGTGAATGTAGTCTTGAAAAAAGTATGGCTTTGTTTCAGTTTGAATGATCCTAAATACCGTTCTTTAGAGTATGTGTTCTTTTCCAATGGAATTTACTAAGAGATTTTTACCCCTTTTGAGAAAGTAAATTAGCATTCATTATTCTACAAGTAGAAAATTGGGTGACTTGTTCTTGTTTTTGGTGAGCTAGTATGACATTTGATGATTACTCTCAGAATGTATATTTGAAGAGGAAATGCTTTCAATAAAGAATTATGTCACTAGCACATAGTAGATTGGCAGTTCCCCAAAGATTTTAGAGGCCAGAGTAGAATGGTGTCTTTTAAAATATGAATTTAGTACTGACCTTCAAAATGACAATATACAAACAAAACTGTATTTTAACTACTAACATGTTAAAACTATAACTGGCTTCACTCCTTACCTACTCTTTCAGCCCACATCTCTTGTCCGATCCTAGTGTAGAGCTGAAATGCGGTCACTGTGTGCTTGAGCCCTTGGAAGCTGTTATGAACAGGTTTATTTGTTTTCAAGAGATTTTTTTCATCATTGAATATTCAACAGTTTTTCTCAAATATCCACTCCAGCCATCTCCCAGATGGGGTTAGTAGAATGTAGAGCGTTTTTGGGGGCAGTATACAAAAACTCCTTTGATGTTTCTCTCTTCTTCAAAAAAAAACTTTGATTTGTGGGCCAAGACTTGGTCAGGGCAGGCAGGACGTCTAATTGATATGACACCAATGGATCTTACATACTATTTTCTTTTTCCTAAAATATTAAATATCAGTTATATGAAATCTATAGAAAATACTACTTTAAGTAACATTTTGGAGTATCCATAAAGGGTTCATTTATTCAGCTCTGCTTGAGTTTTCAGTGTGGATCACATCTTTCATGCTACCCTGTGTTAATTTTTTTTTTTTTTTTTTTTTTTTTTACTAATGTCATCCAGTAGCATTTATTAAGCACCATTTTGAGTTAGAATGCTACAGAATTGACATGGACTTAAAGTTCAAGAAGTAGAGTAAAGCTAGAGTCAAAGACATTGAATGCCTAAAATGAAACATATTAAACTTTTAAGTAGAGATTTAGAGCAAGGCATTTTTTAAAGCACTTTCTACCTTCTATGACACTGTACTTATATTTATTCAGTTTCTCCAACAGTTCTATAAGATGTATTCCATTGTCTTAAGACCCATTTTGTAGCTGGGAAAACCCATTTTGTAGCACAGGGATGTCATGTGATTTGTGCCAGGTCACACATCAAATAGACAATAGAACAGAGATTCAAAATGAGGGTACAAAATACCCGAGGTTCATCTTGTACTTTACCAGTCCCATATTTGAAAACAGACATTACTTGAGGATACCTGGTTTGTTTGTCTCTATACAAAGGGTGTATAGTCAGAGCACAGTTTGTAAAAGTTATCAAAATAATTTTTTAAAAGATTTATTTACTTATGCATACAAGAACTGGGGTACAGGCCAGAGGTGTGTGTGTGTGGTGTGTGTGTGTGAGGATTCACCAGAGACAGAGTGGGGAACAGAACAGGAGGATTGACTGAAATACACTGTTGAGGGGAGCAGCAGGCGAGTCAGGAGAGGTCTGCTGTGCCATGTGGGTCACCTCCCTGCCTGGGGATCGAACTCATGCTGCAGAGGCTGCAGATAGCTTCATAGTGCACATCTTAACCCCTTGTGCCACCAGGGAGGCTCCTCAAAATAATTCTTACCTTGAATCACATCATTCAATTATTAGACATTTCAGTTCACTATTTTTAGTCAATTTTGCTTTTTTTGCTCTTTTATTTTTGAATTTGTGAAACATTTACATGGTTCAAAACTATAAAAGTATACTTAGAAGTCCTGGGCCTCCCTGGTGGCGCAAGGGGAGCACAGCACTGGGAGCTATCCACATGGTGCAACAGACCTCTCCTGTCTCACCCACTGCTCCCCTCAGCAGTGTATTTCATTCAGTCTGCCTGTTCTGTTCCCCACTCTGTCTCTGGTGAATCCTCTCACCCCTCCCACCCCCCTCCACATCCTCCCCGCCGCACCTCTAGCCTGTACCCCAGTTCTTGTATACATAAATAATTACATCTTTAAAAAAAAGTATTCTTAGAAGTCCTGTTTTCATCCTAACTCCCTTTACCCAGTTCTCACCACTCACTCCCATAGCTGGTTTGGCAGTATGTTTAAAACTTGTTGGCTAGATGCCCTTCTTTGCCTCCTTTGACCCACAGGAGAGTAATAAAAAATTAAACCTGGCTGTTCTCAGGTAGGAATGAGTACAGTGAAGCAGATACACTTATATACTGCTTATGGGAATGTACATGTATGCAACTTTTTTTTTGTAAATCAGCTATTAGAAACTGAAAACATTTATAACTTTTGATTCAATAATGGTGAAGATATGGAAACTTAAAGATAATTGCAAATTTCTTTTTTTTTTTTTTTTAAAGTCTTTTTTTTTTTTTTTTTTTTTTATAGAGGCATGTTTTATTTATTTATTTATTTGTTTGTTTGTTTTGTTTATACATGCACTGGGTATAGTCAGAAGCACGGGAGGGTGAGAGAATTCACCAGAGCGGGGAGCAGAACAGGCAGAAGGACCGAAGTACACTGCTGAGGGGAGCAGCGGGCGGCAGGAGAGGTCTGCGTGCCATGTGGGACCCTCCTCCAGTGGCCGAGGAGCAGCCGGGGATCGAACCGGCGCCGCAGAGGCCACGGGCAGCTTCGCAACCCAGCGCTCAACCGCTGCGCCACCGGGGAGGCCCTAATTGCAAATTTCTGACTGTTAAAAATAAAACCAAAATCAGTCTATTCTTATCACTAAAATAGTATATTCAGCACACTTTCAGTGACATTGGGAAGGTTCTCACAGTATGATCATTGAAATAATGCATTGCACAAAAGTTCATGCTGTCTACATAAGGAGAATGCAAGAAAAATGCATTAAAATCTTAAGGCATCGTTCATGTTTTAATTTACTTGTTCTTTTTCATGCTTTATTCATCATAGGCTGACAAATGAGCTTGTGTTTTTTTTAATCTGAAGGATTTTTCTTTTTGTTTTAAAAAAAGAGTTGAAGTCAGCAATTAATTTCTAGATGTCTTATCTTTGTTCTTGAGAGAATTTATTTTTGTCTTTCCCTTCCTTTTTCTTATGGATGAGTGTTGGAAAGCTGAGTATAGAATTTTTCCTCCATGGAAGCCAACTTTTGTTATGTTAATTTTTCCAAATGGCTTAGGTCTGATGGTACTCACCTTATAAACATTCTTCTCCTTAGCACCTCAAAGACAAATTTTGGAATTTTATTTTCTACAAGTTCATTTTCATTTTTGGCGTGCTAAATGTCCAGACGGTGGAAGAGGTGGTTATGTGGTGCCTTTGGTTTGCTGGACTTGTGTTTCTACATCTGATGGTTCAACTCTGCAAGGACCGATTTGAATATGTGAGTTTTGGGCCCAGCTCTTTGCTTTCTTAGTCATACATCTGCCAGGTCTGAGTGGTGTCATGTGAATGAGCCACACGGGTACGTTCAGGGTAACTCTCCACTGGAATACTCCTGATGAGTCTTGGGTGGCCATTGCCTGTTACTTGAGGAACTTTCTGCAGCACTCATGGAAGAGAGGATCAGCATCTTAAAGAAATGTTCCCTCCCCTGCCCAGTGGTACATTACATTACAGTCCCCGTGGGGTCATATCATCTACACAGTTTTGCTCACCGAATAAGGAAGCTATTTAATAGGTAAATGAATAAAAGCTGGTCTCTCCAGTTATTTTCTGTTCCAGTCTTCCTTTTTTTTTTTTTTAATCTCATACTCTAATTTCCTGGAGCTCTTCTTTCTGACTAGTTTGCACTGTTTCCACCCTTGGGTAAGAACTGAATTAACTCTCTTAGTTCCTTGGTCCCTAGAGAAGTGAACCCTTTTCTGTGGGGCGTGATTCTTGCCTTCAGAGCTCTGTAGGTGAACCCTCACTCATTAGTGCTCCTGAGCTCCTTCATGGATCCTAGGTAAATGTGCACCCACAATTCTGCCCCTGTGGTAAGCCCCCTCCAGAGCCTTGTTTGTTCCTTTCTTTACCCAGTACTCATGGACCAGCTGGCCTTTGCATCTCTGCATTAATCTCAGTCTCAAAAAGGATTTAGCTGTTTCACAATTCACCCTGCATTCCCTGTTAAGAACTGGAGCTTCTCACCTCCCTAACTGGTTTGTTATCTCTTCCTCCTGCTCAGGAGTCACAGCCCCAGGGCTTCTTTTCCAAGTTGTTGCCTGTCTTTACTGTTAACATGAATATATCATAACAATAAATCTGACCTGGATTACATTTCAGTTGTCCTAGCACTAAATAGACCAGGAATGTCTTCCAGGTCAGTACTGGGGAGGAGGGCTAGAGAAAGAAACAACAGAATGTGACTTTGTCCTGAGATCCATCAAATATTAGAAGCCAGAATTACACAAATTTGGAAAATTGCTCACAGAGGTTCATAATCCCAGTGGTAGATGGATCCTTGAGAATTTGAGATGCAAACATAATGTATGTTACTATGATCTAAATATATTTAGATCAGTTGGAGAATTTTGACCATCTGGTAATAGGAAGCATTTCTGTGCCTCAGCATTTGGCCAAGCAGCTAACACAGACCCCCAAGCAAAGGCATGGAGGTTAGCCTTGAGTTTCTCACTGAAGTTTAATACTGTCGTGAGGGTGAACAAGTGCCTTCTCTTTTATTCCAGCTTTCCTTTTCTCCCACCACCCCGATGAGTAGCCATGGTCGGGTTCTGTCTCTGTTGATTGCGATGCTGCTTTCCTGCTGCGGACTAGCACTTGTCTGCTGTGTCACAGGTTACACCCAGGGAATGCACACGTTGGCTTTCATGGCTGCGGAGGTAAGATGCAGACACAGGCTTTTGCTCTGATTATATTCTTGAATGTTTTCAAGGAAGCTTGGGATTATTTCACCCACAAAAATAATTGGAAGCGACTGATAGGTATTTCATCTCTCATTTTAACAGGCATTTTTTAAGTTCCTTTGCTTTGGGTATGGTTTTTTTTTTTTTCCATGTAATTGTTCCTACAACCTAAAGGTAAAATTATTTTGTGCCAACATTAACCTAGTGCTTATTATATGCTAGAGATTGTTCTCGATGCTTTATATGTATTGACTGATCTTTTTATTCCTGTTTATGAATGGAGGAGCAGGTATAGAGGGTGAAGTGACTTGCTTATGGTTCCAGAGTAGCAAGTGGCGCAGTCCAAGTCCCTCCATGTAGGAAGGCTATTTCCCCTTAAAATGCTATGAATAGTGATTAATAAGAAAATACTGAGGAGGCCTCCATGTATATTTTTAAATATACTTTTTAACCTTTCTGAAAACAGATATTTTTGTTCAATAGAAATCAACATTTTCTCCTATGTCCTTATCTTCAATGGCTATATTTGCTTTTGTCCTCAGGCAAAATGCTTTTATCTTGTCCATAAGTGCTGTTATTAATGAAATAATTGAAATAATAGGTTACTAAAGCTATTTAGCTAATACAAAAACACTGAGTTTAAATTCCTAATTGGGAATTTATTAGAATAGGGTTAAAATGTATGTTGCTTAATAGCATTTATTTAAGAGTATAAGGCAGTATAAATAGAACTAGAAAGGGAACATTTAAGCTCTTAATAAATGCATTTGTAATCTTAGTTTGAATACATTCTGTATAAAGTGTATACAACTATATTTCCTCTTGAAAAAAATCTGTTTAAAACTTTGATTACACTGCAACAAGGATTCAATTCCCAGACAGCCAGGGAGATTCCCACATGGTGCGGCAGACCTCTCCTGTCGTACCCACTGCTCCCCTCAGCAGCACTTATTTGAATGACTTATTTAAATTAGCTTGCTTTACATGTATTATAAATCATCATTTAAGTAATAAAGTGTTTTCCTTCTTTGGTTTTCTTTTAATTGATATTAGGACAAACTTTGAAAAAAGTGTACCTGAAAATAAAGACATTTAAATTAAACCTATTGGGTCATACTAAAATATTTATTTTATTTTGACTCATTACTTTTTTTAAGGTAATTCATCAAAAGATTGGATATTTTATTTTATTTTTTTTAAGATTTTTTTTTTTTTATTTCTACAATAGCTAGGGTATAGGCCAGAAACGCAGGAGGGTGAGAAGATTCACCAGAGACAGAGCGGGGAGCAGAACAGGCAGACAGACTGAAAGTGCTGCTGAGGGGAGCAGTGGGTACGACAGGAGAGGTCTGCCGCACCATGTGGGAATCTCCCTGGCTGTCTGGGAATTGAATCCTTGTTGCAGAGGCTGCAGACAGCTCACAGCGTGGTGCCTAACCCACTGTGCCACCGGGGAGGCCCAGATTTGATATTTTAAATGAAATCATATATATATTTCACATATATATATATAGTGTTTCTCTTCTATGTAAAATAGTTTTCATTTATAGATGGGAGTTTCCTAATCTTAAACATAAATGATGGTGGAACAGCTTTATTCCAGTAAATTGAGAGAAAATTTTCTTTGTCAGGTTTTGTAATATAAAATACACAGGGGCTTACCTAATTTTTGATCCCTCTTTCTCTTCTGTGTGGGCAAGAGGAATTTAAAAGTGATATGTGGAGAGCAGTTCTAACATTCTAGTACATAAGCTTCATCTTGATTAGAGGGTCACCAAGTATTCAAACACCCCTTTAGATCATCCACTATGGTGACTTAATATTTAAAGTAGAAGCAATTGACAGACTTCTAGAATGAATCTCAGGAGGCAGAAGGCACTCTTAGCAGATGGACAGGTGTAATTGGTTATCACCAGTTAATAGGAAAAGGCTTGATAAAAGTTGGGTTTCCAGGTCTTGAAAATATTCCATGAAATTTGAAGCTGATGAAATAAAATGGTCGGTAACCTGAGAAACCTGCATTTTTCCCCTTTTGGTTTTACTGAGATATAATTGACACACAGCTCTGTGTAAGTTTTAAGGTGTCCAGCAGAATGACTTGACTTATATTATGAGATGATTGCCATAATAGGTTTCATTAACAATCATCATTTCTATGGATGCAAAAAATGAAAAAGAAAAAACATTTTTTCCTTGAGATGAGAACTTGTATGATGAGAACTGCTTTTCTAGTGACTTTCAAATACAGTGTTGATGACAGTCTTGCTGTGATTTCCACCCCCAGGACTAACCACCTTACAAACTGGATGTCTGTACCTTTTGACCTCTGCCATCCAGTTCCCCCCACCCACCACCCCTTGAACAGCCTGCTTTTTAATTTAACTGAGAAATATTTATCTTTCATCATTTTGTAAAAATCTGACTTGAGCATTCCTAACTTTTCCTAAACATCTTTTTTACAGTCTCTCCTTGTGACGGTGAGGACTGCTCATGTGATTTTACGGTGAGTAGGAATTTGGGAGGGAGTTGATTGAAACCTTCTCATAAATTGATTTTAAGGAATAGTCTATAATAAATATGTCTATATGCTATGACTGTGCTGTATCACATTTTAAGCAAATTCAATTGTAGTAGACGAATGAGATGGCTTTCCTCTGTTCACTCCAGCTACGTAATTCACCTCTGGGACCTCAACCACGAAGGGACATGGGAAGGAAAGGGGACATATGTCTATTACACAGATTTTGTCATGGAGCTCACTCTCTTGTCCCTGGACCTCATGCACCATATTCACATGTTGGTAAGTTTCCTCAGAAGCAGCTCTGAGAGCTAAGTTTTTTAGAGTCAGGAAACCTGGGTTAGTATCTGAGCAAATGAAACATTCGTGGATAAACCACTTAACAGACTATTAAAGCCAGTGTAGCTGAGCCCTGCTGGGTTTTTTTTTTTTTTTTTTTTCCCACTGGGCTAGAGCGGTGTCCTGGAACCACTCTGACTGTGCCCAGCTCAGGAGAAGTTAGCTGTCCTCTTAGGAGACAACTCTGTTGACCAAGTCAGTAGATAATTCTTTCAGCCTGGAGGTAAGAAGACAGCTCTCCCCGTCATTCCCATGGCTTTTAGTGTTTAGCAGTCACTCTGTGCATGGTGGTGGCAATTTGTGTAATGCTAGCTGTTTCAGGAATTCATGAAATTTCCATCTTTGCAATTAAAAGCAAAATCTTTGTATTTAATTCCTCCTACCTTCATTGTTTACATTTCAATTTGATGTACAGGAAATGGCATTTTGAAAACTTGCTTCATTGGTTAGCTTTCCAGTGATGTAGTAATGGTGAGATTCAACATATTTGTTAGGCAACTTATTTAAATTATAAGACTGTTAAGTAGCATTTAAAATTTTTGGGTTAATCCAAGCACATTTCTAAGTGTACTTTTTGAAAGTGACTTTGAAAAGATACTTAGAAAGAGCCTCCTCCCCATCCCAATATCTTGCAAGAGGGCTCAGAGATAACTATTAACACTTTGTTGTATTGTTTCTGTATACATTCAAATATATAAATTTATAAATTGAGATCATATTGTGACTTTATAGTTTAGATTTTTTTTTCAGCTAATGATTTTTGCATATTTTCCTGTACTAGCAGCAAATTTTTCTAATCTATTTTAATGTTTTCAAAATCAAAATTTTATCATATAGATGATTTAATTAACTGACCCTCATAATGGGATTAGTTTGTGTTGGTGTTTTGCTATTCACATCTTTACATAATTTTTTTGTCATGTTTCTTCAAGGTAGTTTTAGCCTACTTTTTAAAACTTAACAAATAATTTCTTCCACAGTGTTGTATATAAATTATATTAAGGCTTCCCTGGTGGCTCAAGGGGTTAAGACACAGCCTATGAAGCTGTGCACAGCCACTGCACCACGAGTTTGATCCCCGGCGGCCAGGGAGCTATCCACATGGCATAGCAGACCTCTCCTGACTCGCCCGCTGCTCTCCTCAGTGGTGTGTTTCAGTCTACCTGTTCTGTTCCCCACTCTGTCTCTGGTGAATCCTCTCCCCCCCACCCTGCCCCCCACACCTCTTGCCTGTACCCTAGCTCTTGTATGCATAAATAAAACAAATCTATAAAAAAAAATAAAATGTATTAATATGTAATGTTATTATATAGTACATTTAATGTCTATATAATTTTAACCTTTATATGAGTTTATGACCTGTTTCCCTACGGCATTTTGTTCATTTCCTGATTGTCTTTTTTTTTCCCTTTTTTTTAAAGATTTATTTTTATTTATTTATACAAGCACTGGGTACAGTCAGAAGCGCGGGAGGGTGAGAGAATTCACCAGAGCCAGAGCGGGGAGCAGAGCAGGCAGAAGGACTGAAGTACACTGCTGAGGGGAGCAGTGGGCAGCAGGAGAGGTCTGCGCGCCATGTGGGACCCTCCTCCTGTGGCCGGGGAGCTGCTGGGGATTGAAGCAGCGCTGCAGAGGCTGCAGGCAGCTTCGCAACCCAGCGCTCAACCGCTGTTCCACCGGGGAGGCCCAGTCCTGATTTTCTTTTTTTTTTTTTTTTTTTAATAGAGGCATGCTTTATTTATTTATTTATTTGTTTGTTTTTTTGTTTACACATGCACTGGGTACAGTCAGAAGTGCGGGAGGGGAGAGAATTCACCAGCGCTAGAGCGGGGAGCAGAGCAGGCAGAAGGACCGAAGTACACTGCTGAGGGGAGCAGCGGGTGGCAGGAGAGGTCTGCGCGCCATGTGGGACCCTCCTCCTGTGGCCGGGGAGCAGCCGGGGATCGAACCAGCGCCGCAGAGGCTGCGGGCAGCTTCGCAACCCAGCGCTCAACCGCTGCGCCACTGGGGAGGCCCTTGATTTTCTTTTTGATAGTAGTATGAATGGACATCTTTTTACAGTATGCTTTTAAATTTCTGGTTAGCACCTCATGAAAGATTTCTAGTGTTGGAATACTAGGCCAAAGAGCATGTACGTGGTTTAGGGTAGTGAGATAAAAATATCATTTGCTTCCTAAAAGATTTTTCTAAGTCATCAATAATTAAGAGCTTCTGTGGTACATTTCACCTTCATCACTTGCAAGTTTGCATTTTTATTGTGTGTTCTCTTTCCTCTTGTTCAGTTATTTGGCAACATCTGGTTATCTATGGCCAGCTTGGTCATCTTTATGCAGTTGCGCTACCTGTTCCATGAGGTACAGCGTCGAATCCGCAGGCACAAGAACTATCTGCGTGTGGTTGGGAACATGGAAGCCAGGTGAGAAAGCACAGGTTGATGTGCTCAAATTTCCTCATCTTAGATCTTTAATAGTAACAGATTCCAGATTGCTTTTGTGAACTGTTAACAGAATGGTGGTGAGTGTGTGCTTGGAGTAAGACTTCTTAAATGTGAATCATTTGCCATAGAAATTTGGGCATTTAACTCTCTGTGCCCCAGTTGCTTCACCTCTAGGAATGATGGCAGAACCTTCTTCCTTGAACTGTTGGAAGCATTCAGTGGGCTGATACGTATAATGTATTTAGAATACTACTGGGTACATGGCATATGCTCAATAAATACTAAATTCTTGTTATTATTTTTATCATTATGTTTAAATGGATACTCATTTGGGGTTCTACCCTCTTTATTTTATGACAGTGAGTCTGAGTCCCAGCACATTCATGTTTGCTCTCATCCTCTCTCTCTCTCATTCTTAAGTATCTTGAAGGAGGCAACCTTTCTCACTTGCCTACCAGAAGAGACACCAAACCTGAAGGTTTGGTGAGTTTAACTGGGTATCTTATTTGTGTCTGGGAAAACTATTTGGCTCTCTGGCAGTCTTAACTTCTTTGATTTACACAAAAATTCTCCCTCAATTGATTGCTAACAGGAGCCGCCATTAAGATACTTGATTTCTGTGTTTAAGTTCTTACTGGCTCTTTGATGGAATACCAGGAGAAAGCAGGTGCAATGTTAGTGATGTTTGGAAATTCTTTACTGAACAAGCGTTCTTCTGTTCTGTGCTGTTGGGAAGGTGAGGTCTGTAAGCAGTGCTTCAGTCACTGTGTGTAGAATTGACGGATGGCTTCTGGGCACATTTTGTTTTCACAGGTTTGCAGTTGCGACTCCAGAGGAGCTGGCTGTTAATAACGACGACTGCGCCATCTGTTGGGACTCCATGCAGGCTGCCAGGAAGCTGCCCTGTGGCCATCTCTTCCACAAGTAGGAGCTTTGTGAAGGGTTCCCTGGAACTGGGGTTCTGTCCCAGGCGTGTGGGTACTTTTGGTTCCCTGGACTCGGGACTAATCCTGGCAAAAGTAGGATGTGGCCTGAGACTGGTCATGGTGCCAGCACTCTGAGTGGCATGACAAGCTTTGGGGCATCCTCCTCTGTTCCGTAACCTCTCCCTGCTCCACAGACTTCCCCACCTATAATTTGCCATTTTCATTTCTTGGTGTGTTAACTAGCTTCATATTCCTTCTCCAGTATAGCAGATATGCCTGGGAGGTTTAAAAGAAAGGGTTAAGGTGATTCCTTATTTTCAACAGCTTGCTCCCTAGTTGAGATGAGAGAATATTTATTTTTACATTTTGCATGTGCCCCAAAACAATGTAAGTACACAAACCAGAGAAATGGGCAGAGATGGGGACTAGACTAGGAACACTAACTGGTCCAGGAGGACTGTGACCGTGTCATCAAAGATCATTCAAGAGGATCTCCTGAAAACCTCATGATTGGCCTAGTTCTCTGTGTGGAACAGAGTCTTGTCGGCCCATGTCACAGCCCTCTCTGTCTTACATGACTCATTTATAGGGATTTCTGGGGCTCTTTAACTTAAGTCATCTTGGTTATGTGAGGAAATTTTTGATGTTGATGGACTTTGGTATACATTTTGGCCTTTTGCATCTGTGGTCAGTTTTGCATATTGAAAAATTTTTGATCTTATATCTTTGATCTTACTGAATAATTATATTCTTTTTACATTGGTATTACATCTTTTAATCTTGTTTTATATTTCCAAATGGTTTTTCCTTCTCTTTTTAATATTAGAAGGGCTTTGGAGTAGACTGTCAGTAGCTCAACAAATAACAACAGGCTTTTTATAGACTTGTGTGCTGTGTTGGGCTCTGAGGATAAAATAAAAACGACAGATATAGTCTTTGCTTTCACAAAGCTTATAGTTTAACAGAGGAGCCAATGAATTAACCAGGCACATTTATGAATAGGAAGTATAAATTGGGTGAAGAGCAGTAAAGAAAAGGAACATGGTTGTTGAGAGCTTGAAACAAAGGCATCTGACTCAAACCTGGAGGTGTAACTCTTGAGGCTGTGTCAAGGGTGTTAAATCAGTAATGGGAGGGGCTGGGGGGTAAGAGTGTTTGAGACTAAGGGGCCATCTCTGTAGCAGCAGGCAGTGTGGCATATTGGGGGAACAGCAGAGAACCTGGGGGACTGGAACTCAGAATTTGGGACGTGTGGTATTTGCTGAGGTAGGGTTTAATCTGCAGGGTCTTGAAGGCAAGCTCTCGGCATGAGAAGCCATTGAGATTTTTAAGTTGAGGTTGAAAGGCTTGAGAAGATCTTGCTACTGTAGTTCAGGTGTGTGTGGAGAGCAGCTGGGAATGCAGTGGATGGACTTGAAGAGGATGAGGCAGGATGGGCTGCTCTGTGAGGCAGGATGGGCTGCTCTGTGGGCTGGGAAAAGTGTTGGTATTCGAGTTTTGTGGATGGCTAGTGGTGCTGTGGATGCTCATGAAATGTGCTAAGGATATCTTATTTTGGACTTCCTGGTAGCTCCTGTCTTCGCTCCTGGCTCGAACAAGACACCTCTTGCCCAACATGCAGAATGTCTCTCAACATTGCTGACAATAATCGTGCCAGGGAAGACCATCAAGGAGAGAACTTGGATGAGAATTTGGTTCCTGTAGCAGCAGCTGAAGGCAGACCACGCTTAAACCAACACAATCACTTCTTCCACTTCGATGGTTAGTTGGTTTCAACCTTTAAAACCATACCCAGGGGGTTTTCTTCCTTAATGGGATGCTGTTTTGATTGTAAGCTGCCCTGTACAGGCCAGTTTAATGTTAACTTCTGATTAATTCAAAGTGTTCAGTATCGTTATCACTGAGGAGTTATTCTGTGCCAGGCATTTTGCTAGATTCTGTCACTATGTGGGTGAGAATGGGGGAGTGGAGTAAAATGGAATCAACCACGCCTTCCAGGAACCTACTTCATCAGCTTAGTTGTTAGCCGTTGCGTTCATTGCATTGTGTGGTGCTCATGCTCAGTGAAGGGTCACCCATCCGCCTTTCCAGTGAGTACCCAAAGCAGACCCAGAACTGGAACCTGTTTCCTGGCCCATTAAGTGTGAACATTCTGCCTTCGACTGTGTTGAAAGGAGTTGTGATAAAAACCACACTTAAAATTCTATCAGGCATTGGCTGACGATCCTTCCTAAATTCATATTACGTGGAGCTGTTGTTGATTTTCATCAGTTCCAAAACCACTAAATTCTGTGACTTCATATTTCTTGTTATGAAAAGTAGGTATTCCTGGACTTATGTTAGGAGGAGCACATTCAGAGCTCTGGTTTGAGCTTCCAGGCAGGGATGGTGCAGAGTCCCTGATAGTGGCAGGTGGGTAGAGCCAAGTGTGGAGAAGAAGGGTGAGGGCTCTCCACTGGCTGGGCTGGGGATGCTAGAGGGCCTGGGAGGGGCTGCTTTGGTAGCTGTTAAAATTAAGACCTCTACCAGTTAATCTTGGACTTGGGTCCTGGCTAAGTACTCTATTATTTTATGAATTATTACTGATGACTTAGTCAAAACAGATAAAGTTAGCTTTATATCTCCCTAATATTTTTTTTTTTATCAGCACATTTTGTTGGGTAAGATCTTTGAGATGGTCATTGAATTTATTTTTATATTTCATGCCTTGTCGCTTTTTTTGTGAAGGAAAGAAAACTTCCCCTTAAACACGTGGCTTGATAGTGACTTGCTTTACAACCCATACCTGGTGGCACTATCTCGTAGGATCAGGGACCCTTTTCTTAGGGAAGTAACCAAAGAAGCAGGCTTCTTGGTGCCATTAGTCTCCAAGGGCCTGTGTTGTAGAGCTGTCTGAAAAGAATTTTGAATTGGAAAACCCAAGTCTTTAAACCAGATTATTAACTAGAAAATACAGGTCATGAAAATGATTGTCAAAATAATGTCTCTAAATGAATACTGTTTGTTTACAACATCCTAGAGGAGAGCAAAACTCATCTGTTGTAGCAATTTAAAAACCTGCCTTATATTCGAGACTGCCAGAGTGGATTGAGATTGTGTGCTCCAGGGTTAATAGAAAGCAGGAGGGCCTAGTGGTGAAATGTTCTGGAAGCTGGCTGGTTGCCTTCATAATCCTGGCCACCATAAATCAATTGTATGATCTTGGGCAAGTTACCTGACTTCTGAGTGCCTCAGGGACCAACATGGGATCTATAGTCAAATCTCTGAGAAGAGTAAAATGGAAATAACAATCGACATTACCATTTGGGGTTTTAGTGAAGATTAAATGAGTGAATCCATATGAAGCCTGGCACAAAGGGCCTGGCACAAGGAAGCCCTCAGTGAACACCAGGGGGATCATACAGTGGCTGTCTCTCTAGTAGAGGACACGGGAAGAGTCAGGCCTGTAAAACCTGTGCTGGCTTCTTGTTTACTTTAGGGTCCCGGATTGCGAGTTGGCTGCCAAGTTTTTCAGTGGAAGTGATGCACACCACCAACATTCTTGGCATCACGCAGGCCAGCAATTCCCAACTAAACGCAATGGTAAGGACTGCTGACCACATACAGGGCATGACTGACCGGCAGGAATGGAAGAAACCCTGGCCAGTGCATGGAAGGAAGAAACCCTGGTTGGTCTTTCTCTGCTCTGGCATAATGGCTGCATTTTCAGGGGGGGTTTTATTCATTCACTGGGAACACTTAAATTCCTGTGTTTTAAAATTTGAAACTGGTTTGGAAACAAACTTTTATTCTGTTTGGTGGCAGATGACCTAACATTGCCCGGGCATTCCTACTCTGTTTAGATCGAGGCCAGTTTTGGGACTCTCCTTGATTTAAGACAAAACTATTTGGGAAATTATTGACTGGAGTGAATGATGTGCCTTTTATTAAAAATTCTATTAGACCTGCTGAATGGTTTTTTTTTTTTTTTTTTTTTTTGACCCTTACCTCCTTCCTTCCCCAAATAAATGGGTAAGTATACATGCATGCATCTGTGGGTATACATATGTATACCTTGAGATACTGAGGTGTGCTGTTGACTCAGGAGTATTCAAATTCTTTAATATTACTGTTGTTTTTTAGAGCTTTGTGTTATGATATTTTGTTTTATAGCATTGAAAAATGTGTTTCACCATTGTTGAAATAGTAGTATTCTTTGTAGTAACAAATACGGGAGTCTTAAAGTACAACTGTGGTCAGATGGACAGGGCCTCTGGCTAACTGGGGTAAGCCTGGCCAGTGCTTTGGAGAGTCATTAGTTCGTTTGTTTGTGTTAATGTAGTTATTCAGCAAATTTGTACTGACAGGCTATTCCTGCAGGTTGATCTTATAGAACATAAACTGTGCCTTGCCTTGTACAAGGTAGGCGTGAGCCCTTCTCTTAAGAAGAGTAAGTTCTTGGCCTCCCGGGTGGCGCAAGGGGTTAAGATGCAATCTATGAAGCTATCCGCAGCCACTGCAGCACAAGTTTGATCCCTGGCCAGGGAGCTGCCCACAGGGTGCAACAGACCTCTACTGACTCGCCCACTGCTCCTCTTAGCAGTGTATTTCAGTCAGTTTGCCTGTTCTGTTCCCCACTCTGTCTCTGGTAAATTCTCTCACCTTCCCACACCTCCGGCCTGTACCCCAGTTCTTGTATGCCTAAATAAATAAATCTTTTAAAAAAAATAAGTTCTAGGGGCCTCCCCTGGTGGCCCAGGCAGTTGAACGCCGCGCTGTGAAGCTGTCCACAGTCTTTGCAGCGCCGATTCAATCCTGGCCAGCCTGTGAGGGTCCCACATGGCATGGCAGACCTCTCCTGTCTCGCCCGCTGCTCCCCTCAGCAGTGTATTTCGTCAGTCTGTCTATCTCTGGTGAATCCTCTCACCCTCCCATGCATCTGGCCTGTACCCCGGTTCTTATATAAAAATAAATAAATCTTTAAAAAAAAAAATAAGTTCTACTTAGACACAGATATGATCCCTGCTGGAGGTGACGAGTGCTGGGAGGGCAGCAAGGCAGGGGAGTCCTTACAGGAGGCATTCTGAGGAGGTGATATTTAAACTGAGACATAAAGGACAAGAAGACATAAAGGACATAAAGGGGAAAGAGGCAATGGAAATAGTAGGTGCAAAAACCATGAGGGGTGAGAAAACACTAGAAACTGAGAGAACTCATTGAGGTTGGAGCCTCACAAGTCAGGGACCAGTGTTGTGGCATAAATCAAGATTGCAGAGCCAGGTCATGCAGGGGCTTGGGGGCCACCATCCAGTGTAGCTTTTATAATGAAAGTGATAGGAGACCAGTCAACAGTCCTGGATATCTCCCTGGAGACTGACAGGACACTGAGAGGAGAATGGTACACTTTGGAGGGGCAAAAATGGAAGCACTGGGACTCGTTAGGAGGCTGTTGCAATAATTTGGGCAAAAGAAGATGGCAGATTTTAGGTACTTGGAAGATGAACTGGCAGGGCTTGATGCTTTCGTTCGGATGTGGCATGAGGGAAGTGAAGTGAGGGAAGTAAAGGAATGAAAACGGACATGTTAGTTAAGCAGCTGAGCAGATAATGGTACCATGTATTGAGATGGGCAAGAGTCAAGGAGAAACAGGGTTGAGGAAGGGACTCCGCTTTCCCTTGGCTGGGGCGCTGGTCGGTCTGTGAGGCATCTACGTAGAGATAACGTATGGGCAGTTCTGGACCTTGGTAAAGAGGGCAGGTGGAGAAGCTCATTTGGGAGCTTGAAATCTCTAGGTGATATTCAAAGTGGGGATTGGATCTCCTTATGGAGACAATACAGCTTGAAAAGCGAACTCGGGGCTGAGTTCTAACAGTGAGGAGCCATGGCCGTGACTGAGAAGGAGGGGGGCCAGGAAAGGTGGCAAGTCAAGGTGGCAGGAATTCTTAGAAGATGAGGACAGAGAGACTACAGATTGCATTTGACAGAGGGGAGGAGCTTGATCAGCTGGAGAAGAATAGGCAGCTTCAGGGCCTAGAGGTGAATTGAAAGTGAGTGGGAATTAAAGAAACAGAGTGTCTGGCAGAGATGTCAAGGTGGCTTCTTGATGTGTATGTGGTATTAGGATTTTTTTTTCTTTTTTAAAGGTTTTTGTTTTCTTGTTTAAACATATTTGAACTGATCATTTATCCACAAATTTCCAAACTGATAGAGGAGTATCGTCATGTTCCTATCTTTCCTATCTTTCCTCCCAGACACACCTCCCTTTCCGTTACAACCTTGACTTGTCTCTTCTGTTTTCTGTTCTTCTAGAATGTTTGCCATGCGCTGTAAGCAAAGGCTAGTGTGTATCCCTATTCTTTACTCCCTTGGGTCTTCTTTTTTTCCAGGTTTTAAGTTATGGTAAAATATACTTAGTGTAAAATTTACCTTCTTAGCCAATTGTAAGTTTACAGCTCAGTGTTACCACGTACATCCATGTTGGCATGCGTTGGCATGCGACTCACCACCACCCACCTTCAGAACTCTTCCCCTTGGAAAACCAGTGCTCTCCCCATTAAACAGTGACTCCCTTTTCCTCCACTCTCCAACACTGTTGGGTACCATTCTTCTTTCTTTCTCTATGATTTTGACTATTCTAACTACCTCATTTAAGCAGAATCATGTAGTGTTTATCACTTGGTCACTGGCTTATTTCATTAAGCATAATGTCTTTAAAGTTCAGCCATGTAGCTTATGTCAGCATTTCAAGGCTGAATAACATTCCATTGTCTGGATATAGCATATTTTGTCTGTTTACATCCATGTTTTAGCTATTATAAATAATGCTGCTTTGAATGTGGGTATACACATGTCTCTGAGGCTCTGCTTTCAACTTTTGAGTATCCAAGGGTCTTCTTTAAAAAAGATGCTTAAGTGTGCTTGATATGTGGATGGGCATGATCAGCAGAGGGGAGAGATCATTGGTACAGAAAAGTTACCTGAGAGAGCAGAAACCTTGAGATGGTGGGCAGGCTTGGGGACTGAAGGTTGGGGGAGAGGTATGCCTTTGTTAGGAGGAGGGATGGATGTGGCTGTCCAGATACGTCATTCTGAGGTATGGTTGGGAAAGGAGGTTTGGCCACAGTAACCCCAGGGTGAAGCAGCCTCAGTGTCCCTCGAGGAGAATGGATTGTCTTGTCCTGTTCCGCAGCATGGATGAACCTGGAGAACTTGATGCTAAAAAGAATAAGCCAGCCACAAAAAGACAAGTATTACAGGATCTCTTTACAGGAGGAAGCTAAATCAGTCAAACTCTTAGAGTGGGAAGTAGAAAGGTGGTTGCCAGGGGCTGGGGCAGGGTAATAGGGAATTGCTGTCTATTGGGTTTTGTTTCAGTTTTGCAAAATGAAAAACTTCTAGAGCCCTACTAGTGTGTATATAGTTACCACTGCTGTACACTTCAGGACGGTTAAGACGGTAAATTTCATGTTACATGTTTTGACCATAATACTAAAAGGTATCGCTTCCTGCCGGCTCCTGCTTTCTCAGGGAGGCTCCAGGTGAGCCGCAGCATGGGTGACGTCATGGAGGTCTAGTAAAGTGAATCTTGGTCATTTTATTTGGAAAATGAAGGGAAGCTGCTTGAGATTAGAGGAGAATATTGTCTGATTATCGGGTTTTTATGGACTCTTGCTAGTTTCCTTTGATTTGACCTGGGGAAAAAACTGATCCACTTACATTCACATCCACAGTAAGGGGATCTCAGGCACTTGGAGGTGAGAGTCCTCTGCTGTGTACTGCGTTGCCTGCCCTCTGCCAGCTGGAAGCAAAGCTCTGTGCGGGCATCACCCTGATATTTTCTCTCAAGGCCCCAACATTGATCCACACACTGTCGTGCTCTGCTGGAGTCACTATCCTAGTAGTAGACTTTATTGTGCCCCCAAAATGGTTATATTTTTTTCTCCTCTTTCCTTTTGATCACTCGCACTTTCCATAAATAAAACCTTGAACATAAACATTGGTAAAATAAATACAAAAATACACACACACGTATAAATCTGGAGATGCCTGCATGAGAGTCTGGTGGGGGTGTGCTCTCTCCATCGCCCTACTGTAGGTCCCTGTAGACTTGAGACATTTCCAAAATATACTTTGAAAACTACAGCTCCAGGGTGATAGTAGGAATTCACCTTCTTTATAATCTTTTTGTTTTCAATTTGATATAATTTACATATAGTAAATTCACCTTTTTTAGTATCTACTTTGAGTTTTGCCACACTGAGACAGTTGTGTGATCACCACCACCACCACCGAGATAGAGAACAGTTCTGTCCCCTACCCCCAAATTTCACTGTGCCCCTCTGTAATCACTTCCTCACCTCCAGCTCCTGCCACCACTTAGCAGTTTTCTCTCTCTGTAGTTTTCCTTGTCCAGAAGGTCATATAATTGGAATCATACTGAACAGCTTTTTGAGTCAGGTTTCTTTCATTCACTGCATTTGTATTTCGTCCATGTGGCATGTAGTGTGTATCAGAAGTTTGTCCCTGTTAGGAATTACATCTTTAGGGAGAACACACTTTTTACATGAGTTATACTGAGCTTTAAAGTGTTTTTGAAAACTAGAATGTTCTAGTTCAATCTGCCTTGGGATCCAACTGGAATTCTGTGCTTTTTTTTTGTTTTGAAATTGGTGCTATCCCCAGGTTATCTACCTGGCATCCTGGAAAAATTGGAAAATTTCTGCAATTTGATGATGATCTATAAAATAGAGGGGGCCCCTTACTTGTGTTTTTAAGGCAGATCACCAGGTTCAGTGAATAACTGTTGCCAGTGAAGGTTTCTCTGGTTCTGTATTCCTACAGGCACATCAGATTCAAGAGATGTTTCCCCAGGTTCCGTACCACCTGGTGCTGCAGGATCTCCAGCTGACACGCTCGGTTGAAATAACCACAGACAACATTTTAGAAGGACGGATTCAAGTGCCTTTTCCCACACAGGTAAACTGGGGTTTTCAGAAGGACAAATGGATTCTGTCTACACACAGATTTACTGCTCTAGATTACCTTTTTTATTTACAACTCAGTGTTTATACTTTGGTGGAAGTTTTCTGTAAATTCCCTATCTGTCCAAATTATGACTGAGAACAGACCCACCAAAGAGACTCAGATTATACAGGGACACATGTACTTGGGTAATTTTTTCTGTAGATACACACCAGCTTGCACCTTGCCAGTCTAAGGGGTTAGAGCATTGAAGGATAGTCAGCCTTCTTCCACAGAGGACAGATAGAAATATTTTAGACTTTGTGAGCTATACATTCTCTGTTGTAACTTCTCAGCTCTGCTGAGAAGCACCAAGGCGGCTGTGGGCAATGTGGAAATGAATCATAGCCTCTGATGGGTGCAAGGACTATTCACATTTTAGAGGCAAGCTTTCTGGCAGGACCAAGGGATTTGTAGATATGTACATGACCAGGGATTCATCTACCAAGAAATTATATTTGCTGGATTATGCAAAAACATATGAAAATATATTAATAAAATTTTAAAACTTGAGAATCTTTGAGGAAGAATGAGTATGGATTTTGGAGTCAAAGGGACTGAGATAATGGATGTGACTCCCCAGTCCTTATCTAGCTGACCTGGCTGTTGGCTTTGGATTCACCAGCACCAGAGCTGAGACTAGGATTCGAATGCAAGTAGTTAATTTGGGAAATGATCCAGGAAACACAGGGGCAGATGGGGCTGTGAGAGAGAGAAGCGGAGGTGACCAGTCAGGGGCTTGTTACCCAGCAAGGTAGCACTGTGGGTGGCGGGCGCCCGAGCCCGCTGGGACCTCTGGGCTTCAGCACAGAACATATTACCTCCTCTGAGAGGTCAGGCGTGGGGTGCTTACACCCCACTTCCCATCAGTTCTTGGGTGAAGGCTGCTTCTGTGTGCGGGGGAGGGGAGCAAAGTGCAGCCAGAGGGAGTCCTCAGGCTGTAAAGTGCAGGCGGCACCTCTGTGGTGGATCTTTTTTTTTTTTTTTTAAGATTTATTTATTTATTTATACAAGCACTGGGTACAGTCAGAAGCGCGGGAGGGTGAGAGAATTCACCAGAGTCAGAGCGGAGAGCAGTGCAGGCAGACTGATGAAGCACACTGCTGAGGGGAACAGCGGGCGGCAGGGGAGGTCTGCGTGCCATGTGGGACCCTCCTCCGGTGGCCGGGGATCGAACCCTGCGCTGCAGAGGCTGCGGGCAGCATCGCAACCCAGCGCTCAACTGCTGCGCCACCGGGGAGGCCCTGTGGTGGATCTTGAGGAGATAAACGAGGCCCTCACGAGGAGCCGTCAGTCCATGCTGTCTGTGCTCATCGGCTGTTGTTGGGCCATTACTGTCAGTGAAAGGGACTGACGTGGAACCAGTTGACGACTCACACGCTAAGGCCTCAAACTCCTCTGTCTTGCCTTTGCTCTCGGTAGCATTTTTATTTCTTTGAGCCCATCGCCTGTGACAGGGTCATCGCTCCCTCTGGCCACAGGTCGCTGTGGTCTGTAGGTTGGGAACAGCTCTGTGCCCTCAGTGGTGCTGTTTCTCTTTCAGCGGTCAGATGGCATTAGACCTGCGCTGAACAGTCCTGTGGAAAGGCCAAGTGGTGATCAGGAGGACGAGGAGGCCTCTGCCCAGGTAAAGTCTGCACACTAGAGAGCCAGAGTGTGTGGACTGAGGAGGAACGGGCCAGTACGGAGCTGTGGTCTCTAGCCCTGCCTCTGGTGAGGCTGAGGGCAAAAGCATGGAGGCTTACACCGAGCCGGCCTCAGCATTCAAGGTTAATTAACAAAGTAGGCTGTGCCCTGCAGCCCACTCGCCAGGGACTGTGCTCAGGCCCTGGAGGAGAAAGGAGCCACGCTGAACCCACCACTCCTGTGAGCCTGAGCAGCAGCACCAGGACGGTGCCAAGTAGACCTGGTCAGGGCTCAGGGTGGCTGGACTCATTCATTCACAGCGGGGAATGGTGTTCAGCTCTCCAGAGATGAAACCACTGACTTATTCTTCCCCATCTCACTTGCCCAACTTAGCATTTCCAGGCACTTCCATGCATTTTACAAAAATGAGTAGAATGGGGTGAGGGAAGGCGGTTCTCTTCAGAACCAGGTCTACTTAGACACCTCAGATACCTCTTGGGTGACTGCCCTCCACCACAAGCAGCTCATCTGTCTGGTTTCCAGGGCCAAGCTCTCCCTGTGCTCTTAGCCCTATGCCTAGGGGTTCCAGTTTGCTTTCCTTCTCTGTAATTTCTGTTTACTTAATCAGTTACCACACTTGCCAAAATCTTTCTTAAGAGATTGGAAAAAAGGAAAAACCCAAACATCCCATGTTTGTGACGTGGGCCTTTGACATGCAGGTAGGACTCGGGGCTGAGGTGGTGCCTCTTTTCCAGCACTGTCAGTCAGGGCTCTTTTGGAAGCGGCTCCTTGAAGCTTTTGCCTCATGTGTTTTTCTCTGCAAATAGGACATAAAAACACCTAAGACTTTTCCAGTTCTGCTGCTAAGAGCTAGGCTTTTCACATCCAGATCCATAATTGGCTTGTGCGGCCTTTGTGGAATGCGCCTGGCTTCTCAGGAGGGAGGGGATCATTTTTGCATTTCCCACTTTTTGGTAGCTGACTTAGTTTAGTTTGTACACTAGATTGGTTTGGGGGCATTTGTGGGTACAGGGTGTCCCTGTTTATCTGATTCCCCAACTCTCCTTTTAGAGGTAGTGTAAAGATTTCTGAATTTTCTCTTATATAGTGGAGGTAAAGTATTTCACAAGGAAGCTTAACATATAACATTTTGATTTTCAGGAAATAAAAAACCCTTGGATAACAATTAAGTTAACAAAAAACCTCAGTTTAGCCCAATTATCCCATCAGCTGGACTGGCCACTTACTTAGCTGCTCCCTTGACCCAGTCAGGCTGTATTAGTTAGGCTTGGAGGCCTGAGAGGAAACCTCTAATTTCTTTCTTCCTTTTCCTCTTCTACTCACCTGCTCTAGAGTCATGCTGAGGAGGAGGGGCTTAGATGGGCCACATGACCAGCATGCCTGTGTGTCACTGACGTTCTTGGTGCTGAGCCCCCTGCCCCATCTCAGACCAAAAACCTTAGTCTACTTCCTTTGAACTGGGCTGGCTGTGTGTGACCACCCCTCCACATTTTCCTCTTGGACAAATGTCCATTTCAACCACCTTAGACTGCCTCCCTGCTGAGGGACCCTTGTCTGTCCCAAGGACACATAGCCATCCCCACCCCTTTTTCTTGGTCAGTTTATTTCTCCTAGATGTCTTGAGTGCCAGTCCTTGTGTCTACCAGACTCTAGGGAATACCATTCAGGCTGGTCACTTGGTTCTCTCAGAGTCCCCCCACTCATTTGGCTGAGGCCAGGAAGAGGGGGTGAGTAGGTGGCAGAGAAGCACTGTACACTGGCCACTCCTGATGTAGGCCTGCCCCTCAGCCTCCTCCAGCTCTTGGGGCCTGGTAGAGGTGTTGGCCCAACTGCAGCTGGGGTCTGTATCTGCAGCATGAGCAGCAGCCTGAGGTGGGGGTTGGGGGGATTGTTTGAGAGCATGGGTCCCCTGGGCCTTGTCTTGGCCTCTGGAGTTTCAGCCAAAATGGAGGCTCCTGTTTGAAATATTCTGTCACACAAGGAACTGGGTGATATTATGTCTGTTTTTAGACCACCCTTTTTATCTGCTTCTCTCTGTTATCAGAGTCAAATGAGGGTATAAAACTTGTGCATATGTAAATTGCACAAATAAATGTGTAATTTAAGTAAATGTGAGAAGACTTGTTTCAATTTTAAAGCAATTAGTAGACTTGAACAGGAAATTCCCAGAATACAAACCAGCAGTTAACTTTGTTACTATTTTCCAAGAGTACAGTTTCAAGGTGCTTATGTTTTCATGTTAGTCATTACTTTGCTAACAGGCAGCTGCTAGTGTGGTCAGGGTCTGTTCTTGGTGGGCCACTGGCCAGATACACCAGCCTGGGCTCCAGGAGCCCACTTCTGCCATAACACCTGTGCTTGGGGCTCCCTGCTCAGCTGCCTCCCTTTGGGCTGGAAGAATGTTGGGCTGCTCTGGCTGGGTTGGGAAGCTGCTTTGGAGCGTGGCCTGTGCTCATGGTGACCCCTCGCTTCCTCCGTGTCAGACCGAGCGCGTGCCGCTGGATCTCAGTCCTCGTCTGGAGGAGGTGCTGGACTTCAGCGAGGTGGAAGTGGAGCCCAATGAGGGGGAGGACTTTGAGGCTCGTGGGAGCCGCTTCTCCAAGTCTGCTGACGAGAGACAGCGCATGTTGGTCCAGCGTAAGGACGACCTCCTGCAGCAGGCACGGAAGTAAGTCGATTCTCCAGCCCTAGCTGGTGTAAGTCTCAGATCAAAACCTGCTACCCTGAAGGCCATTGTCGTGTCTACGTTGTAGCTTTTTAAATGTCAGCACTGAAAAACCATTGCGTGTCACCTGAACATTCAGATGTCAAATCTCTTTTGAAAATTCAGAGCATCTGGTAATAGTGGACCCAGCTAGAGACTCTGGTGCAGCTGGTGCCGTGGGTTGTCTCTTGCAGACATTTTCAGTCACCCTGAGAGGGAGAGCATTTACGTGCCATGTGTTCTAAGTCCATTTTACTCATTCTGGTTATCTTAGTACTGTACGTATACCCACTTGACAGATGTAAAACTGAAGAACCTGAGACCTAGAGAGGTTCCCATCAGCCTGTGTCCAGCTCCCACAGCCTTTTCTTGGCTGCTGTCCCCCAGCTGCAGCTGGAGTGTGGCGTGTCCCTGTGTATGTAGAGTTCCTCAGGGCAGGGCCAGGGCCGTGTTCACATGAGGGGTTGGTGTCCCAGCAAGGCTTGAGGGATGTGTATATGGGGGTGTGTGTGTGTGTGTGTGAGCGATGTGGGAGTGTATGTGGGTGTTGTGTAAGGGGTGTGTGTGTATACATAGCCCAGCAGCGGAGGGAAGTCAGCTGAACAGCCGCTTGATGGGCCTTCACCTGCTGCAGGGAACTTTTACTCCTGTTCGGGGTTGAGCATCTTTTGTGGATGCTGCTGAAGAATAGCTTCCTGGAGATGCCTGGAAAATGGGGTAATTAAAAATAAACAGACTATGTGTTCCAGCACCTCCCTCATCTTTCATGCAAATCCTTTGTTTTTTGTAGGCGTTTCTTGAACAAAAGTTCTGAGGATGACTCAGCCTCAGAGAGCTGCCTCCCCTCGGAAGGCGCCCCCTCTGACCCTGTGACCCTGCGTCGAAGGATGCTGGCAGCTGCTGCCGAGAGGAGACTTCAGAAGCAGCAGACCTCCTAGCGCCTCCTCGCCTTTCTCAGCTGCCTCCGGAGCAGCGCGCCCACCGAAGAGGCCTGTCCAGTTCTGCCTGCTGTTTGAGGAAGTGGGCTCGACTGCATTGCCGCTGTATAAAGCATGTGGTCTTACTAGTGTTTGGACAGCTGACGAATTTAATCCTTTTTTGTAATACTTTCTATGTGACATTTCTCTTCCCTTTAGAAACACTGCACATTTGAACTCTAGGCATGATCTCTTCTGGCGTTGACTGGACTTCTTGGGGGTGGGGGACGATGAAGAGGAAGTGGGCAGCCAGAGACGCTGCAGCGGACGACTTTGTGGATGACTGCTTTCTGCAGAAGGCACAACAAATCCTGTGTTCTTAGCTCCAAGTCTAGCAGGAGGGTGTGTGGGGCGGGATTCACAGGAAGCGGGGCAGTGGGAGCCTGGCGCCAGGCCGGCGGGTACTCTGTTGGCAACCTGGAGCTCTGGCAAGAAAACATGCAGACTCCTGACCCCTGAGCCCACAGCAGCTTGGAAAAAGAGCGCCTGTTTGACACCTGGAGCAGGGGAGGGGAAAGCCCAGGGCTGCAGAGTGTGAGGAGGTGACCAGTTGTGTCCTGATATATCTGGGACTTTCTGAACCCCAACTTTAAGGCTGGCTTTATTTCCGTTAATGCTGGTGCTCCCGCATCTCCCGGGTATGCCGCTTGTGTCTGTCCTCTCCTCTGCATTTCGTTCCCCGCCTCCCTTCCCCACCCGAGCCCTCTCCCCTGCCCCCAGCCCTCCAGACATGAGGAAGGTCAGCCCTGAGAGGGTTAAGGAGCGTGCCTCAGTTTGTGGTTTTTAGCCCTTGGTCAGGCAAATCAGGCGATGCCGGTGCCTTTGGGCTTGGGCCTCGGAGACGGAGATGATGCGGCCATACAGGATGGGAGAGTAAATTCTGGAGGGCTTCACTGAAGAAATAAAAGTCATCTTTCTTATCTTTCTTTCCGGGAACCCTTCATTTTCCTAACTTCGTTCCTACTGGTTTTGTCAAACATACAAAGGTGAGCGGCTGAATCGACCTGCCTTGGAGCAGACCCAGGTCCTGAAGCTTTCAAATTCCTCACACATGTAGCTTAAGGATTTGAGACACACAATCATAGGTTTCATAGTTCCGTTTTATGTCCTATTGGATACATTTTTTTTTTTTAATGTTTGAAAGCATAGTTTTATGGTAGTCCTTTTGGGAAGAATCCAGTATTATGTAAAATTATTGGCAAAGTTAAATGTATTTTACATAACTGAAAGTTTTTAGACTGTTGTAATTGAACAAAGAGTGATGAGTAAATGTTTAGGCTGAGATAATTTATTTCAATAAATCTTTCAAAAGCCTTATCTTGAAATGCTGTTAGTAAATTTCTGTGAATTTTTTTGGTTTTGTTTTGTTGAGAGCATAGCTACTTGTTTTTATTGTAATATAAAAATAATAATAAAAAGCAAACTCTTCTAGCGTGTTGTGTGTGTGGCTGAAAGTTGAGGCTGTTTCTTGGAGGCACCCCGTCAGACCCCACTTTGGTTCTGTGGGTAAATTCTGGCCGGGAAGCTTTCTCTACCCTTAACATTGTCCTTGTTGCACACATGAAAGGTGAAGTAATTCCATGTGTATTTTATGTTTCAGATGTGTGAGAACACGAGTTTTTGAGACACTGGAATATAGCAAAACGGCAGTGTCAAAGCGGACACGCTTTCCAGGGCTTCAGGTGAACCCCGCAGGGGTTCCTGAACTCCCCCTGAGCTTTTGCACCTGCATAGTTAAGGACCTGGGCACTGCTGTCTCCTGTTGTATGTCACTTCTTGGGGCATCTGGGCTGAGAACAGTGGCAGGAGGTGAGACCTGTGTCCTATTACATTGGGTGGGGTCCCCTTGCACAGCCTTTTCTGCTGTCCTGGCTGGCCCCAGTCTTGGGGAGCTTGTGCTCATGCCCTGTCCCCAGGGCTCAGAGCTGCTGGCTCAGGTGTTAAGTGGAGTGCGAGGAGGGGCCGGCATGCAGACTCGCAATGCAGGGGCACAATGCAGGGGCACACGTTCCTTCTCTGGGCTCTTTTGGCCGGAGCCCAATTTGTCTTTGTTCTCCATTTTCTTAGCTCAGCTTTCTGCACCTCTTGGTTTCTTCCCAGGTTTTATCCCCCCACCTCCCCGCCCGCCAACTTCTAGGCTTTTCTGAGCACAACAGTCCATGTGGATGTTTTACTTAGCTTGCTATAACCAAGATGCCGCTTCCCACTCTGCTGTGTAGACGGTGTCTTTCATCTTTAACCAACAGACGTCATCCTGTCTTGGGGTGTGACTTTACCCACTATGGGGAAGGAAGTTGAGGGTACTGCCGAAGCAGGCAGTGTGCAAAAAGGAGCCTGTCCGGAAGCCCCGCCTGGACCTGGAAGCCTGTCTCAAACGTGACTGCACGTTAGTGTTTAGAAGCTGCCGGGTAGGCCCTGCTCCTGTGCTGCTTGTTCTGATTGGCCTTTCTCAACATTTTCCTCCCAACTGCTGCCTGCCTTCCATTTTAAGAAAGATAAGACAAACTATTGTTGGCTTTATCTACCAAGTTCATTAGAAAGTTGAGGAAAAAGCCTGTTAGAAAATGGCTTATATTTCCAGAAATTCAGGGATGCCATGTGTAGACGGTCATGGTGCCCTTCAACATCCTGGTTTGCCCCAGGTCTAGGCCATGGAGCTAAGTTGTAGCCAGGGGTATACAGCCTTCCCATCCACAGCAATGGTTGTGGGTCTCTTTCTGCAGATAACAAGTTGGGGTGAGGGGAGCTGGTGGGAAAGCGCTGGAAGAGGCATGGCCTTGCCGGCCAGCAGGCTTCTAGCTGCTGAGGAGGTTCAAGCAGCCTTTATTCCTTGGTCTCTCCAACAGTGTCAACTCCAACCCCCACCCCACTGGAGACAAGTCTGCCGGGATGGCTAAGAGAAGGCCTTCCCGGGCTGCTGATGCCATTGTCGGTATAATGGAGAGGACTCCAGCGAACTGACCTTTTGGGGCCCTCCCCTCTCACTAGATGGCATCATGCCACACTTGACTGATTGGCTAATAAGCATTATGTGGGCTCAATGCAAGACTTTTTTTTTTTTTTTTTTTTTAATTTTTTTTTTTTAAAGAGGCACGTATTTTATTTATTTGTTTGTTTATACATGCACTGGGTACAGTGAGAAGCACGGGAGGGTGAGAGAATTCACCAGAGCCAGAGCGGGGAGCAGAGCAGGCAGAAGGACCGAAGTACACTGCTGAGGGGAGCAGCGGGTGGCAGGAGAGGTCTGCACGCCATGCGGGACCCTCCTCCGGTGTCCGGGGAGCAGCCGGGGATTGAACCGGCGCCGCAGAGGCCGCGGGGAGCTTCGCAACCCAGCGCTCAACCGCTGCGCCACCGGGGAGGCCCTCAATGCAAGACTTTTGGTGGGTTCTGTTTCCTCCAGTGTCCTGTCTCAACTGAGATGTAGTTGTTGCAGCAAAATTTGGCGACTTAAGGGAGAGGGAGGGAGATTTCCAGCCCGGAGGTGACAGGGTTAGCTCAGCGGCCCCTGTGTCCTGCCTGGAGGCCACGCCCTGGTTCCCAGGTGCAGTAGGGGAGGCTTTTAAAGATGTCCAAGTGAATGGATGTGACTCGTTGGGTGCAGAGCACCCTGACAGTGTGGCCTCTTTCTTGGGACCACCCATTTTCCCTCTGGTGGAACCACTTGAGTGCAGAAGAAACAGGGTTCTATGTCAGCAGCAGATTTGTGAGGACCTCCCGTCTCCCCACCCGCCCCTTTCCAATCCTCAATTCCACCTGCTCACAGACAACCAGCTGAGAATGTGGAGGAGCTGGGAACCCAGGGAAGAGGGTACCAGGGGCAGAAAGGGCCTGTTCCTCAGCAGCTGTGCTCAGCTGGGTCCCCTTCACAGCCCTGGGAGAGAGGGGGTCAGGGGGATTCCATACTGGTACCCACATGTAGCCCAACCCACAGGCCTCCCTGTGCCGGTGGCCCACTCAGATCCCTCCTTCCTTTTCCTGTCAGAATGAAGCCCACCAAATCCCCATAAGCTGGAAGCCAGAGGGTGAGAGACTCAGGAGTACAGACAAACATTCTCTTTATTGAGCTACACATGAATTTCCATTAGTCAGAGAAGTAGACTGGCAGTGTGTAAGATATCACAGAAACCTCACCGATTGGGAATAGAAAGGCTTAGAAAGACCCGTGGGCTTTTTTTATGTTTTTTTTTTTTTCCTTTTTTTCAAGTTTTTTTTTTCTGTATTTTAAATTTTTTGTGTATTTTGTCTTTTTGCCTCCTCTTTATCTGAAATGGCTGTGACTGGTCTTCTTCAGCAAATATTAAGTCCTAAAAGTGAAACCGTGAAGAGGGTCGGGGTTTGGAGACGAGTCAAAGTAGAAAGGACACGGGACTGATTGTGAAATCTTGGCTTCCACGGCAACACTACATTCCCGCTTTCTTAACATTTTTTTTTTTGTTTTTTTCCATCTTGTGGTATTTAAAATTTTTTTTTTTGTTCTTTTTATCTGTAGCACAAACATCCCCACATGAGAAAGAGCGAACACAGGTCACGGAAACAAAGGAAAAGGTGGAGAAGCGCACACGGGGAGCGTCCACCCGTGACGAGAAGCCAGAATGTTGGAGAAGAAACCACAGCCCAGTGCCCAGAGACCGTGGAAGCGGAGCTGGTATGTGACGCGGAGTGCTCGTCAGGACAAAAGTAAAACGAACAAAAAATAAAATAAACCAAAAAAAAATCATTAAGGGACTCTGAGAGAGGGAGTCGGTGGGGAAATTCTTTTTCTTCTACAAGGCTCTATATCTATATGATGGGAATTTTTTTGGCAGCTACTGGCCAGTGAGAGCTGTGCTTTTTCTATACAAACCTGGAGTGAGCGTGTGGTTGAAGGGGCTCAGGCGGGGCGCAGGGTGGGAGAAGGGTCCAGACAGGCAGGGCCTTCTGGAAAGCCAAGCCTGAGGTCACTGCCAGGAACAGGACCTCCTGGTGGCCAGGCCGCCCCCTCTGCACTCGAGGTGGGATGGGGATGTGTGTGTTTCTTTATTTAAAAAAAAAGAAGAAGAAGAAGAAAAAAAATATGGATGAAATGGTGAGTTTTCCTTTTTCCTCTTTTTTTTTTTAAGCTACAAAGCACATGAGAAGTATTTTTTCCTTTCAAATTCTAAATGTAAAGACTCAACTAAAACCGGATTCTACAGCATTCTACAGAAATACACAGCCGTCAGTCACTCTGGGGTCGTAGGTTAGACAGGGGCTTGATACAGAAAGGCTGTGTGTCTTACAAAGGCCAAAAGGTCATGCTACCAGGAGATCAACATCAACAGCAAAGAGTCCATGAAGCAGTCTGTAGAGAGAGAGATAAGGGGTCTGGTCTGACCATTTTCTTTGATTTTCAAAACCAACAACCAACCAAAAACCCCTGGCACACTTCAGTGATGTGGGGGTAGGGCAGGAGGGGCCAGCATCTCAGGTGGGGTCAGAACCCACAGGACCCCATCCCAGGCCCCGGAAGGCCTCACCCCACGGGACCCTGGCCCAGTCAGGTCTATGGATGCGGCCTCCCTGTGCCGCTTCTGACCCCTCTCCCTCCACACCCTCCCGGAGGTGGGGCAGGTGCATCTGTTTGTCTGCACCCTCCCCTCAGCTGCTTTTGGAAAGCAGCCCAGTCTCCCTTTCCTCTGACTCTTGCCTCGTTTTACATGAACAAAGAAAACTCAGGAGACAATGGGTTGGTCGGAGCAATGATTCTTCTAAATTCTTTCCGTTAACAACCACCACCACCCAAAAGAGAAGCGAACTTAATCATTCTGTTGTTGGGGCTTTAGGGCAGGGAGATGTTGAGGGTGTTGGCTATTTTGTAAAGGGTTTTGGAATCCGCACAGAGCAGGACAGAACTGAGAGCACACGGCCTCAGTGGGTGGAAGCAGAGAAACGGGTGGACTAGGCCAGCCCGTCTTTGCCCTCCCTCTGCTCACAGAAATGGGTCTCGGGAGTGAAATCACGTGGCTGTTCGTAAAAGGATGGGTTCCCAAATCAGGACCGCCACCCCTGTGTGTGTGCACGCACGAGCATGCCGGGAACTGATGACTGTGGAGGGTGGTCAGTTCTGTCCAAAGCTCTTTCTAGTACAAACTAAAAAGAATTTTTTAATATATATCTGTATATATATATAAGGTTTTGTTATTTACCAACTTGCATTTGCTAGTGGCGTGTGTGTGTGTGTGTGTGTGTGTGTGTGTGTGTGCAAGCTTTTCTGAGTGCTGGAATCATTACCAAATAGGTTGCTATACAGGACAAGAGGTCAGTACAAGCCGCAGCCCCGGAGGTTGTTGGCAATGATGATGTCAGTGACAGCGTCGAATACCACCTGGATATTATTCGTGTCTGTGGCACAAGTCATGTGACAATAAATTTCTTTGTTGGGTGAGCGGTTTTTGCTTTCAAATTGTGCTTGGATGTAGGCGGCTGCATCTTCGTAGGTATTGGGGCCTGTAGGAAGACAGAAGAACAGGGGAGAGGCCCCCGTGAGGGGGGGTGCAGCAGGTGGGGAGCAGTGGGTTGTGGCATTTCCCAGGGAGCAGATGAGAAAGGATGGGCACCGAGGACACCGCGGTCGGCAGCTTCCCCCCGGCCGCGTCGCTCTTCACATTCAGACCCACATCAGCCTGAGCCGTCGCCAGGCTGTTGGCTCGTCAAGGGCTCTTCTGTGTCCACACTGGAACTACCCAGAGCCCTGGGAGGCCGAGGCCACAGCCTTTCCCTTGTTTTCTAGATGAGCACATGGGGGCCGGCTGGGGCTGCCCTCCTCGGCACTCGCCCGTGGTCTAGAGCATCCCTGGACTTGGGTGAGTTGCCAGGATGTAGGTGAGAAGTTTAAGTGCTAGCAGCACAGGGAAGACCAGGCGGGGCCCACTTCACCCCCCTAATCCACAGCTGTCGCCTTGGTCCTGGCTGGGGCTGGCGGGGTATCTGTGGCTGATGCTCCCACAGCGGCAGCCCGAGCAGCTTTCAATTAATACGTCAAATATGGGCCAGCACTGCGTCGCCTAAACTTCCACGGAAGGAAGAAGCCCCCTTTTCCTCAGCGCCACTAGTATCTGCCAGCCTGGAGACAATACAGTTGTCCTTTGAGGGGACAACGCCTGTCCACCCTGTGCCCTGCCCAGGCTCCGACCGCAGGGCGCGAGCACCTCCGGAGAGCGCCGACCGACACGCAAATGAGGGCGCAGGGCAGAGACCTCAGTCTCACCTCGGTGTGCCCACAGCTCCAGAGAGCAGCAGTCTGAAAAGACTCGAAGCAGCATTAGACCTGCTGGCCCCGTCAGGAAGCCGCCCGCGCAGGCACTGCCGGACAGGGCACTGATGGCGGAGACAAGTGCCCAGCTGATCCTGGGAGGGGGCCCACTGGGCCACCCCATCCGGGTGGATGTCTCAGCCCACACCCTGTGCTTCCCTAGAGCTCGCCCTGGACATCCCGCACCCCTGGCCCTACAGGCCACAGCATGGGTAACCACTGGTCATTGTCACAGTGCTGTTTGAGCTCAAAGATTTCCCAACTCCAGGCCGACTTTCCCTGGGTGCCCTAGCGCCTGTGCCACACAGACGACCACTCCACGGGCCATGTCCTGAATTGGGCTCCAGTGGGGCCTCGTCTTTGGGGACAAGGAAGCCTGCTGGGGTTCATGACATCACAACCTGCACTGGTCCTGGAGGGCCTCTGTCCAGGCTGGGAGAGGTCAGCTGTGGCTGCCAATGGGGCTGCATCCCGGCTCTGCTGGCAGTCGGGCCCTCCTTGGCTCTGGGCAGCCTGGAGCCGGGCCTTCTGGGCCTGTCTGTGCCCTCCTGGACTTGCCCCACTCTGCAGAGGGCACTTAGCCATGGCCAGCTTGCCCTTCCTTGGTTTTCACCTTCTGATCCTACTACCGGTAGCCACAGCCAGTGAGTGCAGACCCGGGTCCCAACGCTATCCCCCTGCCCCCAGGGCCGCCTGTGCGGGAGGCACTACTGTGGGTTGCAGTGCCCAGCTGGAAACAAGGCACAGGTGTCGGCCTGCTTGCCTGCCAGAAGTCAGAGCCTGCCCACCTGCCTTTCCTTGCACCCTGGGGTGGACAAGGACCTTACAAGTAGGCAGAACATCAGTGAGGAGACAGAACAAGCTGATGGGCCCCTTGCACCTAAGGGGGAGGCTGACTCTCCCCAGTAATGGAGAGGGTGGCCACAGGTAGCCCTGGGAGCCGATGCCAGATGCCTGCCGCCCCCCAGCCCCCAATATCCACACTGTCCGTGATTTCTGGCTGAGCTGACCTGTGACCCACCCTCCTCCAATGCAGGGTCCTGAGCTCTGTCCTCAGCCTGCAGAGTGACCCCCAGGACCCTGAGGAACTGCAGGCTGGGCACGGAAGCCCATTAGCCCCACTTCAGCCAGGGGCAGCCAGAAGGCACACCGACAGCAGCACCTCCCTCAGTCCCAGGGACAGACCCATTTGGAGAGAGCATCGCTGTGGGGCTGTGTATTCCCCTGGAGGCCAGGCGGGAGAAAGAGTCCCAGAGGAGGAAGAGGCAGGGAAGAGGAAGAGGTGGGGATGGAGGAGGTTTGCAGAGAGCTGGAGCGGTTTGATCTGGGGGAAAAGACCAGAGGTGGAGGAAGAGGTGGAGCGAGTGGGCACATGGAGAGGTGGAGAGGGGAGACACCCTGGGGTGGGATGGGGGGCCTGGTAGAGCTGCCATGCACCGAAGCATGGCCTGTTCAGAGCAGAAGAGCGGAAGCTGCCAGCCAGCCCCTGCTCGTGTGTCTGCTTTTCTAATTTGGGCAAAGTTGCTGTGTGGCCAGAGGCACCCCCGGTCAGGTGTAAGGGGAGCCCCCTGGTGAGACTAGGGGAGGCCAGGAGGCGACCAAGATGCAAGGGGAAGTCTGTCCTGCCTTCATCCCTGCATGTCACTCATGAGTCACCAGGTCACTTCTGACACGGATCAGGAAGGCTCATTTCCCACCCCAGGCCCGTGTCACACCCTGGTGTGTCTGCATCTGCAGTGGCCCCTGCATACAGGGCAGGGCTGCCGGGTGCTGCTCCTGGAGCCCATGGGCCGGGTCTGGCTCAGGCCTGCAAGGGAGACACTGGCGGGGCTGGGGCTTCCTCCAGCACATCGTCGCTGCCATACTTACCGGTGTATTCAGGAAAGCAGATGGTCAAAGGTGACTTCTTGATCTTCTCACCAAAGAGATCTTTCTTGTTGAGGAAGAGAATGATGGAGGTATCGATGAAAAACTTGTTGTTACAGATGGAGTCGAAGAGCATGAGAGACTCGTGCATGCGGTTCTGCAGGCCCAGGCGGGAAGAAGAGAGAGCAGGACAGACATCGAGAGGGAGAGACAAGGAGACAGGGAAAGAGAGAAGAAAATTAAGTTGGAGGGGAAGAACTGGGCTGCTCAGCGCAGGAGGGGCTCCCGGGCCCCCACAGTCTCCTTCCAAAGGCCGACAGGAGGAAGGGCCACCTGTGACACAGCACTTTTCATTCCGCCTATTCAGAGCAGTCCACGCCCATCGTCCCGTCTCGGGGCAGGGACTGACCGCACGGGGTGACTCAGCTTCTTTGCGAGTCCAAGAGCTGGGCTCTGGCCCTTCCTGCCCGAACCTCTCCTCTTCGGCCCAGTCTGTGGGTGGGGTATACTCTGGGGGTGCTGAGGGAATCTTGACCCCTCTGGGGGCAAGAGTCTCCTCAGATGGGGGGGCGGGGTCACACGCCACCGTGTCTGACCCTGCAGGAGTTTTAAGCAATGCAGACGTGAAGTCCTGCCTCACACACAGAAACCAGCAGCGGATGACTTTGCGCCAAGTTAAGCAAAGTCCCGGTCGGAGGGGATAGCATCGGAGGGGACAGCTTTTACCTCTGGGGAAGGACTGACTTGTTCAGGACGCCAAGCACTGGAGTGTGTGGAGTATTTCTTGGCAGAGGAGGGGAAGGTGCCTGTCGGGGAAGGCGGTGTCTTGGTGACCTGTTCCTCCCTGGGGGAAGGGTCAACTGCTCCTTTCCCCCAAGACCCTGCCCTAGGCCTGGGGATGTGTCCAGCACAGGCCAGCAGCGTGGTCCGTGGCCGAAGCCCTGACTAACTCTAGGCTCAATCTCAGAAGCGGAAAGGTTGAAACAAATCAGAGGAAAGAACAGAGACCAGGAGTGGGCAGCCCTGGGCACCGTCCACTGGGATGAACTCATCCCCAGCATCAGTGAGGGGAGCCAATCTGCTGGCTCAGCTGCCAGGGCCAGGGGCCAGCTTCCTCTGAGCAGGAGGCAGAGGGAGATGGTGAGACCCATCAGCCAGCCCTCAGCCAGCCCCTCTCTGCCAGCACCGCGTCCTGCGCTCCACCTGCCTCCGTCACCTGACCTCATCAACACCTTGCGGACATCGTGAGGTGACACAGCTGGGGCCCAGAAGAAGGGGGCCTGCCCCGGCACAGGGCAGATCTGGAGCATAAGCGAGTCCAGGCCTTGGCCTGGAGAGCATGGGTGCAGAGAGGGTCCTCAGTCACCTCCTCCCCAACGGCTTTTTTCTACTAGTGTCCTCTTGGGATGAGGCCCGGACTTGGTTCTTATGGCTGAGGCCAGCTGTTGGGGTTGGGGCAATCTGAGCTCTCCATTACTTTTGGGAACCCCAGACTGGTCTGGTTTTACTACTCCCTTCCGGCCCTACAGAGAACGGCACTGTCCTTTCACTCTGCCAAACATGACCAGTTGCCCCCTGGGATGTGATCACCCTCCCCGCCCCAACCAGGGAATTTCTGTCTCAGCCCCACACCCCTTCCCATCATCACATGATCCCTTTCTGGGAGGAGCAAGCCATACTGACCCAGCGCCAGCGCCAGCGCCAGGGGTGCTACGGAAAGGGCTGGCAGAGGCTCAGTGCTGAGGGCTCCGAACACTGGGGCTCTCTGGGCCACTTACGAGGGCAGAGCAAGCCACACCAAGACCTGTGGATTCGACTGGATGGAAATGGCTGCCTAGCACACAGAGCCACCTTGCCCAACAGCTGCTCCACCAAGAGCTGGAGACCCCCAGACAGAGGCAAGCTCCCAAGTCCAGTGCACAGATGCCCAGGGGCACTCCCAGGACCAGAAGGGGTCACCAGGAGGGGCCACCATGGTGACCTGAGCTGACAGCAGGGACTGTTCCCTGGGCTGGCCTGAAGGTGTCTCCCTCCTGAGCTTAGCTCTGGAGGAGCAGTCCAGGCCAGCGCTCCACAGTTCCACTCTCCTGAGGCTCAGCCCCCCACAGCTCCCCAGGCCCATAGCCCCGCACTCTGGCCACCGGTACTGGTGAGATTGGTGTGCCGGGCCCTCTGCTGGGCTGCTCTGGGGCAGGCCAGGCTCCTGCTCCGAGAGCTCACAGTCCAGTGGAGACGCTGCATGCACGCTGACACGCCCACGGTCCCCACGTGTGCAGAGCTGGCTCTCAGGGGACTCCTGCTCAGGGAGAGCTGGTGTCGGGGAAGGGCTGACAAGGAAGGGCTGACGGGGACTCGCAGGGAGGGGAGGCGCCGGCACTGAGCCCCGCTGCACTGGCCCACGGGCCTGACAGCCACCCCTCCACACCACGCGCTGACACAACCCCGTCGCCAAGGAGCCAAGAGCACCACCTGTCCCTCCAACCCCCCCTGGAAGAAACAGACGCCCAGAACACTGGGAATGATGAAGTCATCTGAGAAAAGAGAAGTCAGGGCCACGTCGAGGCTGCAGTTGTCCACCCTGCCCACTGCCACCTTCCTGTCTGGCACTGAGCAGGCCAGGACAGGAAGGTGGGCTTGGCCTGACACAGACAGCTTCTGCCCTAGAGACGACCTGAGAGGCGGGGGGAGGCCTCTGCCAGGTGGCCCCGCGTCTTGGCCCGGGACGGCTGGGCGCATGGAGGACGCGTGAGGTGCAGGTGTGCCCGGCGGGAGCGCCGTGAGCACAGACACAGCACGCCACGCTCATGCTAGGAAAAGCTGGCACTTTTTATTAATGGCAGGTGACTAATAAATACATTACGGCAGTCAATAAATTATTACAATAACTAGAGATTTATTAAACCAACAAGTCACTCTTCTTACAAAATTACAGTTAATGTGGGGTGGGTGGCGGCGGTGGGGCTAGGGGGAGGGATCTCTGTGCCTAAGAGAGGCTTGCTACGGAGGGAGATGAGCAAGAGGCTTGCTACCTGGGACACTGAGGGCACAGGCTGCCACAGCAGGGGGAGGTCACGGAGTGTTGGGGGGCGGGCAGAGAGGACCAGGAGGTGAAGCTCTGGCTGCCCAGGGACACAGCAGAAGGGGCTCTGGGGGTGAGAATGGGCTACAGGAGAGTGGGGCCTCCGAGTGACTGGCTCTCTGAAAAGGGGGGTGGCCTTGTGCTGGGGATCTTGATGCACTGGGCCTGAGAGAGAAGCTCTCCTTCCAGAGGGACTCCCTCTGATCCGACTGGTAGGATCCAAGACTTTGAGCCAGGAGGGCTCTTTGTGCTGCTCTCCCAACCTGCCCCTCCCTTGACAGGGGCTTTCATCTAGCTGGAGCCTCCCAAGGGAAGGTCCCACTGTGCTCTCTGGGCAGGTGGTTCAGGGTTAGCCTCATTGTAGGGTGAGAAGCTCTACCCCCAACGTGTGGCAGCAGCTCACACCTTGACCTGGTCAGGCTGTGTGTCCTGCCCACCGCCCCAGATTGCTGGGACCCTTCACTCTGCAGGCTTGTGGGCTGGCAAGGGGGTACTGTGCAGGGGGAAGGCTGGCCGGTACCCCAGACTGAATCTCTGGTGGCTATGGAGCCAGAGTCTCAGGCCTCAGTTCTTAAGAATTGCCCAGTTATGTCTGAAAGCTTCCAAAAGGCTCAGGGAAGAGCAGAGGCAGCCAGGAGAGGCCTTGTGCCCCAGACTTCTCAGCACGGGGGTGCCAGGCAGGCCACCGCCTGCTCTGGCAGAGAGATGGGCCAGGACTGTGCCTGATTTACTTACCAAGTGGGCTGGAGTGAGCATGAGGTTGGACCAAGGGGAGGCAGGTGGTCAGCAGGAATGTGGGCTAGACACGGGAGGAAGCCGCAGGTCTGGCCCGGGGGCGTCAGTTGTGAGTGTATTAGGTGGGAGCCGGAACCCTCCCCTTCGCGGACTCACCCTGGCGGAAGGGAAGGCCTGGGTCTTCCCTGCTAGGGGTTGGGACAGCCTGGGTGGGAGGGCTCCGGGCGGGGAGGGTTCTTGGCAGCTGATGGGAGACAAAGTTGTGGAGGGCAGGGGTGTCTTCAGTTCCTCCCAATGGGGTATGGAGCTGGACACGGGGAAAGGCTGAGAGCCAGAGAAGCCTCCTGGCCCCAGACATCACAATGCTCTGGGCTCTGCCACGGCCTCACAGGGGAGCAGCAGCTACATGCCTCAGGCTCTGCTGGAGCCAGAGGGGAGAGAAAGGGCCGGGACATGCGGCCTCCATGGAAGGAGGCCCTAGGGCCCAGAATGTCAAGGCTGTTGGTGAGGGGCCCAGAGCTGTGCTATCAGAGCTGCACCCTCAGCCAGAGTCCACAGGCTCGGAGGATCCCCGGCAGGGGCCTCAGGCACCGGCTACTCTGCTCTCAGGTCTCCCTGGGAAGCCAAGACCCAGTGCTCTCAAGGGCCTGGCCCTGGGCACTGAGAGGCAGGCACCCCTCCTGGAAATCAGCCAGTCAGAGCTTAGGCCTGGCCTCTTCGGGGCACCCACAAGCAGTCTCACCTACGTCTGGTCACTCATAACATCTCCCACACCCACACTGCGACGGAGCCAAAACTCATCTGTCACCCTCCATTACTCTTTCCTGTGGTGGAGCCACCTATGACAACATGGGTGGGAGGCGCCACGGACAAGGAGGGGATTTGCCCCCGGATATCCTCCTCTCTTGAGGCCAAGGACCGCCTAGGAGGCAGGGGTGGGAGGTGAGAGCAGCACAGGACACTGAGCAGGGCAGAGCACCCAGGAGAGCGAAGGGCAGCTCTGGAGGGCACAGGGCTCCACACACCCCACTCCTCTCCCCCCGAGGCTGCAGCCCGGGTGGGCTGGGACCAGGGCATGCACTCCTGCCTGCACTTGGGCTGCTGTGGCTTGAGGGAGGAGCCCCAGCCTGGAGGGCGTGACTTCTACCTCCAGGACAACAGCCTTAGAGGTAGGACTTGGCCTACAACCCCCTCTTGTCAGCTTTTTTGAGTTTGGAATTAAAGGCAGAATGAAGGACACAGCTGGCCGTACTAGAGAGAACTACTGTCTCTACTGTCTTCAAAGTTGGGCAAGATGACCTAACTGGCCTTGGCTGCTGGGGCCAGGGCACTGAGGCTTGGGT